AGCAAACTTGTATATTTTGCGTAACATGTTTAAATTAAGCAGTATACATCATGTACATGTTGTAAATCAACATGCCTGTGTAACCCAAATGAAATGCTTCTCAATCTGATACCACGCTCCTCGCCAAGTATGAAATTCTTCACTCTTCACAGGTGTCCAAGGATCATGGATTTTACTTTTCAAGCTTCGCTGGACTTTCAACTCCCTTATATCATCTACATGTTCACTCCAAACTGTTTCCCTGTGATTGCTAATCCAATTAGATTTGTGTGTAGAGAGAGAGAGAGAAGAGACAGTAGAAGGACCATAGTGTTTGGGATTTGTGTTTGCTGTGTGCATGCAAAAATGTCAACAGGAGCAACATCTATTACCATTAGATATTGTATTCAATTCTGTGTGTTCCTTAAAGGTGAGTCCACGTGGAGTGTTTTATTGCACACTCAGTATTGAGCATTATCTAGGTCAAAAGAGATAAGCGTGGGTGTTACAACCTCACTGCCTGGGATTAAGAATGGATCCTTGATAAAAGTGCCTAGGTGCAGCCGTGTGGTTGCGAGGGGTGATTTCTATTTTTAAAATTGGATTGATTCACGCAGGGTTTGAAGAATTTTAGGGGAAACATGTTTTTTGTTCTCTCTTAAAATCTCTTTTTTTTTCAGAGTAATTTGTACTTTCAGACAATCTCAGCTCATAACATGATAGTAAAATTCTTTTTATAATTTTACCTGATGGAGGAAGCTGAAAATTCGTGTAAACATTCCTTGTGTCTGGAATTATGCAGACATTGGATTTAGAAGGGTAAATATGTCCGTGGGCGACGTGTTTACCGAAAATAAACTGCAGATCTACGCTTTCATCAAAAACATTTTCAGTATGAACTGAAAAAAATGAGCACGAGTCAAAAACTCACTTTTTTCAACCCAGATTTTCACTACCAAGGAGTGATTAAAATCATAGGTGTTGTGTGTAAAGTTTGTTCCTTGAACCTTACTCTTTTATGTGATGTAAAAATGAAGTCCTTACGTGCAAATATAAGAAAGTTATGCCTTTTGTTCATCTGGTCCCAATTATCAAACTGCAAGCCATTTCACCACATGACCAAATGGCACTCCATACCTCAAATTGTGCGTGGATACTTCTGAAGCACTTTTCTCGTTTTTTTGTAATGGTAACACTATGAATAAACCACACCAATAGAAAGATCCGAAAATACTCTTTCAGCTGGTGTATAGTTGATGTATGGGCGGCCAAACATATCAACATGCCGCCTTTCTGAAAAGTAGTGAATATATCTGTGTTGAGGGTGTTTTGTGTGTGGTTTCCTGGTCGACTAAAGTCGCCCATGGTAAGGAAAGGGATAAAATCTCTTTTTTTTCAGAGTAATTTGTACTTTCAGACAATCTCAGCTCATAACATGATAGTAAAATTCTTTTTAAAATTTTACCTGATGGAGGAAGCTGAAAATTCGTGTAAACATTCCTTGTGTCTGGAATTATGCAGACATTGGATTTAGAAGGGTAAATATGTCCGTGGGCGACGTGTTTACCGAAAATAAACTGCAGATCTACGCTTTCATCAAAAACATTTTCAGTATGAACTCCCTGTGTGAAGACTTACACGTGCATGCAACACAGTACTATGCCATGTATGCGGCTGGCCACGTGTGGGGTGTGCATACACGCGTGTTCATACCGGTACTTCACATGACATGTTTCGTACTGAGGATGTTTTCAACGAAAGTGTGAATCTGCAGTTTATTTTTAGTAAACACGTCTGCGTATGCATAATTCTGGACACAAGGAATATATAAATGGAATCTCAGCTTCCTCCATCAGGTAATAATATAAAAAAAAATTGTAGAATTTTTTTCGCTATGGTAGCAGAAGTTCATACCCTGGACTCCGTCGCGTGTGCACAACGGAGTCCAACCTGGGCTTAGTTAAAGGCAACATACATAATATGTACATCTTTATAGTTTTTGAAAACGAATGTTGTTGGTGATTATTCAGGGCAGCCAACTTTGAGTAAGAGCTGAGAGTGATAATTTGGCGATGATCAGAATTAAGCATGCTAATGTGAGCGCAAATCGCAAAGTCCTAGCGGCGTGTGTTTGGGGCCTGCTTAAGGGCCCCGAAAAATGTTGGATTCTAGACGCTCTGTGGTGCGATCTGAGGTAATTTCTGACCACTTTAACCATTTTTTTTAGCAGCAGATCATCATTTAAACATCATTTTTGAGTTTTATTTCTTTCTTTTTTTGCGTGAGACATCCAGTGTGCGCGTGAGAGCATGAGTGGTGAGAAGAACCTGCAATGCGTGCGTCTCACGCTCAATGCGTGAGTCTCACGCACAATGCGTGCATCTCACGCTCAATGCGTGAGTCTCACGCTCAATGCGTGCATCTCACGCTCAATGCGTGAGTCTCACGCTCAATGCGTGAGTCTCACGCACAATACGTGCGTCTCACGCTCAATGCGTGAGTCTCACGCTCAATGCGTGAGTCTCACGCTCACTGCGTGAGTCTCACGCTCAATGCGTGAGTCTCACGCTAAATGCGTGAGAGTCTCACGCTCAATGCGTGAGAGTCTCACGCTCAATGCGTGAGAGTCTCACGCTCAATGCGTGAGTCTAACGCTCAATGCCTGAGAGTTGGCAGCCCTGGATTAGGCCAAAAAAAATAATAGTTCTGCTTCCGGTTTCCCTACCTACCCTATTCTGACAGCCCCTACCCTAATTGTTTTATTGGAAAAATAAGGAAAAATTACCAAAAACCATCAATTTCTACCTTTTGCCCTTGACTACACGCAGATGCTTCCATATGATTGTACACAAAAAAAATTGGCCAAAAAAAAATAATTTCCCTACCTACCTACCCTATTTTCGAATGCCATGTAATCGGAAGCAGAACTATTTTTTGTGTGGCCTTATTAAGAGAAGTAGTTGATGATAAAAAGTAACCAAGCAAATAAAACAAAACAAAACCACTCTCTCCCAAAAACCACCACCACACCAAAGGGTTGGAAATTGTGGCATACATGTACCTTGTTTATGTGTTTTTTAGCTGCGGTAAATGTACAGATTTTATATTATGAGTTACAGTGTACATGTACATGTACCGGTAAAATAGGTCATATATATCCAGAATTTGCCCAATGCTTATATTTTGATGGTTTTAGAGGTTTTGCAATACACGTATGTTGACAAATTTTACTCTACATCCATGCAGCCTTTAATCCAAACAGGCAGGACTTCAGTTTGGTTGGAGTGCTTGTAAAAAGATGTGCTGTTGTGTTTCTTTGTTGTTGGATTCAGGAATCACTTGTACAGGAACACAAATGGCATAAACACGTAAAATTCAAAATGACATCAAGCCCCTTTGTCAAGGAATAGTACCGGTAGCTGGGTTCTGCCTTCCTCAATCCAGCTAGGTCCTGTGGTACTTTGCAATAGATGTTGAATTATCAAGGAGTGGCTGAGAGGTTAAGGCACTCAGTACAGCATCATGCACTGAAAGTCACTAGTTGAAGGCTCATGCCTCACATATTGTCACTTTTTGGGGGCGTTATTTGTCTCACTCGTTCAATTCAGTTTAATTTGGCTGACATTTCTTTGGACCTGTGGAGCAGGAATGCTACCCTTTGAGGTATCTGATGTCATGCACAGAACCACACGCAGGGCTTCTGTGTCACACAGCAGTTGCTATGGAAACTAATTTGATTACTGCGTGGGGGAAGTGTCATCATGTTACAAGAGTTATTATATGGACTGAACTTCTAACCCTCACATTCTACATTGTATCTATAGGTCCAGAAGAAAATAACTTTCCTGAGATTTAGCATTCGTGGCATCAACATATGTTTTGTGTATTTTGTAAAATGTAGGCCTACATGTACCGGGTACCGGGTACATGTATAGTTTGAACATTAAATTAACTGGTTTTCAGAGTGCCAGCCTAGTGTTCTCATACGTATCTGGCCGACTGACTGACCGACCGACTGATCGACCGACCGACCGACCGACCGACCGACCCACTCAATCCTGCCCATTGTGTAGACCAGACATTAAATGACTTCCAGTGAATAGCCATTCTTAATCGATTGAATTGAATTGTGTGTCCTCTGGGACCAGCTTTATCAGGCTTTCCATGTAATTTTTCTCTAAACAAAAACATTCTGGTCATTTTCATAAAAACGGTCAAATTTGAGGTTTTCGTCTAAACATTGTATTTACTCCCTGACAACTACCGGTATAAATTCAGATAGTGCTAGTGCAGTGTAGGGAGTAACACTCTAGGCAGAGCATTATTAATGTGTAAGATGAAACGTGCAAATAAAAATCATACATACTGGTAAATTGCCTCGTTGCATGTTCAACCTTCACTCCAACTGCCAACTTTCCACCCACCCGACAGTCTAACCCTGATTCAATCCAGTGCCCGAGTTTACAGTATTCGTCCTGGAATTATTTAGCAGAAAAACCTTGAAAAGTAGGTTTTGATGGAAGTTTTAATGTACATGGAGGAAATGTAATGAAAAGATGTACTGTCCATGCTTTGGTGATATATTCCAGTAGCTTCTGTGGTGTGGTGTCCACTTTTTGGACATTCTCTGGAAATTGGGGGAGCGATACAAGCTCAGGTTAGCCCATACTAGGGTACATGTATATTCCACTGCCAAACTTGGAGCTGTCAGATCCAAGCCAATGAATTGAAGAGCTTTGAATCATTTACTATCACTATAAATCAATCTTGTTAATTGCTGCAAGCACATATCACTACGGTCTTATCCACAGTTGTGTAGTTTTTTAGTTTAGTACCTCATTCAAAAGTAAATAATATTTGTTTTTGAAGAAAAAGAGGAATTAAAAAACAATTAAAACACAGCATGTGCAATGTGTCTTTACTTAAATTTCTTCAACTTTTTTGGCACTATCCACAGTAAAACCTGATAACGTTGTCTTGCTCATTGTTCCCATTTCTCACTCTTCCCTTTTCTTTGTCAGATTGACTACCCTGATGCCCATCTCATGAAGCCTGGCCAGCGCCAGTCCTATACCCCCACTAACCTAGAACGACTCATGGCCCTAGAACAGGAAGAGGTACAGGTGCCCGCTGTACGAGGGCGCTCTTTCAGTGAGGATCGTTCCATTTCATTCAGCAGTGACAGTAATGTGGTAAGTGTTACAAGTTACATTTGATATTCTGTATCATATACTGTTAGACCCAACTGACATGCAGTGTGGCCAGTTATATTAACAGCTCAACAGAATTGCTTGTCTTTGCCAAACCAGGTTTCAGTAGCATTCACAGTGTTGTGTGTGATGCTTAATGCTCTTCATCATGACAGGTATGGGGTGATAGCATGGAGCAACCAGTACCAAGACTTGTGCTTAGCACAGAAAGGATTTACTGTGCAAAAATAGCTTACCGCAAATTATGTCAAGTGATTTTGGTTGACCAGTGCACTGGTTGTTTTTTTTTGCTGCTCCATAAAATATACTTCAGCTGAGTTTTGCCAAGGAGATGAATTGCTAATGAGCAAATAAAGAGGCCAGACTGACAGACAATTCCAAGTAGAGTTTAGTCCATAATTTGGACAGGGACTTTAATCGCGAATGTAGTGGGCAATTCGCTTACCAGTGATTCCGGTTGGTGGAGAAGATTGATGTATTCTGATACGATTATTATGCTGCCAAATAAAATGTTGATTGTACATAAAAATTAAATGCAACTATGTGTAAGAGAAAATAACGGTATTATGTTTAGTGACCATTTCGATGAAAAATGATCTCGTTATTAGCTATTTAAAAAAAAAAAAAATTATTTGCTTTGTTTATTATTGTTATTTTTTTATATTAAAAAAAAAATTGTTTTTGGCAAAATAATGCAATCGATTCCGGCTGGAATCGTGATTCTATATGGCAAAGGAATCAATTTCAAAAATACTGGATTTGCCTAAGCCTAGGATTTGCCTAAGCCTAGCCTGTAGTCAATATCTAATCATCAGTTTACAATGTAAGTTTTTCTTATTCAAAGAAGATTTTTTTTTCTACAAAGTATTTCTTAATGTATGTAAATATTTCTTTTGCTTAAAGGTAGAGTCCATCATTTGTAATTTGTGCATTTTGTTCGTTTGAAGCAACAAAAAAGTTCAAAATCTAATGAAGGATACTGAGCAACTAACCTGATGAAGTTTCAGCTAAGCTTCAGCTGTACATTCTGAGAAAAACAGCATTCTAAGATCTCAATTTCAAATCAAAAGTTGCTGAATCATGTTTTTGAATTGTTTTGAATTGCAACTATACGCGACGTCGCGCACTGATCCGACGAATTATAACAACCGCGCGCGCGTGTGCGTCGTTCGAATACTTGTGCGCGCTGCGCTGAATAACAAAACGAACTACTATTTAAATTTTCCTACGGTGCTTCTTAAGAATCACCGTTGGAAATGCCTTCTTTCGTTGATTACATGTACTTCAAAATGACAGCTTCCCAGAAAGAATAATTTCACAGGGAGTTTAGTCTCCTTACTATCTTTCAACCAAGTTAGTTTTTCAACAATAATTACGCCAGTTACTTTTCGGATGGCTGCAAATGATGGACTGTACCTTTAACCTCTTCATATTAAATAGCAGAAGTACATACATGTGCACTGTTCCTGAAGCAAGATATATTAAGTCTGAAATTGTTAGCATGCTTCTCTTTTAACATCTTTGTTGATATGGGTGGCCAAATCTTTGACTTTAATATTCATGTATCTGTCTTTCTTACGATATTTCAGCATGAATAAAAGTGGTGTGGTAGCTTTGCATAGGAAATTGTGAAAGGGTTCACAACATCTGGCCCATCTGGGCATCAAGCCAAAATAGAGTTTTTTACAATGAAAGGGCTTATGTAATGTAATTGTTTTTAATGCAATCCTTGAAAATGCACCTTTGTGTCCTAAAACTTATTTTAAATTTTCATTTTGCCATTTTTTAAGGGCATTTTGGTGTGTTTTTGGTTTTTATGCTAATGCAAATTTCCATATTCATGAGCAAAAGTGTGATGTCATTTCAGGTAGAAACTTTTCAGCACTAAAACATGCCAGAATTTCGGATATTTCGCTGTGGTAACTTTTCTTTTCTTTGGTGATTCGTTGTTTCGGTACATGACAGTAAGCCAATGAACAACGTTTTCTCACATAAATGTTTTCAATGAGCACATTTTGGGTTCAAAATTTAAATAAAAAATCTTAAGTGTGTCTTCCTGAAATGACATCACAGTAACAACACATCATTTGTCAGGAAAAGCATGGAAATGTTTAAATGTTTAAAAACAAAGTGCACTTTTAGAGAAAATTAACAAAACAAGGGGTGTAAAATAGATTTCATACCAAGAGGAGTAGAAATTTGCACAAAATGTGTTCCATATTAAGATTCATGTCATGGGCCCTTTAAAGGAAAGTCATTTTTTACTCTGCAGTACATTTTGTTTATTAACATTGGATTATCCAAGCAAATGTGAGCTGGAAGATATGCAAATGTACAATATGACACTGCAAAAGCTTACATATAGCGGTAGTGCTACCGGTATTTTCTGAAATGATGTGTCTACACTGTATCTAAAAATGCCAGAAAGTTAGAGTCAGGACTATGATTAGTTTGATCATTTTCATGCAAGTTTGAGTCAGGACTATGATTAGTTTGATCATTTTCATGCAAGTTTGAGTCAGGACTATGATTAGTTTGATCATTTTCAGCAAGTTTGAGTCAGGACTATGATTAGTTTGATCATTTTCATGCAAGTTTGAGTCAGGACTATGATTAGTTTGATCATTTTCATGCAAGTTTGAGTCAGGACTATGATTAGTTTGATCATTTTCAGCAAGTTTGAGTCAGGACTATGATTAGTTTGATCATTTTCATGCAAGTTTGAGTCAGGACTATGATTAGTTTGATCATTTTCATGCAAGTTTGAGTCAGGACTATGATTAGTTTGATCATTTTCATGCAAGTTTGAGTCAGGACTATGATTAGTTTGATCATTTTCATGCAAAGGATGGTGTGACTACTCTAGTTGACTAGTTGGAAGCGGAGCCCGGTTACCAAGAGCTGCGCGCATTTTAAAGCATAGCAGGGAGCCAGCATCAAGAAGTTTTGTGATGACGTTTTGACCATCATGTGACTAGAGACATTCCCAAGTTGGTATTAGTGCGCCTGGTCTTGTTCCAGGCGTAATACATGAATGAACAAACCACTAGTCGACTAATGGTCCTTGCCAGAAATTTGCTCTGCTGCTTGGCATCTTTTGAAAAGCATGATTTTTGTTTGGATACTCATTGCAAATTCCTCTTACTTTCTTTGTGCACTTTCACCCTGTCTCTCTGTGTGTTTGTGTTTTTTTCCTGTTTGTATGCACAGACTGCACTGCCATCCATCAGGTTGGAACGGACACAGTCATTGGACAGTGAAAAGGTTGGAACTATGAACCACGCCTTTGCTTTGCATGCATTTGCTTATAAATGCTGAATAACTGATGCTGCTTTGCTCTGATTTGATATGTGCTGAATAATTCATGCAATGTGTGTGTGGAGGTGCATGTACATTTACATGGGAGGACTCCCAAAAACCAATTTTGTTTGCAAATTTAGATATGATTTAAATACTAAACTCATTTCAAACAATAATTAAGTTATCAATGTCAAACTTGTTTTCTGTCAGCAGAAAGTTTTGAAACTTCATGCCCAAGGTGCTAGACGGAAGCCATGCATTCATGAATTCACGAGTGGGCAGATAATCTGTTTATAAAAGACTGTTCATGTTTGCAAGTTGTTTGAAGTGAAGCACCTTTTAAACAAGCAATGATGTGTGGGAGTAAGAGCTGTGAAGTGGATTTTGTGTTCTGGCCGGTCTAAATATAGAGACTTTGCATTTGTTTGTGTTGCAGCATTGTAAATTCCTTGACAGTGTGGATACTTAGGTTGCATATATAGGGAGTCACCTGGGGCATTGAGAAGGGTAGGATTAGTGCAAGGCTGTAGGGTGAGGGATTAGATGCTTAATCCCTGTCAGATCTGGCCTTTCATTCTCCAGTTGTAGTGGAGCACAAAAGCGTTTTGAGAGTGGTGGGGGTAGGAGTTGAAATGTGAATTTGTTCCGTGGGAAGATGACATACAATATTTACATAGTACTGGGGTACATGTTCGTCGCGTTTGTTGTATTGTGACTGAGTTAGAGTGGATGGTCTTTACACTCTAGACACACGAGCGATGTGTAGAGTTTGGATTGCTCGTCATTTGAGCTGAGATTGTCACAGCTTGGTGTGGTGTGGTGTGTTGGTGTGGACAGTGGCTGTGGACTTCAGAGTGAGAGACATGGTAATCATGGATCACTGAGTAAGGTGTGTAAAACCTGCTGCTTTATGTTCCTAGAAGCTAACATCTGTCATGTCATCTGTTTAGTTTATACACATGTACATGTGTACAGTGCAAGTACATGTACATGTACATGTAGTCACAGTGCAAGTTTGTGAAATTCAGTTATAGACAGAATGTATACAAAAGTACATTGTATTGTTTCATCGTACAATTTGTCTACATTTTATCATTCAGTTAAAACCCTAACCCTGTATGGTGTTTGGAAAATCGTATTAAATTCTGAGGATTCAGGACTGTTGGGGTTAAATGTTAATGCATACATACTCACACATGAAAGGACCTGTGCAGTGGTACCCAATTTGGGTTCATTAGACACCTGCATGTGCAGTGTATGCAGAATGTGCTGAGTTAGTGCATGCATGTAATTGACAAAAAGTCATCATTTTTTTCCCTGTCAGTAGTGTGTGAATTTTATTATTGAATTTCTTAACATACAGGTACCCGTGTATTTACGTGAAGTAGTGACCCTGCAAATGTTGTAACTTGTCTAGTAAATTTTAATTTCACGTGTAGGTTTTTGGTCAACATGAAGTACTGGTATGGTACATGTACATGTACAAAGCAGAATTGTAGCACACATTGCAATAATGTAGTATCGTTTTTATGTGATATTTGTAATATTAATGATGTGCACAATGGTACATAACTGTGTATATATATTGCAACATTAACTGCACCTGTTTTCATTAAAATCCATCAAATTTTGAGAATAATTGTACAGAACCATTATAAAGCCAAGCCACAAATACTTGACATTGGACTTGATGTGCCAGAGAACATGTACAAAGACTGACAATGAGTGTACAGTTGAGAATCTTTGAGGATTATGGACGAGTCTGCAAGGCATCAACAATGCCATGAGAGTTAGTTTGTTGCATTTAGTGCCTATCACTAACTTAAAAATCAGAAACGTGTAGGGTTGAACAAAGAACACACTGTACCAGAACTATTCAGCCCTATGTTGGCAGCCTCCCAGTTTGTCATTGTCTTTGTTCAGAGGGCAGGTAGACACCAGACAAACGTTAACATTGGTTATATCCTTTAGAAGCTCTTTGTTAAAAAAAGTCTTAATTTGTTTGCACATTTTCAGAAACACTCCAAGAAGACCATGGAGGACATCCCGACCCTCTTAAGTGACATGGACGACACTACTTCCGTGGGTCACCACCACCATCTCCCCGTGATGGCACCTTCCGCCTGCTACAGTGACCGTAGCTCCATCCACAGCAGCATGTCTAGCAGCTTCTCAGACCTGTACCAAGCTGGTAGTTGCAATGAGAATCCAGACCTAGACCTGACAGGATTGGTGGAAAGCACGGTGGACTCAGACGATGAGGATACAGTCAGTGAATCAGCCTCGGTGAGTCATGGGTCTCTCTGGTTCCATGGGTTGTCCTCCTTTTTTATGGGTTTACACTTTATGAAAGGGTGTCCACTTTGCACCGTTCCCATTAGTGATCATTACTTACCATTACTTTCACCATATGGATCTCTTCAGCTCTCTTTAAGAAACATTGTTAACCTCAGGAAACATTGCTGATACCCCAGAGGGATCAGTGCCGTACCTCTAGTGATCCTCATAGGGACCACTGTGGATCCCCAACAGAACTCACTGCTATTCCCCATAGAGCCACTGCTGACACCTTAACCCTAACTTTCCCTATCCTTTAAAGTCCTCCGGGTGGTTTTTGGAGGATTTTGGATGATTGAGGCCGCATGCATTTTGACACGCAGGGCTGTTGGAGGATTTTGAAGGATAGAGGCAGTGGGTGACCTTTATTTGAACATAAGTGCAAACCTTTGGAGGATTTTAGAGGATGGTTTCTGGCAAAAGGGACCAAGGTGGTTAAAGTTAAGGGACCTCAGGTTAACTTATCGGGGATCCCCGCTCTTCTCCTTTGGAACCTTTGTGTTCTCCAAAAGGAGCACTAATGCATGGTCTTCACAGATGGCGATTTCCATAGGGACCACTGCTGATCCTACTGATTGCCATTAGGACCAACATTGTTCTCCAAAGAGACAGTTTCTGAACTCAGACCACTGATGTTTCTCATTGTAACCAATAAGAAACTCAAACCACTGACCAACTGCTGATCCTTAATGGGTATATGAATTTGGCATCCCATAAAGCTCATCCACTGCTGCTCCCTGTATGGACTATTGTTCCAATAAGGAATCTCACTTGTGTCCTTTTTGCAACATTTTTTACCTAATGGGAACAACTTTTGTATCCCTTGGCAACCACAGTCACCATAGAAGGTTAACATTAAAATAGGCAAAAGACTAAGAGCCAAAGGTATGAACTGATATTTCATTCAGTCATCCAGTTTTTGTTTTGCTGAGTTATCACTAATGCCAGGTCGTCAGTGTCACATCCACACTGACAGTGCCATCTTAGGAAGGCAGAAGAGAAAGGGACCCTAACTTACTGCTGATACAAGTATCAAGCAAAACCAACTTGACCTTTAATGTGAAATTATAAATTTCCTTCAACTTGGCATTCATCATCATCGGTGCCCAGTCATCAGTGTCACACGCACTGACAGTTGCAGCTGAAGGAGGCCGGTGAAAAAGGGACCGTAAATGTGCTGATAGGTTACCCCGCCAATGACAAAGCCCTCAGGGGAAGTCACTGTCTTGCATTAGTGCGGAAGTTACAAGAGGAACCTCGCACTTCCTGTGAGAATAGGAGCGGGAGTTTTGGGGATTCATTCATCATGATGACATGTTATGGGCGATGGGTCATCTGCTATCCAGGTAGGGGGTTTGCAGCAACTTGCACATGCACCTCAGCAGGGCAGAACTATGAGACAATCTGTACTAGGAAATCAAAGATGTCAAACTTTGGTTAATGATCGCCGGTTTTGTTTGCAACGGATAAAGCTTTTGCAACACCAAAATAGTTGCTACCATGGATCTTGACTTTATCATGAATCGCTGGAGTTGGCCATGCGACCGTCGGCAGCTGATGGCAAGTATTCTCTGGAATAAAACATACAAACAAACAAAATTTAAAATGTGAGATTTTTAGTTGAGTGGAAAATCGGAAGATGATTGTGGTCTGATGTGGATTTGGGTTTGTAAGAAACTAAAGGCCTTTTTGTACTATCATCTCACCTATGTTGACATCAACACGGTTCGACCGTAAGTGAAACCGGGCCCCATCAAACATCAGTAGGCAAGGCATACCATGCACACTTTCACCGGTGTGCACATGCATCAGCTTCTACTTTCCGATTTTCTACCTGAGTACAGCCATTCCTAGTCCCGTCCATGGTTGGAATTCACTTCTTTATTAATGCTAGAATTGTGTAGCAACTGTGTTGGATTCGTACTAGTTGGAAACGGGTTGCCGAAATCTCTGTACATAAGGCCCATTAGAGGTTGGCTGCAGCTCACTTTAGCTTAGTTTATTTTTACTTTTTCATTATCAATATCAGTCTTGTCTAGTCACATGGCAAGCCATAGTACCGGTACCAGCTATAGTAAGGTTCCAGCATCACCTGGGTATTTCTTTGAAGCTGTTAATGTGACAAGTGTTGCATTCATATAGGGGGGGGGGGGGTACGGGGTACGGTACATGTACAAGAATCAATAGGGCATTTCATTGCACAGAGGAATGTGTTAAAGTGACAAGTGGGACATCAATGTTTCAGGATTAGCTATTAGTGGATGTCTCAGCTAGCAGGAAACTGTAAATGTGACAAATTGTAGAACATTTATATGTACATTAATGTGCTAAGATCATTTTAGGGGTATGTCTCAGCTAACACGAGAGACTGTTAATGTGACAACTAGTACATTTATGTTCCATTATTGGTTTAGAGATTTGTCTTTGCTGTCAAGATGCTGTTAATATGACAAATTGTGATTGATGCTGACCCTGGATATGATCATGGATGAACGTTTTGGCTTGGATGATCTTGTCCTCAATCCTATCCTGACCTGCGTTAAACCCGAATGCAGTCTAATCTAAACTACAATCTCATGATTTTCAGCTGCTAAAATGCAAATCACAGCTACATGTATTTGTATTTCTGCCCAGAGATACATTTTTTGAGAGACATGAAGTGTTTCTTTCACCAGAAACCGTGGCAAGTTGGTTAGTAGTCTCATTGTTTGGGTTTGTGATGTGCACGGCTGAGTTATAAAGACATTGATTCCATATTTGGCCATCTCAGATCCTCACAAAGACGTGATACATACAAGTATATGTACGTGTATACATGTAATCCTTACTGACAGGTTAAGGATGATCATATGGTCATTTTAGTCTCATGTTAGGATCTGGAGAAATTATGAGTCGGGCTTCAGCTACTTAAAAGATTACTTTACATTTTTTTTTCTTGTGGGGGGGGGTGTGCTATTTTTCTCAAGGCAATTTTAATGAGCTGTAAGTTACCAAAATTTTGTACTGCACAAAAAATAAATATGTTTACCAAAATACATGTATAAAAAATTAAACACCTTTTGTTTGATCAGTCACAGACAATCAAAAATTCCATCCTCTTCCCCTGCCGTGCCTTTTACACAGGCTAGTCACGAACAGTCAGGTCACATTTCTTGTAGGCACTGTGGCAGTCAAATTCCATCGACAGACAAAAGCAGGTGACTGAGAGGCACAGCTGGCTTATCAATCTCCGCATAATAGTCAAAGCGCAGTCAAAGCATAGCTATACTAGGTTTCATAACAATCACAACCAGTCAGCCCTGCTTTTTGAAGGCGGGAGCACTCAACTGTTAAAAACAGTCACTCTAAGTATTTTGAATGTTGGGCTGGTCTTGTTGAAATTGCTAGCCAGAGACGGAGGGTTTTAAAGTACATGTACACATATTTGAAAAGGTCACTTGAAAGGCCAATAACAGATACATGTATGGTGACTTTTTCTCATCATTGAGCAGTTCACATACACAATGCATTATGAAATTACAAAATGTACATGTATGCATTCGTACTAGTGAATCTTTTTGTCTTTGTCATTCAAAATGCACATTTGAGATTTGAAGGTTTGCATGGTGAAGGGTAATAATAAGATAAGTTGTTGCGGTAGCACCATGTGGCAAAATAGCTTTTTGGAAGGAACTTGGAAGGTTTAATCAAAATTAGAATAACTACCGGGTATACCAGTCATTTGTACATTATTAGTAACCTCCTATGGTATACTTGTAATTATCACAAATTATACAACACCTGAATAAATCCCAGTCATCTGATTGGTGGATCGTTGATCACATGTCATTGAATTATTCGTACCAACGCACGGCGCGCGCGTGGCGTGCAGCGCACAGTGCAATGGAAATTCTATTGCACTGTGAATAGAACTTCCATTGCACGTGTCGCTGCTGCTGGTGGTGGCGCTGTTTTAAATCGAGATAAATTGAATATGATTGTTCTTAACCTGTCGAACAGTTTGCATTAATATAGATATGACGAACTTGTCGCACTTTTAAACAGTTTTTAACCTGAATAAATTGGCTATTAAAAGTCAACCAATCAGATGACAAGGATTTATTCAGGTGTTATATAAAACAAATAATGAATGTTTCACGTTCGTGAAATGGAAAGAATAATTTCATTCGGTGACAGATGAAATGTTCCATTTTCGCCTCGTGGAATGGAACATGTCATCTGTCACCTCATGAAATTATTCTTACCATTGCGCTCACAAACATTCATTATTTGTATACTATCAAAATACATGTACCTGACCCCCACCTCTCTTAGTAGCTTTTGTTCAGGCTGGTCAGCAACTAAACCAAATCCCTCAGGATTACACCGTATAACTGCCAAAGCCTGTTTAAGTGGTTTGATAGATTGGTTGACCATTAATCCTGGTACAGGTTGTGTAGCAGCCATTTTGACCTGTCAGTTGTACCAATATGAGGCCAGCTTACAGACCTGTTCAAAATTGTACCCTGATGGATAATGATCCATAGGGTTACTAGTGACAGATTGTCACTGAGAGAGGGAGGGTTTTAACTTATATGTAAATCATAGTAATTATTATTTATATCAGGCTTCCAGCGGTAAAAGTAAATCAGCGTATTGCATGCTTTCATAAAAAGTTCCCGGATGACTGCAATGATAAAGTACCCGGTTGACTGCAATAACATTATTATTGCAGTCATCCGGGCATTTTCGCTGGTTCCCGCACGATCAAGAGCATAGAAAGTCACAGTTGTTAACCACTCAACAGAGCGTAGTGCGCGCGCGTACCTTCGAACACGGAACACGCCCTGCACATGCAGCGCTATATACGCGCACATAAGGCCAGGTATACGCGCACTGTTGTCAACAATATTACAGTGGCAGCTTCAAAAAGTTTGACGAAAAAGATGGAATGAGGACAGTGTCTTGAATTGTGTTTCTTGCGGATCAAGTCAGCCTGATATAAATAATAATAACATTGAATGGCTTTTTTTCGGTGGATACAAGAATATATTGCACTTGCTATGACAATATTGCACTCTTGTGCAATATTGTCATAGCTCATGCAATATATTCTTGTATCCACCGAAAAAAAAGCCATCCAATATTATATAATTATTTCATTCTTCATGTTCTTCCTCCTGATTACAAAACACTATTTGCAAGTACATGTACATGTAAGCAGGAATTTTTTTTTTTGAATAACAATAACCTGCTTGCTTGCACATAGACCGGGAGCTAGGATGAGTTTAATTAACAATTTAAGCACAAAAGGTTTGATGGTACCATATAGCAGGGATGCCATATAGCAGGGATCACACCCAAAGTCATTACAAATTATCAAATAAACCACAACATGAAACTGACTGCATTTATGTAGACTCTTGACAGGTGATATAATGTAAATATACTGCTACATGATACTAGAAGCCCTAAATCAGAAATATTTAATTGAAGTAGATTAAATTACTTTGAGTCAGTATGCATACTATTCTTCCCCTACCATGTACTTTAAACTGTAGCACCACAAAAGGGGAAAAATGCTATACCTTTAACTCGGGTCTTTACAGTGTATTGTAAAAGATATAGTTAACGAATGCAGAATTTGTGTTTTTACCACCAAAATGAACAGTTGGGCCTCGTTTGAATCAAGGTGCTTCCATAAATCGCCTAGAATTTAAGCCATGCCCACCAAATGGGTGACAGTACCTGGTGGTTAAACGTTAAAATGTTTTTATTTCATATACTACGCCAATTTGAAAGCATACATATGAAGAACACTGAATGCTGCAGATACAGTTGTTTTCTGGATTTTGTGCTCTGCCCCCACAGTGGGCAAATTTCAAAGTGGATCCCTCGGCCCATTTTCAATTCAACCAGGCCTGCAAATTTTCATGGTTTTGCCACGAAAATGCACGATATTTGTCACAATTGGATCAAACCACGCGTATACACCACCCCTTTACACATTTAGGCCACGCTCACAAACTGGGCGGAAAATATGAATTTTTAAAATGCTAATGTTTTATGTCATGTCCAAATTTATTTCAAGGCATGGAAAAAGAAGGAAAATGAAAGTATAATACACTTCTGAGTTTTTATTCCTTTCACGCACTTTCAAAAAAAAATCAAGCTCCGCCCCCAAATCGGCAGGTTTCAAGGTGGGTCCACTTCTTAAAATGATTCTCAGACCGTTTTGGATCTGCACGCCGTCTTTCATGCTCTTATCACAAATTTTGGCACGGTTTGGGCAAAAATAATTGGCCTAAGCAGCTCCACTATTGACCAGGATATATACATGTACATTTGTTTAAGTCCTATCCTTGTTGTTTAAGTTCGCTTTGTTTAAGTTATGTTATTGTTGTTTTTTGACTTGTATAGTTTTCTGAAGAAGAGCAGTTTTACTGTCTCGAAACGTCGATTAAATCCACTCCAGCCAGCAATACATTGGTTCTGTGTCACCCTCTCTTTTTTGCTATAGGAAACATATATAAATACAATCTTTAAATCATTCTTACGTGTAAGTAACTTAATCCGACTTTTGTCCGTTCTTAAGTAGCATTTTTGGTATCAGGGGGCAATCTCAACACTTAAGTCCAAAAACGGCGCTTGTGCACAACATGTTAATTAAACTCGAAATTTTGGGCACTTGACCATGGTCCCCTGACCCCCATCCGACCTAGGGCAACTTAAGAATGGCCATTTCGGAACTACCTCCCGACGTGCAATCGATTGGTACCATCAAACCTTTTGTGCTCAAATTGTTAATTAAACTCAACCTAGCTCCCGGTCTAACAGTGTAGTTGTGGAGGTCCACAAAGTGACTTGTCTTGAATTGGTTCCGTTGTTAGTCTGGCATGGAGATATTGGAATCAATGTAAAACCCCTCCATGTTAAGATCTACATGCAGTTCTTTCTGGGGCTGCCTTTCCCAAACATTCCCACTTTCTTAATTATTTCAACAAATAGCAAAGTGATCAGAATTTTTTTAAATCAGGTCCCCCAAAGTATGAAAATTTACTCCCTTACACAATTCGTACTCCAAATATAAATTTAAAGACTGATAATAAAAAAGAAGGGTACCTAAGTGTTTCTACTGTTAGGTGTTACTGTATTGTTGAATATTTGTACTTTCTTTTTCCATATGTGCATAACCAGACGCTTGTAGTCCGAGACTTTGTCCGAGATTGCTTGGAGAAGGATCCCATGGACAGGACAGAGGATGATATAGGTATGCTATGGAGGGCCACAAATAATACTACATTCTTTGTTTTTATGTCAGATATCGTTTTTTCCCCCTTTGAAACCATGAGGTGTTGTGTTGCACTCTTGTTAATAATGAACAAGTTTGATGCCCCAAGTGGTTTACTTGAATGGACAATTTGTAAGACAATTTTTCTAAGAAGATCCTTTCCAGGACTAAACGCTAATGATACATTTGTGATGTGTTCAGCAAGATAGATAAACAACATACCGTACTTAAAGTTTCTTCAGGTTTCCAAAGGAAACAAAACTCAGACAATTAGCAAAGGAAATCAGCATCCCCTAGTGAGTGTCCGCCATCTTTGCTGGTGTGTGATCTTGTTGCTGTGTCTAGTCCCCATAGTGTTATTACTTCAATTATAAATACTGTGAAAGTTTGCGATAATTGTAAGTTTTGACAGTTTGTGATTGATGACTCGTCTTATCTGATGCAGAAATCCTACTGGATTTTATGCGTCACCTACCAGCCTTTGCCAACATGACAATGTCAGTACGCCGGGCGTTATGTGCCGTCATGGTGTTCGCTGTGGTTGCCAAGGCAGGCACCATTGTCATGAAGAATGAGGAAGAGGTGAGCATGTTTGATACACACATGATTGACCTGGAAAAAAATAGTTTTGTTATTAAATAGTTCAACAATTTCCTCATGCCAGTGAAATCATGATAAAGATTAAACAATATTGTTTCATGATTTTCAATTCTGGAGAAAGCCTTGGCTGAATATGCAGGACTACCTGTAAATATTGGTTTCAAAGAAATAGTTGCTACAGATATTCTTTAAAAAATATTTGACACAATGCATTAGTGATTAGTGGTTTGCAGAGCCCATCAAAGCCATGAGGGATTACAGTCCCTGTCCTACTATATATCTTAAGTTAGTCTGAGTTGGATGAAATCCACCCCTGGAATTTACAGTCACCAGAAAAAGAGGTTTGTTTCATACAAGGGAAAGCCCAGTGGCCATTTCTCACCGTGCCCTTCTCACCTCTGGTTTGCAATGACCCAGTTTCCAGTTTCTTGCCAAAAAAACCCACAAATGGTAGCAATATGTAAAAATGCATTCTTTCCACAGTCATGAAGCACAGGCATGCAGGTATTTCAATTTTGCAAGGTTGGACCTGATATGAATGACCCTTTTTTGTCGATTACTGCCTTTTCATCCTTACTTACTGCCTAGTGTTGGATTCTTTTTCAAGAGAAGATGCCGTGGGAGTTATTGTTAAGAGTGAACCAATTTAATGGAAAAAAATGAGCTTTGTCATGGCATCTTACAAAATGCCCAAGGGCATTATTATTAATTGTACAATGTAATAGGGTTATTTGTCTTCCTTTTCTTTGTTTTGTAGTTGGATTCCTGGTCTGTCATTCTTAATGGCCATGTTGAAGTGACTAAATCTGATGGCAGCATAGACCAGCTGCATCTTGGAGATAGGTAGGAAATGTACCAGTGTTGGATATTGCAATGGTAAATGTTCAGAAGTGTATTTACATGGATGTGCAGTGTGTGGAAAGCATACCTATATCATTTTAATATTGGTCTTCAAATAAAACGAAAAAGCAAAGAGATATTCAGGTTGCTTAAACCATTGCTATGATGTCACACTATTGTTAAAAGTGTGGATTTGGATCTATGAATCTGTTACACTGGTCACAAAGTATGGATTCGGAATGACGAATCTTTAGTAAAGTGTGGATTCGGATTTACGAATCCACACTTTGAACACGTCGGACAATTGTTCTCCATAATGAGCATAATTGGACCGTCTGCGTGAAAATTTGCTTTCCGAAAATTACCAATGCAACTTCACTGTCAGATTCTCCGCCGTCACTGCAAAATCTACTTTAAGTCAGAAAGAAATCGTCGTTTGAACTATCCATTTTGACGTAAGGAGCCTATACACACAAAATGACATGGTTGTACGGGCGTGGCGATACAGATGCTAAACGCGCCAGGAAAAAATGATGCAACCTGCCGCCACTTCCGCGCTTGTGTACAAAGTCTATGGAGAGTCATTTCAAGTATTTCCTAACAAATTTGGAAACATTTCTCAGTCCCAGATTCATGTGTCTTATCATCATATTTGCAACGAATGACCTTCATTGAGATGATATATAAAAAAAAAAGTGGCGTCAGGTTGCAACATCTTTCCAATACTTCTGTTGACGCAATACTTCTGTTGACGCAATGGTTTAAGTCGAAGAATACACTCGCAAGTATGAATTCTTAATTTACGAATTCACACTTTCTCGTGTATTCTCCTTAACATAGTCAGTCACCCGTAGTGGTGGTCTCAATTTTTAAACAGAGCATTGTTTCTGAAATGTTTCATTACAACATCGCAAATTTTCAGCTTCTAGTAGGTCAGCATAAACATCAATAAGTGATAGATTATTAGTGTCAAATGTGCAGAGTTTTGAATCTTTTTCTCCTGTCCAAAACAAATCTGTCTATTTTTCTTTCTTTCTTTTTTGACAGTTTTGGTGTCAAGCCAACTTTAGAGACCCAGTTTCATGTTGGTGTCATGAAAACGACCATCGATGATTGTCAGTTTGTCTGCATTGCTCAAGATCATTACTACAGAATACTGACGCAGGGTGAGTGTTACGCTGTGATCACAGTTGTGAATGGTGGCTCTGTGTTGTGGAGGTCAGTGTGGTGCCTGACCTTGGGGTCCATATTTGGGTCAGTAGAGATCAAGCTCAATCACGGATTGTTGATTGACTAATGGTTAAGCTGTGACATGTGTTGTGCCTGTGCCCTAAGATTAAAGTGCTAACAACTCAACCAACAATGGTCGTCACAAACTTCACAATCCTGGCTCTCTAATACTCATTGCAGTAGGCATGACTATTAATAACCATTGATACCAAACCCTGGTAGGCTATAGTCCCACATACTCAACTAGACTAATCCAACCATTGCTGACTAGCATAAGTTCACTGATCAACCTTGGTCGGGTCTTGGATACCAGTTTGATTTCTTACACCAATGGCATGGAGCTGCTTAATTGTCGGTATGAAACTGTTGTGATAAATTGATTCTTCTTAACGCTCTTGGGAATGTCTCTTACAGGAGAGGAGAATATACGCCGCATTGAGGAGAATGGACAAGTAGTCATGATAACGGAACACAGGGTACTAGATGACAGAAGGCAGGGCCATATACTAATTAAGGTAAAGATTGTTATACCCCATCCCACCTCAACGTAATGTGCCCTCTGTCAATTACACAAACTTTCGTTCGTATCAGCAAAAAAAGCCAATCTTGTTTGGTCACAGCATGAAATAGTTGAAATGCACTAAGGTGTCCATGGCCCGAAAAAAACTAGGAAAAAGTCATGGATGTTGTTGTTCTAAGTTGCAGAAACCCTGTGTTAAGTACATGTTTTGCCATTTCTAATGGTGTTTTAGGGCCGTTTATTTTCTTAATGTCATCTTAGGCAGAAATTTCAATGTTACTAGGGAGACATCTTGGTAATAACATTCTCACTTGTTGGGAAATGGAATGGGCATTGTTAATAATGCAAATATGCACTTGAAAAAATTTTTAAGCCAGAAGAGCGGTGTCTCATGATGTTCTTAAGTTCCGATCAGAGTATGTCGAAAGCAATAGATGTTCCAGGGGTCATACATTATATATTAACTGACCATTTACCATATTGGCCCCCAACATTTAAACTGTTAATTCATTGTATGTGCATGTGACTGCTCAACATTTCCTGTGCAAGATTTCTGCATGAGTAGTCTTTCTGTGTGTCTCAATTCACTGTATGTTTGGTCCAAGTACATGTATGTTCTTGAGGTATAATTTCATTTCATGGAGTGGTTGATTAGTTCTTGCATCTTGTTGTTTTGCAGGCCACCCCAGAGAGGCTGATCTTGAATCTGATGGAAGACAGCTCCCCTGTTGACCCGACCTATGTAGAAGACTTCCTGATGAGTTATCGTATCTACCTCCCCAGCCCACACCAAGTGTGTGACAGTCTGCTTCACTGGTTTCAAGACGTCAACCTAAGGGACAAGGTACAAAGACCATCATCAAAAGCTTCCTATTAATAAACACCTTAAACCCCAACTCTGTCAGTTTTCTGAATCTTCAAAGTCACCAGGTTTGAAACGTCTTTCAATATTGGGCTTTTCCCTTCACTGATATTATGTCATAACACTGTATATTCTGTGTTGTCCAAGGGCTTGCCAGTAAACTTCTCAAACTTACTCAGGTGGGCCTTGAACCCACAACTTCCTGCTTATGAGTGCAAATTTCTTAACCAGTCGACCACCAAGCTTGCTGGGGTAGGCTAGCTGGCTTGAATCTGAGAGAAAAGCAGGTATTACAATCAATTACTAGTTTGTATGAACTGTTTCTGAAATGTCTTAAACTCCAACTGCCTGGGCATTTATGCCATGAAGCTTTGCAAATCCTCGAAAGATTGGAGAGACTTCCAATGTGGTGCCACACAAAGACGTGACTGCAGTGTTGCCATATTACAAACATGCTGATAGCCAAAAGCAAAACTGCATTCCTTTCTCTCTGGCACTTGGCAGTTTTTTTCAGTTTTTGTCGTGCCTAGCATATGTTGAATACTTGTTGTGGATAACAATTAGTTTAGGGTGGAAGAAATATCCTAAGGGAAATGTGACCCAGCCCAACAACATGTGTGACAAGTCACCAGATCTGCCATGATAGCTGAGTAATAGGCCCATTAACCCAATCTTTTCTAACATTCCTATATTCACCTTAAATTGAATCAGTTAACGGATTGTGGTGTTCCGTCTGAAATGTTAAACTTGCAGCGATCAGTGACTAATCTATATTAAATTTCCGTTACAATGCCCCCTCCCCAGCTCACATTAATGTTCACAGATCACATGGCATGAGTCAGATACAGAAGACTTGAATCATTCTCATACGCCCACTTTCCCGTCTTGTCTGATTCAGGTGACCCGGGTACTACTGCTCTGGGTCAACAACTACTACAGCGACTTTGAGCGATCACCGGATATGATAGAGTTTCTAGAGACATTTGAGGACTGCTTAGAAAAAGAGGTATTGTTGGAATGAGAGAAATTTGTAAACAGAAAGAACGCAGTCATCTACTATGCCTATACAAATAGTAATCACCTGAAATACTTACTTAGCTAGTCACTTCTTCATGTCGTGTGCATTCATTGTGACTGCTTCTCAGCTGATTTAGTCAGCTGACATTGGCCCCTTGTGTGGATAGGCGCATGCAATGTGTATTCATTGTGACTGGTTCTCAGCTGATTTAGTCAGCTGACATTGGCCCCTTGTGTGGATAGGTGCATGCAGTGTGTATTCATTGTGACTGGTTCTCAGCTGACATTGGCCCCTTGTGTGGATAGGCGCATGCAGTGTGTATTCATTGTGACTGGTTCTCGGCTGATTTAGTCAGCTGACATTGGCCCCTTGTGTGGATAGGCGCATGCAGTGTGTATTCATTGTGACTGGTTCTCGGCTGATTTAGTCAGCTGACATTGGCCCCTTGTGTGGATAGGCGCATGCAATGTGTATTCATTGTGACTGATTCTGAGCTGATTTAGTCAGCTGACATTGGCCCCTTGTGTGGATAGGCGCATGCAGTATGTATTCATTGTGACTGGTTCTCGGCTGATTTAGTCAGCTGACATTGGCCCCTTGTGTGGATAGGCGCATGCAGTGTGTATTCATTGTGACTGGTTCTCAGCTGATTTAGTCAGCTGACATTGGCCCCTTGTGTGGATAGGCGCATGCAGTGTGTATTCATTGTGACTGGTTCTCAGCTGATTTAGTCAGCTGACATTGGCCCCTTGTGTGGATAGGCGCATGCAGTGTGTATTCATTGTGACTGGTTCTCAGCTGATTTAGTCAGCTGACATTGGCCCCTTGTGTGGATAGGCGCATGCAGTGTGTATTCATTGTGACTGGTTCTCAGCTGATTTAGTCAGCTGACATTGGCCCCTTGTGTGGATAGGCGCATGCAGTGTGTATTCATTGTGACTGATTCTGAGCTGATTTAGGTTAAACACATCAAAACTTTCCATTACAGCTCACAGTTTGTTTCCAGTCGAGCCTGTCTTTAGTAATAAAAACAAAACAATGCAGAACTCTGAACTTATGATGAAAGCTTTCCATCCTCATGTCTAGGTCCCACCACTTCCTTTCAGTGTCAAGAATATTAGGAGCCAGCCTACTCTGTTCTTGTGCAAACCCTTGCCTTTCTTGGATCATGATTTGATTTTAAAACTATTAGCGGATGAACACTGAACAGTTCACATGACCTGGGGAAATGTAAACACCCTTGACTCTCACACCTTGTTGCCCTGATTTAACTTGGGATATATTTGCCAAGTTGGTTATCACAATCTCACAAATTTCAAGATTTAATTTTGTTTTGTTTTTGTCTGTGAACAGACCATGGCTGGTCAGCTGAGGTTACTGCACATAGCAGGAGCTGCCAAGGCTAAACCTAGGACCGTTGTGCTGGTGAGGAAGACATATCCTGATAGCATTATCTGTATAGGGCTCTTTCATGTGGAGCTAACACCCGGTGCTGGGTTGTCACGATTGTGACAACTGTATAATTATGCCATTTGATAAAGTATTTGTAGTTATTCTATGTGAAAATAACCCCTTCTGTCTAGTTTACAATGCAAAACATGGTTGCTTACCAAACGCTTGCCTACTGCAATGGTGGCTGATCACATGGAGACCACATGGTAACGTGGTACTTGGATGTCATACCATTGAAACCTATTGATTTGTCATTTAAGAGAAACAACCATTTAAGCCACTAATTCTGTTTTACCTGCAGTGCATCATGGGTACAAATAGACAATAAGTTTGTGGACAAACAGTTCTCATTTTGCAGTAGCAAACAAGGACTTGGTAGTTTTTAAAATGTGCACTTTTTCTGGACGCATACAATTTAGGTTTTTCCGTGTGTAGTCATGGCTATTAATTAACAGACTTCAAATGCGTACATTGGATAATATTTGTTGAAAATTGACCGTGAAGGTGAAAACTGACCAGTTAGAGACGAATACTTGTCAGTCATGTGAATCATTCCTATTGCAGCGCCACTCATAACTGGTAATAATCCTGTTGAATATCATGAATGTTGTCATACACCTTGACCATAGTGCACACATGGGTTTATATGAACAAAGATATTAACAGATAGGGGGAAGCCAACACACGGTTGCAAAGCTCAATTACTAAAGCGTGGTTACAGTCCGAATCCCACTCCACTCAGTTACTTCGCTCATTCTAATATGAAAAACAGAAATATAAGATTTGAGTGAATGATCCCTTTCAGGCTCGGTCAGACCGGGACTCCAAGCTATCTTTCTCCATTGTGGGCGGCTGGGAGAAGAAGATGGGAATCTTTATCTCCAAGGTAGAGCGTGGCTCCAAGGCACAGACGGTGGGGCTGCGTAAGGGAGATCAGCTACTAGAAGTCAATGGTCACAGCTTTGAGCATGTCACCAGGACCAAAGCCCTGGAGATACTCAAGGGCACTACCCATCTCAGTATTACGGTCAAGTATAATACACTAGGTGAGTGGAGCCAGTGCAGTGTTCAAATTAACTTTGAATGAAATCTTGTGTTCTGCTAATTATTTTGGCCCTGCTAGCCCTTTTCAACCCCAGCATGCATCCATCCTGTTCCCTTCCCTCCCCGCCTCAATGTATCCGCAACATTTTAATTACTCTCTTCCTATATCCTATCCAGCATTTCGGGACCTGATTGCATCTCAGGACGGAGCTGGTCGCAGTACCAACTGGGGCCGTTTGCCCAGCCAGGAGATTCAGCTGCTGCAGGCTGATCCCCGAGCCAGGCTGACCATCCCAGACCTAGCCCTGGCTGTCCCTTTGTCTCAGATGTCACCTGAGATCAAAGCCAAGAGCAAGCATGAGAAGAGGGGTGGTTTCGCCACATTGGGACACAAGACCAAATTGCGCAAAGCCATGGCCAAACTCAGTATCTTACCCAATAAGACCACAGCAAGGTGAGGTTATGTAAGGTACTCATTACCCAACTATGTCAAACAACAGGCAATCACATGTCATGAGAAGTCGGCAATAGACAAAGAAGATTTTGTCCACAAGGGAGGAATGAAAAATAGGCAAACTTAGTGTAGATTTTGAGTTAAAAATCATTATAAGGTGTTTACTGAAAACTTTGGACTAAAGTTCATTATTTCCATAAGTTGGTTGTAATGCCAAATTGAGGACCCCCTTCCTGGAAAAGATACGTAAATTGCTGGGGAAAATTTACTTTACAAATTTCATTTGCAAGAAAGTTGTTTCAACTTAAAATAACATTTATTATAAACTCAAAAGTTGAGCCGAGAGCCTTTGCCAGACATTTGCTGATTGCTGTAAGGTCCCTTTAGCTCTAGACCATTACAGGAATGAATACAATTATTTTCTATAGATTGATATTTACCCATGCTACTCCAAATCTCAAGAAGTCCAACACCTGTATTTGTTGTATATTAATGGATTAATGTTGTGATTGAGACTACATGGTAGTAGTGAGGACTGACTTTCTCCATTTTTTTTTTTCCAATTTATTTTGTAGGACCCAAGATGACTCCTCCACCCTGATGCGGCATTCCAAGTCAGGCAGCATTACCGGCAGCAATCCCTACCTAAGTAACAGCAACCCAGACCTGTCTTCTATTGCCTCCATACCCATGTATGAATCCAGCACCTATATGGGAGGCAATGACTACCCAGAGCATGTACTCAAGCTCTACCGAGCTGACCAGTCCTGCAAGTACTTCCTGGTCCACAAGGTCAGTCAGGCAATACTTTATGGGCTGAATAGTTAGTAGTTGCTGTGATCGTTGTTCGATTTAGATATCAATTTGAGTTGTAATGACTTAAGTCATTGACTTGACATGAGTTTGACTCGAGTCTGACTCATTGAACATGTTCGGTAACTTGACAAGAATTGCGCCACTATGGGCAAGGGATTTGACTAAGTCTTTGGGAACAAATGAATCCACTGGACTTGGCTCTGTTAACAAAAGTCTTGACTCAATTTGTGTAGCAGCTTGTCAACACTTGAGCAACATAGTAAAGTGACTCCACACTAGTTTCTTCTTTTGGTACAGGTTTAAGTTGGCTTGGGTTTGCAACGCACATGCAAATATACATCATATCACCAAGTCCTACCTCATACTGTTATCATTGAAATTACTGACTCAGTTTGGAGACCAAATAAGACTGCACCAAAATGTCAGTGACTCAGTTGAATTGAACAAGAATGTGACAACCAAAGAACACTTTATGACTCAACGTGAAGTCTTGACTATACCTTGTTTACGTATGAAGGCTGGACTTGACTTGAGTCGATGCCTGAGAATGATTTGACTCAGTCACAATATCCATCAACTTACAACACTGTTGATACTCGATTGAAATTTGTCCGTCCCAGGAGACGACAGCATTAGAAGTTGTGATGCTAGCCATGCGGGAACATGGATTGACCGAAGCAGCTAGCTCTGGTACTTACTCCCTCTGTGAGGTGACCGTCGCTCCCGGTGGGATGGTCAAGCAACGCCGACTGCCAGACCATCAGAATGATATCGCCAGCAGACTCAGTCTATGTGGCAGGCTCTTCCTGAGAAACAACATGGCTTCAGAGACCCTCATGCCTGATGAGGTTGCTGTGGTGAGTCATTAGCGCATGTATATAGCACTGTGTTACATGATAATAACTCCTTGATGAATCCATAACTCTGCAGTGCTTGGATGGTGCAGGCCAGTAAAGGGAGTATACATGTATGTAGCACTTGTGTAGTAGCAGTTCATACTTGACATCAATTGAGACATTTGTTCATTTAATGTATTGAAGCTATTCTGCATTAACTTTTTGTTTTCCAGTTTAAACTCTTACATGTATATATATAATTTCTATTCATAAATACCTCAGACAGTTTAGCCATTCCTATTGGTCGAGAGCCCGTCACGTGGCCGGTCTTAAACGGATGATAAAGACATGGCTAGCTGGTCTTAAACACTTTTCCAGTGTCACAACAAAATGTGGACTCCTAAAAATCCAGTGCCTCTTACCGTTTCATTGGTTGAACGTTCACAATCCTCACGTAGGCATGCGCAACACTACATGCGAGTCAGAATTTTATAGTTCTAAATTCAAAACGCAACGCCCCAGGTGCGTTCTGCGTGACATCGCGCAGAACATGCTACGCGCGCGTCAATCTCCATAAAAGGGTTGTTTACATCTTAATCGCCAGCTGAACACTCCATTATTTTGCTAGAGGGATGTTTCAAAAAGCATGAAGTGAACTTGTTGAACAAAATCGGGATTTTTTGAACGAATTATTTGATATTTTTTTACGGATAAGGTATTTATGAATGGGAATAAATATGTGCTCGGTCGGTATTTATCACTCTGTTTAATACCGCTTAGAGTCTGGGTGCTGATAATTACCCTCGCCTCCGGCTCGGGTAATTATCAGCACCCAGACTCTAAGCGGTATTAAACAGAGTGATAAAAACCTCTCGAGCACACATTTATTCCCTTAGTGATATCCAGCTTTGTTTCTTAAGGTTAAAGTAATGTTGGTCCAAAAGTACCTTACCTGTTGGACTAAAAATATTGGGGAATTGTCCCTCTCTGCCCGTGGCCCTACCACCCATATCCCTACCCTGAACCCCTCTATCAGTACCATATTCCACGCGCTATATGACAGGGAAGCATTAGCCTCAACAATAGCACTGACAAGTTTGAAATCCAAATCACTTTGATCAAATCACTTCACTCCACCTCAACCTTCGACTGTTCAGGAGTTGTTAAAGGACAGCCAGGTCACCTTCCTTCAGTTGGATTCCAACGAAGTTGCAGCTCAGCTGACATTACGAGACTATGGCATCTTCCAAGAGATTGAGGCTACTGACTACATCGAGGACCTCTTTGTACTGCAGGCCAAGGGCTCCAATGACAGGCTGCAGTTATTTGAAGAGGTTGGTTACTTTCACTCATTTCCCACCTGCCCTTCATCTTAACAAAGACTGGTGTTGTGGACTAAGTGCCTGAACATTAGATGGAACTTCAACTGTGACAGAGTCCACAGTTTTCCTTACGTAGACTTCATGCTAGAACTGTCGATGGTGCCGTTTGGTCTTACTTAACACAACCAATGGACTGACTCACTGTTTGGTGGTGCAGACAGGTAATTGACTAGTTAGTGTGCATAGATGCCCAGCATCTGCAACTGAGAGAAATCAACCTTAGTGTAAGCTGCAGGTGGCAAGGCGGGCATGTGTGCCTCAGTATTTGTGCATTTTGTCTGTGTCACCATTAAAGATTTACTTGTGCATGAAGTCTAAAAAAATGTTAGCCCTTTCAAAATGTGTAGTTTGCTGGAATGTTTTGCTCCTAACATAGTTTCCATGATGGTTTTTAAATGAGCCTACTTAAATTGAAGTGTTTGCTTTCATTTTGCATACTTCTAAAATTCATGTAAATGTGAAGAGCACAAAGAACATTTGTATTTACATTTTGTGTAACTAGAACTCTTTGAAAAAGTTTTAATACATGTTCGTACTGCATCCCAAGCAGTTTAAACAATGAGTGAAAATGACTGTTATAGCGGATAATTGTTTCACAATGTTTGCACTTGCAGATTGTGAATAATGAGTTATTCTGGGTGGTGACAGAAGTCTGCAATGAGCTCAACTTAGTCAAGAGAGCTAAAATCATCAAACAATTCGTCAAAATAGCAAGTAAGTAGAGACTCTGCTGCTTTTGCTCTGAAAAGTGGCAAAGAAATCCTAGAAACATGCATTCAATTGACTTGGCTTATTCCATTATATGTACTGACAAAATGTGGGAATTGTAATACAACAGGTTTTTTGTAGACTTAAAGGTTTGCATTGTAGACATGAACAGAGATTGGAAGGTTTGTGGTAACACTATGTGAATAATATCTCTTTTGAGTTGTGTGGTTCTTAGAAGAACCAATTGTTTTAACTCAGCGTTTCCAACAGTTTGCTTTGTTCATTATTAGGAGACTGTTTTTTTTATTGGTGAAGAATCTGATGCTAAGCATGTTGGCATTCTATGTGTGGTTCGCATCTGACTCTGAGCCATCAATTTACACTAGAATCAGGAGAGTAACTTTCGTTTGTGACCTGGATTTAGATCCCACTCAGCCAGCATGGATGGGCTATTCAGGCCCTGCATGAGTTTATCGGTTATACTCAATAATATTCTAAAACTGGACATGTCTTTAGTGTCTTCTAAGTTTTTCAAGGCTGCTGAACTACAGTGCATGTGTTTTTTAAGGTAACCTTGAATAGAGAAAAAGTGAAATGAATGAAGTGAATAATAAGAAGTGATGAATACTATTGCGATTGTTATTTGACATTGCTCAGGGCACTGCAAGGACTGCAAGAACTTCAACTCTCTCTTTGCCATCATCAGCGGTCTTGGACATGGCTGTGTGTCAAGATTACGCAGCACCTGGGATAAAGTGCCTGCCAAATACGTCAAGATGTTTGAGGATCTACAAGACCTAATGGATCCATCTAGGAACATGTCCAAGTACCGTAACCTTGTCAGCTCAGAGCAGGTCCAACCCCCATTGGTAAGACTCAAGTTGTCAGCAGCTGGTTTGACCAAAACAGTTCATAACATATGCTATGCATAGAATGTATGCAACCAATGTTCCGTAGCTTGCTAGTGTACATTCAATTGATTTCACCAAAGTTGGCATAGCTTCACAATCTGGTAAATATTCCCTCTAGCTTGGACAGGGATGACTTTAATGACAGCCTAATGTGTTCTATTGCATAGCACTCACAAAACAGCCATTGGATAAGCATCTCCCACTGTATGTAAAAACAGTTTTGTCCTATTTTTCTTTGAATCTCTCATGGATAAAACAGCCTTTCATTAACTTAAAAACAATGCTTTGGGTATTGTGTATCAACTTGATAAGTCAGGCAAATGACAGGCTTTACCACAATCATCTCTCTGTAGAGTTGTGCATTTTATTAGTACACTGTAACTTACCCCACATAACATTAATATTTTCTCTGTCTAGATACCATTTTTCCCAGTTGTTAAGAAGGATCTGACTTTCATTCATCTCGGCAATGACACCAAAGTGGATGGTCTGATCAACTTTGAGAAGCTGAGGATGGTGTCTAGGGAGGTGCGCTACATTGTCAGCATGGCCAATGCAGCATATGTAAGTCACTCCCTCTCTTACACTCACTGCAACTTTAGGCAACTCTCTGACTTTTTGGAATTTATTGCAGTTATTTCCAGAATGCTTAATTTATTCTGGAAATGACTCTCAAAATTCACTCTTCTCCCAGAATTTTTGTTTGGATTCCTGCCTGTTCATCTTTGGAAATTTGGTTCCTCATTCCTCCCTCATTCTCACCTCATTGTTCCAATTTTACTTTTGACAGGATCCCCGTCAGCTGTTAGCTCCGAAGATGACGGGCTCAGGCTCTCCTCTGATTGGCTCCAGCCTAGCATCAGTCATGGGCTCCAGCGTCGCAACATTGCCCCGGAAACGCAGCCAGGGCAGGCGCAGTTCAGCTGTCATCAATCCCAAGAAGATGTGGGAGGAGGTATGGAAGGCTGAACAGCCATCTCATCCGTAGTAGTCAAGTAGACTTGAGGCTTGGTCTTATACATTAGGACAGGCACTTCCTCTAAGCTTCATTGGTACAAGTATTAAGCAGCCACTTAGCACAGAATTGCAGAGCGCAGAAAGACATTTGCTTGAAAAAAAGAGGTTATCAACCTAATTTTGCTTCGCATGCATTTTTGTAATATTTTTGTATCTATATAAGCAATACATTCAGCTTTCATGGCATTTGTAGATGATATTGTGTTGGTTGATATGCACATTGATGATTCTACTTCCCTTGTAGTTGCTTGGCGTACCCACAAGCCTATTTGTGTGCATGTGTGTTATTAAAGGTAGAGTATATCATTTGTCATTTGTGCATTTTTTTTCGTTTGACGCAACCAAAGTGCTCAAAATCTAAAGAAGGGTGCTTAACAACTAACCTGATGAAGTTTCAGCTCAGTGAATGCTGTATATTCCGAGAAAACAATATTTTAGGATCTCGATTTCAGTTTAAAAATTGTCAAGTCATGTTTTGGATTGCAACCGAAATCAGCATCGGAGACACGTTCTCAATCAGCCGATTGCAGCAACATCATGCCACGCACTGAACCGATGAGTTGTAGTGACCGAGCGCCCTTGTGTGCGTCGTATCAACGCTTGTGCGCACCCATTCACAGCTTCACCAAATTAAAAACGAACTACTTAGGAAAATCTTTGGAAATTACCTTCTTTCACTGTTTTCTTCCAAATGACAGCATGCAGAAAGAATCATTTGTAGGGATTTTAGTTCCATTACTATCTTTGAACCAAGTTTGCTTTTCAACAATAAATTTTCAGTTACTTTATGGATAGCTGCAAATGATATACTCTACCTTGAACATCAGTTGACCCTGTGCTGCAGTTATAAGAATGACAATTCTGTGACCTAATGAACTACATGTTCTAGAACCCTCTCAAAGTGGAAATGATGAATAGTGCTAGAGACACTTCAACATTACTGCTGCTGTGCATCTAACTTCAGGTGAATTTGTCTGACGTGTTCTGCACTTGATTGAGTTGGCGATACAGCTCTATCTGATGTTACTTCATTGATTCCAACTCTAAATGACATTGAGGCAGTCATTGGACTAATAAAGCTGCACCAGTGAGATATATGTACCTGTAATTACTCAGGATTACTTCATACTAGAGTCTTCCTTGTGATTTTTCTTCCCATTAGTCTCAGATGTGCCGGCGTGTCAAGCAATATCTGAGTGTTCTTGCCATCGTACGAGATGAAGATGAGCTGAGAGAGTTATCACTCAAGTGTGAACCAATCGCCAATTCAGGTATTTCTTTTTACTGTAACACAGCTAAACCCTGCAATACACAACAGTATGCTAGTTTTTAGGTACTGTCATCAGATTGGACCAAATCATCCCTTTTTTTTAAGCTGTTGGATTCTTGTTAGATTCTTGTTAGATTGAGCGGGCTTCATGCTTCTTAGAATGCTTTGGATTCACGTAGAAATGCCCGAGGAAATAACAAAAGGAGATTAGGATGTATTCACCCTGAAGCGAAGAATGTGAAGATGACGAGGGTTTCATCACAAGTGCCTGTTGCATTGTACGTCAGCAAGCCATCACATACTCATGGGGAGAAAACAAAGAAATGCAATTTTAAATATAAGAGGAGATCCCAAGATTTGTTTCTGGGTTGGGCAGAGGAACCACACACTATATAGTGTAAAGTGTTAAAGATGCAGAGGGCTGGTACGTGTAGACAAACTTGTCTTGTGTATGCCACATGTATCACTAATTAAGAAAGACGACCCAAAAAACCCATTTGTTGGTTTGTCCCGATCTAGCATTCCATGTGATAAAGTTCTGTTAGCAAATAGTGTTGTGTAATAAGCTACAAATGCACAGTTGTGTCTTATGTTTTTGACGATACACAGACACTTGTCTGTCTGCCACCTACCTTGTTTGAGTTTACACATTTATGTTGTTATTAGTTAAATCATTAATTGTATTCCTGTTTTGTCCCGTTGTTTCTAATGAAGCCATTCAAAGGATTACTGGTGGGGGTGAGTTTGATATTACAGGGTGTGTCACAGTGTCTGTCAACTAATCCCCTGTCCCTTATGTAGAAAGTTGGTCTGAGGTGGTCATCTTGGTGTAGCTACCCAAGCAATGGTATACGAAAGCTGACATAAGCACATAGGTATTGGAACCAAGATGGCCACTATGCACTAATGACTTTATATAACCGACATACAGATCCTTGTCATTTGATTGGTGGAACTCACATCACGTGACATTCGTTATTACTCCCATTCACGCAGGGGCTCAAAAAGTCCAATTCGCCCGTGGGGAATGGGAAATACTATTGAACAGTTAGGATCATTCTTGTTCCAAGACGCGGTATTTGTGTGCAAATGCATGCTGGTGTGCGCGTTGAGCTTTGCGCGTAGCGCGTATTGTTCCAAAGAGCCAGCGCTACAGAATTGGGTTCAAACATTTTTGTGAAGGGATGGTTTGGAAGAGAGAAATACATTTCCCGTCAATTTTGTAGTGAAATAAAAGTTCAAATATATATCAAATGACAACGATCTATATGTCAGTTATATAAAACAAATATTGAGTGGCTTTAAATTGTGAAATGGGAGGAATATTATCGCTCGGTAAAATCTGGACTTTTCCAGTTCACTTGGCTTCGCCTCATGAAATGGAAAAGTCCAGATTTTTTACCTTGCGATAATATTACTCCCATTTCACTCTGAGCCATTCAGTATTTGTATAATGTGTGTGTGTGTATGTATTACAGGTTGTTTTGTGCTTGGTATAAGTGGTGATGTTCTTCTTAATTCCTAACTGGTATCTCTGTGTGTGCTTTTTGCTGTCGTAGTGGTACATCACTTCTTGCTGAGGTCATCAGCACTTCCTTAGGATCACGCTGCTAGCATACACAATGCCCTGTTGATTTGTAGCACAAATGCACTCAACACTTTATAATGTAAAAAGTTTCACTCTTCTAACTCCAATATGAGGGCAAACACATTGGAAGCTGCTCAGTAGCAGGTTGTCGGTGCACTAGGGAGTGTCATTATTGCTTCTGATACCAGAAAAAGCAAATACACAAATATGGACTTAGCGGTCAGCAAATGTATAGCCTTCCTGTCCATGTAGTTCACAAGCTCACCAACGCGCCATGTAACAAAAGTTACATGACGTGTGGCTACAGCAGTGTGTTGGTATCATCTTAGTAGCATCACATCTAGGAGAAAACAGAGACAAAGTGCAGACGAAATAAATATAATGCTGATGGGTCCTCTATTGGTAGCCATTAACAAAGATGACTGAATCCTTGCAACTCAACTCTTACTTAATAGTGGTTAACATACTTTGCAAAGTTGCAAATATCTATTTGAAGCCTCTCTCTCTCCAATCCTGCCAAATACACCTTGAGGCTTGGCAGGATTTGGCAGGATTTGGCAGGATTTGGCAGGATTTGGCAGGATTAACGAGGGACATCTTGCCCAATTAATATCAAAAATACTAAAGGAGAAGAGTTGTTTCTTTCATATTTGAGGATTTTATGGGATTTGGGAGCTTCTCAAAAAAAAAAGAAAAAGAAAAAAATTATAAAGGCGAATACATGTAACTTCATGAGAAAAAAAAATTGCCTTCCATATTGTCTTTCTTAGCAACTGTGGCACATTTCATGCAAACTGTCCAAGCGGCGAAAGTTTTGGATATTCACAAATACATGTAGATAGAATGAATTCACTGCAAAGAAGACAAAGAATCAAAAGAACCACAAATCTGGGAAGCACTGGGGATTTCCCCATAAATTGACACAACAGAGGCCAAACCGCTCCAAATACCATGGTTGGCCAACTCAGCTTAAAGCTTGCACTTTTCAATTTTATAGGACTGACATGTATTATTGAATGCTTAATAAACATGCAATCAAATGTTTAATGTTTCTCCTTAAGTATTGAACTTTTCATTTCGGGAGTCAACAAATATTCTGGTTCTTTGGTGAGCTACTTGTATGCACATTTTGTGTATACTGTTCCTCTTGTAGTGTGTGATCTATTATTAACTGATTTCTAAATATTTGAATTAATACTGCTGTGCCACTGATGTTCTGCTTCATTGATAAACAACAGTATTACTGGAATTCAGTTTTCTTGACAAACCCTATGTTGTGAAAACAAAAAGAACTACAAAGCACTGGCTATTTAATGATTTCTGTAAACGTTTTCAATTTCAAGCCTAATGTACAGTTTTGGGCGGTTTTATTCATTTAACCCTAACTCCCTAGGGGGTGTGCAAAATCATATTAAAATTGCAGGATTCAGGACTGATAGGGCTAAATTTTGGAGCAAAATTGTGTGACAGAGCACACTGTTTTCACTGAACATCCGCTGCACAACACATGATAAAGTGGAAACAGATTTCTTGCCCAGTTTTATGGTTGAAATCGATTTCCTGAAATGGAAAACAAACATTTTAGGAAATAGAAAATCAGTGGCGTTATACTACAATCATTTTGATTGCGATGTGACAGTTGTACTCTTCTGAAAATATGAAATTTTCCCAGTCACAACATTTACCTACCCTCTGTCAGTGAAATCCTTCTTGCTCTTGTACTTTATAACACTTCCATTGTAGAATTCCATGTATAATTGTTCTCCATTCTTGGGCTGATCTTTGTAGGCTCCATGAACTCAGGCCAGATGCGGCGTAGTTCTCAAACCAGTCAGAGTTCGTTGACCTCAACCCTGGCCCCACCTGCCACCACATACAACAAGCAGGAGGAGGAGATCAAGAAGATCATCTATAAGGATGCACCCAAGACGTCCTTTGGTAAGTTGTGGTTTCTCTTGTCCTTGAGTTGGATATTTTACAGCAATAGAATGAATTTTTGAATGTTTGCTTGGCAATGACTTCTTTTAAGTGCAGGGTCTGCATATGTTGACATGCGGTTAACCATAATTGTTCATGGTATCATACATTGCATATTCCGACCTTAAAAAAAATTGTAATGGAACCCATCCCCTCCCCCAAAAGGAAAATTTTCCCATGCGCACAGGCCAATAAGGCACTACAGCACGGTTGGGTACATCAGTGACGCTCACTCGGCCCTGAAACCAGGCCTGAATTGAAGACTTGTGCAGCGCTGACACATTTTATGCAATAAACATGGCCGTCATTACGCGTGTATGTTTTGTGCGAGATGCTGCGGATCTACAACACTTTTAGACACGGCAAAAGCTAATCATAACAATGCCGAAATTACCTTTTTATATTAGAAATCTTAGAAATCTGAAACACTGTACAAAGTTTTGTGTGCTTGGCAAGTTCCGTCTGTTTCAACCACAAAGTTGCATGCTGGAAGCCTGGAAAAGCCATTGAAAACTCCTCAGCTTGGAGAGCATTGACCTAAAATATCTGCTTTATTTGAAGCATTACTTTGTTCTTCAGTGTATAGGATATATTTAATAGTCATTCAACATTTAAAAATTGGAACATTTAGAAATTGGGGTGGGTGGGTGGGTCACAACAATTTTGAAAAAGATCATAATTTTTTTTAATTGACTGTTCTGAATGGCCCCTGATGGCAGGTTTTGTGTATCATGAATTGTTCATGCAACAATTAAGTCTTCCTTTATTTCCTTAAACTTTATGAATGGAACACAGTTTGGTATGTAGATAACAAAGAATCTATGCCTTTGAAAAAATAGTGAATTTTTATGTTCTTCAGGTGTTCTGTTAGTGATTTCCTTGTTATTTGTCATTTGGTAAGCATTAAGATTTAATAGTGTCAGGTCTGCTAAATTTGCTTTGGACATTCATTGGAATTAAAGCAACAAGCTGATGAATTTTGGGATTTTTCACTCGTTTTTGACCCCAGGTGCCACGTCACCAAAGAATCTTCGCAAGTTGTTATCCCTCTCAGAGGAGGGGGAATCACGTCTAAGCACCATGAAGGTCCAGAAGTCATCCCACTCCAAAGGCCCTCCATCGTCTGGTCAGAGTAAAGTTGGTCCAGCCTCTCCAACGTCAAACGCCATCAGTCGCACAAGACGAGTGGCCGTTACAAACCGAGGTACAAACCAATGTTATAGTACTAGCAAGATTGTAGAATTGTGACAGATTTTCAGATAGGGCCCGTTGATGATGTGAGAAATATCAAATATCAGATAACTTACAAAGGGAAACTGCGTAGGTCCACTTTTAAGGTGACAAAAACTTGAACAAAAAAATCGCTAGGGTAGTATTTTAATCACTCAAATCAATTTCTTTGTTTAACCCAATGTTTTATACACATTTCTTTTTCACCATTTCAAAATATTCATAAGTGTTGTGACTTTGGATGTGAAGTTAAGTAACATAGCTAGTATGGCTTGGAATGCTTTTGATCAGCAGTACACTCAAGTCTTTTTCAAAATGGAGATGGCAACACAAGGCCGGGTTCATGTTAGTAGCACACTCGGTACAGCAATGGTACTGGTGGCCGATCCAGGGTACCAATGAGCACCATGTCTCTCAGCCCCCTCCCCCTCCCTCTAAAAAGGAAAACAAGAGAAAGGTGCCTATTTAAGAAACTTATTAGAAGGAGCGAAACTGACTATTTTTAATGCATTGCTTTAGTCCATTCTTCCCCCCGCTTCCATGGTTTTCTGAAATATGAATTGAAAGGGGAAAAGAGAAAAGGACAAAAAGAGCAACCCTTAGTGTCAAATGAGTTCCAGCATCCCTTCCTTTTTTATTTTTAATTTGCTTTCAACTGGTTGGTGGCCATCATAATCCAATTGTGTTAGTTTGAAAAGATACATTGGACTGTGTTTGATTACTCTTTCAATCCCTATTGTTATACCTCTGTCTTGAATACTGTATTTTCATTGGCCTAGAACGATCACGTGTTAAGTTTATAAAAAGTCATAGTGCACTCCTTGTGGGATATCAGGTACGTGATATCCCACCTGGGAGTGTGATATGACTTTGTGCGTACAGTACGTACGCGTAGGTACACGTTTCACAAGTAAAATGCAGCGAACTTGCGGACGATCAACCGTGCATGTGAGTTGACGTCGTGTCATGATTGTTGTGTTTACTGCTGTTTGTTTTCGTGATTTTTACATTCAAATCCAAAGAATCCACTCGGCTTCGTCTCGGGTGCTATGCGCCCCTCGGGCTTTAAAACGTCATATCCCACATCACACCAGTCAACAATTGTTAAATGTTCAGGATACGTTGATGTATTAAAAGGGTGAATTCATTGATCTGGATGGCAGACACTCAGTAATATATTTAGTTGGGCCCATAAGCCTTATTTTGTTGTGTCTGGGGACATATAGTGGATTCTTTGAATGGTTTTTCTTCACAAATTGTTTCTGAAGGGTCATCAGTCAGTACATCATCCACTGAAGGGAATGGCGGTCGCAAGCTGAGCCCTCAGCGAAGTGACAGTGGATATGGAGGCAGTGAGGCAGGCTCCACTACAAGACAAGAACACAAGCCTAAACACAGGCAGACAGGTGTGTGCTGCTAATTAAAGGCCAGTTATTTGATGTTGAGGTTTGCTATTGAATCCTGGATTGGTGGCTAATCAGAAGTGATTAGAATCAAATTTCAAATCAGGAGGACACTTGTCACAATTAATGCCATTTGCCTCTCTGTGATACAGCATTCGCTTGAGCTTTAAGTTGAATTTGCAACATCCTAGGTATTTTCACAGGGCAAGTCATCTTGACAACGAGTAGATTTTTAATGAGATTTTTGGTTAGGCTTAAACGAGATTGGATATTTCACAAAGATGACATGTTTAATGCCATTCATGAGCAGTACACTTTGGTCAACAGATAAACTTAACAGACAATATGCAAGCAAATCAGCCTTTCTTAAAGAACTCTAAATGTCTTTCAATCAGTATTATTGTATTAAGGCTTTGGATGGCCTTATAAGGCTTGCAGAAGTCTTCCTTTGCAGGTAAACAGTTACCCATTTTTTACAAAATTTAAATTGCCAAATTAGTACAAAACATTTCATTGCTGGTTTCTTGTACAAAACATTTCAATTGTACAAATTTTGCAAGAAATTTTAATAAACAGCCAAATTTGTATATGTTTTCCATTAAGGATATACGTGAGTTGTATACTTTTTGTATGAAATCTAAATTGCCAAATTTGTACCTTTTCAATGGCTTGTTCCAAATAATATACAAGCGATGTGAAAATTTGTATGAAATCTAAATTGCCAAATTTGGCCATTTGTATGCATTGGTGGTTTGCAGGGCAACAGCCTGGTATGACTGGACCATATGACAGCTCTGATTCCAGCCAGAGTTGTCTGTCGTCAAACTATGACACACAGAGCAACTCATCCTTTGGTTCCTCCTCACCGCCGATACGAGACCATCAGTTCCCCAACGGTAGGAAACGTACAAATGTTTGTCAAGCAATGTCCTACAGGAGCAGTTTTCACAGGGCTGGCCTGCAGAATTGTAATCACCCTTCAAAAGTTGTCATTGCCCTGACATTTTTACATCATCCTGTTCCAACTGACAAGAAAGATTGTGTGATGGATTCATGATCATTAAAAAGTGTGGATTTTAACAATTCCAGCACATGGTATATCCATCATGACACAGCACCCCAAAGTAGCAACCTTTACTTGACTTGAAGGCCTAAACAATAATTTGTTGCTAAAATATGAGCCTCTGTGATTAGAAGAAAAAAACTTATCACATTTTCTTTTGAAAATTTGTCAGCATTTTTGGGGGTTTCAGTTTGAGTCAAACTTTTCTTTTGAGGAAGTTTCTGTTCAGATCAAAATGATCAGGCCCTCCTGACTGTTAGGATTGATATAATTAGGTCACTCCACTCGCTACCAAACAGCATTTTTATCTAAAGTGTGTCGTATTCACAACAGATTTACCTGGGGGTACCTCAGTGCCTCTCAATAACCAGCTCAAGCCTCGCAGTAGATGGGCCAACCAGGATGATAGGCCCCGCCAACCCCCAGAATACCATACCGCTACCAAAGGCACACCGCCAAAGGCCTCAGGTATGTGCTGAAATAACCCTCAAATATTCCCCAGAAAAGGAATTACATAGAATGGGATGTAGGTGGGGCAATGGCATCAAGCAAACATGGCGGCCACTCATTATGGGATGCTGGTGTCTTTGCCAATTTTGTGGAACCCACAGAAACTAAAAGTAGGATGTTTGTATGTTCACTGTCACTAGCCAAACATGTCAGCATTGATGAGCAGCTCATTCAATACAAATATTCAATGGCAAAATTGTCTTCTTCATTGTACTTGTATAGCCCTAACAGTCCTAAATCCTCCAATTTCAATATGATTTTGCACACCCCCTAGGGAGTTAGGGTTAATGCTAAATGGCTGGATGGGTTGCTGTGTAGGAAGCTTGAGACATTCGGAAATCGGAAATTCATTGCCAAAATTTACGAAATGGTGTGGCCCAATCATTGCACCCATCCTGTGGCAAGTCATTTGTAGGAATGGCACCTAGCAGGAAGAGATAAATAAGAATTTAGTTGGCAACTAACAAGCAAGAAACTAGGGAAAATGCAATCTTCCGCAGGACTTACACGTTGCTATGTGAGAAAAGGATCAGCCCAGGGCTTGATTTCATGGCTCTGCTTAACTTTAGCAACAAAATCTTTGCTTTAGCAGAAGATTATCTGCTTATGGTCAGCACATTTCACAAATTAGCAAGAAATTTTGGGTGATGCATAGGCGCACATTCCATAACTAAGGCTTGTAGCTTACACAGTTAGCACAGATTTGATTTGTTTGCACTGTTGGCACAGAATGTTGATCGTTATTGTGAATCATGTGGTCTGCAGAGTCATGAATTTAGTCCTGGTTTTTCAGGCCGCCTTTCAAACCATGACAACTTGCTTGTAGAGTGCTGAGCCATACTGGATCTCACCATGCTTTCTCTCTGTGTCTGCTGTGCTTTGTTTACTAATAGGGAGGTCTTATTCCCAACCACCCTCTGCTGCCCCTGATATGACACAGCGGCAGCCACCAGACTATGCTGTGGCCACAGCTAGGAAACGTAAGCACATAACCATTGGTGTGACTTTTCTAAAAATATCCTTTCATTTTAAAATTCATGTTAATTCCAACTTCTTGGGCCTATTTTACAGGAATCTTCCTGAATCGTTGCAAATCAAACACATGTTCATTTCACTGAAACAAGATGGACGGGAATAGAAATCTGAGTCTGCCAAAACACCATAAAATCATTATTGGATTGTGGAATATTTTGATTAGTTAGGGTGAACACTTTCTGCTAGAGCAATAAAAACTTGCTGCTGGAGTTGTGGCCATAATTTAACTCTTGCTTTACCAGACCCTTCCAAAAGACTTGATTATTTGCATACAGTGTGCAATGTTTACTGCATAGGCATTACTAGAATGGTGAGCAGGGTCAGCTAATCTGCGGATAAGTAAATGGGCAGCCCTCCCAATCACTCCATTTGAAATCTTTGCTGATACGGGGTCAGCATCCTCCAATGTGCTCCGTCTAAATAGTACATGTATTGGCATTCAAAATCACATTCAAAGTGCAAGGATGAAATCACCTTATGTTTTCTTTAAAAAAATTGATTGTAATGAAATTATGCACAAAACCTTACACGTCTTAATTTTGATTTGTTGTTGAACATTCACATATTAATATTAATGATGTCAAACTAACGTAATGTCTAAATCCTGTGAGTTCAAGTGGAACCCGGATGCACTGTCTGCTTTGTAAAATAGTGATACTGAATGCTGTAATCACAATAAGCAATGTCGTATTATTGGAATACATCACACTGCTGTTGCTATGGAGTAAGCCAATCAGTATCAAGGATTCAAATTATTCAAGATAGTGTTCCTAACAGTGCATCCTGACACTGATGTGATTACTATTTGCTTTTCAGGAGAAATGTCCAACTCAAAGTCAGAGGCTTGTGACTTTTATGATTCAGGTAGGTAACCACAAACTGTGTCCTGACTCCCCTTGAATTGCAATGCTTGCATTTGAATAATCTCTTAGACAAGTATTAAAAAAGGGGTAAAATCTTTAAACATTGCTTGATAGATTTTACTTCATAAATTAGCCATGACTGTCGTAATTTGGTTGAACGAAGACAAACTGACTGAGGGGTGGGGGGGGGGGGATGTGAAGCTGTGACCGCTGGCAAACTGTTCCAAGATGTCTATTTTGTACGCATTATAAACAAACCACCATTAACCACAACTGCCTAGGCCCTTTTGGCTAGGGACCATCCTCAATCCTCCAAAATTATCCGTTATTTCTTGAGTTTGTTCAGTGGAGGGGTGACACTACCTCATGCCTTCCAAATCCTCCAAGAATCATTGTCAATACGTTGAAGCAGTGCGCATGATATCCAGAAGCAGAGCTGATGGTATCCAGTAATTATGCATGGCTGAGTATAAACAATACAGGGTGTACAGCCTATGACATCAACACAGTGCACCCTCCAAAATCAACTCATACTTTTTTGCCATACAGCCTCAATCCTCCAAAATCCCCCAGAGCGCCTGGTTGATTTTGGAGGATTGAGGAGGGTTAGGGTTAGTAAGAACCACATGTCCGTTTTTCTATTCTCCACAGATAATGAACAAGTGTCTGTTGTATGACTAGGCATTTGAGGCACTTCCTTATGCTATGTATAAGGGCTTGACTTCAGAGGGCTCTTCCATCTTTAGATCCTGATTGCAAATCGGAGTGAGGGATCGGGAAAGCTGTGGTATGAAACCCTCAGGCGCCCGGAAGCTCTGGCGTGATGACATGGAGTCCTTGCTAAGGCAGTCAGGGAATCTGACTCATGAAGAATCATCAAGGAAATGGTGGTGTGAAGCCCAGGAGCTCTGATGCCACAGCGTGGAAACCTTGGTATTGTAGTCAGCAACAAGACTTGGGTGTGAGGTATCAGGGAAACTGCAGATTGTCAAACAAACTGTGAGAAACCTCTGATGCTACAATGTAAAATGCTTTGGAATGTAGTCAGGGAACAGGACTTGGGGAATCGGGGCAAACTGTGGTGTAAAACAGTCTGGTGCACAGTGCCGCTACTGCACTGAATTCTTGCTAAGGCAGGATGCAGAGACTACAGCTGGTGTGTAGGCTGGTGACTCGATCATTGGCTCTTTGCTTGCAGGCACCAGTTGGCCAGATGGTCTGGACACCAGACAAAATGTGTGTGAAGTTAAGGCAGAGTCCAAAACAGGCTTCCAGAGCTACGGCTACGTCTATTATCAGCTTGTTCTGACGCAGCTGTTATGGTCAATGACCTAGACAACAGCTCGTTACAAGGAATTAGGATGTGACCTATATAACTACAAAAAAACATGATCATGTGTGTGTTGAGCAAACTAGTCATTCTTTACTCCATTGATGTGCACTTCAGTTGTTTCTCAAACACAGTCTCATGAGCATTTAAATATAGCATCTCTACATGATTAGGACAACCAACGCTGAACATTTGAAAAATCAGAGTTCTTCTGTTGTAACAGTAGACTGGTACCTACCCCATTACATTTTGGCACAAGTGTGAGTATTGAACAGACTGTATTGATTGGCCCTTGCTGGCGATATGCAGTAAAACATTTCCATTATGTAAGTTGGTATGTTTGAATGTGTCATGGTTCTGAAGGTGAGTGTGCTCTAAGAAATTGCTGCTAAATAGGTTTTCATATATAATCTGTTTTAAAATTGAGCAATGTATTAATTATTGGGACTTTACACTTCTCAGCATAATGTCAGAGAGGGCCAGAAAACCCCAAAGATTTTCCAGTATATCAATCCCTATTTTGCATATATTGGGCAGGAATCTGCTCAGGATATGCAAATTAGCACAGCCTACTTCTAGAGTTGTAGTCAAGTGGTTGACAAGTCCAATCATACATCAGTCACAAGTCAAACACAAGTAGGGTCGCAAGTTATGAAGAATGACAGGAATGACAGGCTGTGTCACACTGCATGTCAGTAGCCTGTCACTTAGTTCAGACTGGAGTGACTTGTGAGTGACTTGTGATGACATACGAAAACTCGCTCCAACTTTGCCACCGTTTCCTTGTATGGGAAGAATTCATTCGTACCCAGTGCCTAAGGATCGACAACATTTTGCAAGCTGATTTTACAAGAGCTCTGGTTAGTTTCTGAAACTTCGAGAATGATTATAGCAGGAATAACAATGGCGGGCTAGGCTTGAATTTTTTTTATAATGTTGTCGGGTGGTATTTTGGCCATAGATTAAATCAAAAACAAATTGTTTTCATATTTTTGGGTAATTCTGTGATATTTGGAATTCAACAAAAAGTCCCACTAAACCCTGCTGCAATTACTTGTGTATCCAGCTAATTTAGAAATAATCCAGCAGCTTGGATAAAGATTGGGGGGTGGTGTCCAATGCAGGATCAGTGAAGTTGGGAGAGCAAATCATCTTTGTGCAAAACACAACTTAATTGGTTAAAGAAGTGTACGGTCTAGTGTCCCACTGAAAACCTTCAGTTGTCAATAGAATTGCTCTCTAGAGACATACCAGTTGTATACCAATTGCTGTATACAATTGATATATACAATTTCCAATACAGATTTTACAAATTGAATTGTCTCTGATGTAAAGTACAGGTATTGTACAAAATTGTAAGTGTTTGTATTAAACTCCTCCATAATTTGCAGGGTTTTTGTTAATGTTGCAAATGTACTTGCCAGAAAAAAAACCCGCACTACAGAAACGGGCACACCGTCCACATTTGGAAATATTTAGTTTTAGTCTTAGTTAATTAATAGTGAAACGTTCCTTGCCAGAAAGGACAAGGAAAAAGCTGACAAACAAATGGAACATACATTGTATTCTCTAGAAGATCGAGTCAAAAATTGACAGTTATCGAATGTCATTCATTAATCACCATCATATGTATTCCTAAATGTAAGCAGCATAGATAGTGCCTTTTTTGTAATGTAAAATCCTGGAAATATGGGCATGTAATGTCTAATAATGATGTGCATGTCAATTACAGCCACATTTTTATGTAGCCTTACCCCAAACTCATTATCGTTATCTTTTATTTTTGACCATAAATGTGTCCTTTTTTTTACAAGTTTTAAATGAGAAAAGTATTATTTTAGTTTTTTCTTTAAATCTTTTCAGAACCATTTAAAAAAAATTTTTTCAGAACCATTCTCTTAGTTGAGAAATCATTCGCACATGGTGTTTTCGCAAACCTTTCAGTTATTAAATATAGTGAGATTTTGCTCTGTGGAAAGTTTGAAGCGTTACTTTGAAACAGTTGTGCATAAACTAGGTGTGTGGTTTTACTGCAACAATCCAAGAAAATTTTTTCTAAAAGTGACTTTCTAAATGCGCAACAGCACCCCTGTGTCAGGAAATGACATGGACATTGAAAGCAAGAAAAGGTTCACAGTGAAGACAATGTTTACACAAAAAACGTTTCTTTCTCTTTTTTTTTATACTGTTGACTTGCACAAATCAAATTTCAGTGGGATTGATTTCATGGGCCCTTTACATCTAAATGTAGGGTGTCGGTTGGGGGGGGGGGGATTCATTCAGTTGTCAAAAAAAAACACAAGAAAGTCAGCCCAACTTGAATTCAAATCAATATACTCTGAGCACTTCTTATTTGGTAGAACACTGGAATGCAGTGCAAGATGGGGAGCCCAGTTCCTTTATAGGTAGACTTTCTTACCACAACTACATTACATGTATAAATAGAGAACAAAAACTTCTGTTGCAGTTTTTGTTAAATAAATTCATTGACTCCAGCAGAAATCCACAAGAATAAAGTCATTTGAACGTAACAAAAGTGAAGACAATCATAAATGTCACCATTTCCATTTAAGAATTATAATTGCCACATTCCAGGATTAATATGTATTGTGGTTTTTCCGTTTATTATCATTATTTGTAAATATGTAAATAACTCTTTTATAGTGCTGTTAATGTTCATGCTGTAGAACTTGCGGACCAGTCCAGCAGTTTCTTTTTGTATGGCTCCACACGTGTGATTATGCTAAGCACCAATTGCGAGTTGAGAACCAGACTTCATGTTGGAAAGATATGTCGTGTTGACCTCTATTTTCATGCAGCGGCTGGTTTGCCTATGTGTAAAATACATACAGCTAATATGTTCTGATCGTGTACTGCAGTATTGTTATAGGTCCGGATGTAGATACTTGCTAGCTTGATGTGGGCTTGCCTGGGCTATTTACTTGGTTTCTGTAAATTATTCGTGCTGCTTTTATAGAAGATACAAAAAAACACAGTGGAACCAAACTGTATCTAAAATTAATCTGTTTGATATGTAAATCAAGGAGACACTTGTACAGATTAGCCGATAATTTAAGATGAATTTTACTTTTAGTTTTTTTGGTTTTATTCTTGTATTTTTTTTTAATTGGCCAGTTGTAATGAGTGTGACATTTATATTGGAATGCAATTCTTCCTGAAGCCAGCATTCTTTTTCTCTTGTGTTTATTACTGAAGTAGCAATTGGAAGAGAGAGAACAGAACCCAGGCATGAGTGGTATAATTGTAACAGTGATAATTTACACAGTAAACCAATGCTTCTTGTTATAATATAATATAAGGCCACTCTGTAACCATCGCAAAGTATTCAGTTGTTATTAATAAGCAATCCGTGATTCTAAAAATGAACACTTGATATATGTAATTACCTTTGTATGAAGTTGCAGTCTACAGGCATCAGTATGAGGCTTGGAACTTTGCAATCAAAGTTAGGACCAAATAGTCAGGTACCCGTGACGTGACCTGGTCCGGAGTATGGTTGGCTGTTCGGGGAACATGACCAAGATGTCTAAGGTATGAAAAGTCTCATCACTGACTGTAGTATTATATTCCACAATTTCTTGAAATATTGTTGAGGAGAATAATGAAAAATAAATAGTCATGATACAATACGAGTGCAGAAGTTGGTGGAGGTCTTTAATTTAAAAAGGGCAATACCACCACCAGTGTTACAATACATCCATTAAATTGATGGCATTTTGCTGTCGGAGATGTTTACATTCTGTTTACATTCTGCTATCGGCTGTTGCCCTTCACCGAAGGAATGTTATAGGGATTTTACGTTCGTTGATCTCAAAGAGCTCGTTATAAAAATACAAATATAAGCCTGCCCGGATGGGACTCAACCCGAGACCTGTATACAACCGATTGCCAAACACGCTGCTGTATCAAATTCGAACCAGTGGCATAGTCAATAGCAAAGTGGCCAGACATGCAGTTTGTTTCCCATCACCACTCAAAGAAAGTCATGCGGAATCTACGAAGAAGGCCATGCTTCAGAGCAGTGTAGTCCGTAGCTTGGTCAATCGCTAGACGAGAATACACCTCTAGGGCCTTCCCGCGAAGCAGGGCGCTGAGATTTGTTGCCCAGTTCTCCTTGGACCATCGTTGGCTGGTAGCATATTGCTGAAATCTTTGAAGATATGCATCGATGTCGTCTTTGGCATCATCGACGGTTTTGGTTCTCGAGCTGTCTATCCATTTTAACACTAAAGGAAAATATCTAAACGCTGGATCTGATTTGCTGAAGCAGCAGAGATGACAGATTAACTGGACCAATCACAGAGCACACAAAAGGTGCCGCAACAAGATTGCGCAAGCGAATAGGGTAAACCGGCAGCAGTGCGATGAAAGGTGACGGACAACAATGTACACAAAGAAGCAATTAGCTATGAAAGTGGTCCATTTAGCTTATCGCCTTGCATAATCACGAACAATGTGAGCGCAACTACAAAAATCAAAGCTAAAACTCGCAAACCGTGAATCTTATATTGTGTAACAAAATGTGGCAAACAAACACCTTTTCCCGGACAAGCCCCATGTAACGCGTATCTGGAAAAAAAAAACCACGCACGGAATCTTAGAATTTCGGGTTGTTTGCCAAAACCCAATCCAAAGACAAGGTTGAAATGCAAAGGAAACAAAAGTAACAAAATGGATTAATCTCAAAAATATTTAATAGTTTAATTACCAAAACAAAGGAAAATTTAACAAATGAACAAATATTAAATGTTGAAATTAATTAAAATGAATTAATAAGTGAACTACGAAACAAAATGATAATGATAAAGATTCCTCAAATCAAATAACTAATAAAAAAGTCTCTTGTGCAGGAGTTTTTAAGGACTTATAAATTATCCTCTTCCAAGCAATTAAAAGAACCGAATTATAAAAAAAACCTCCAACGGTTTTGAATACAACCCAAATCAAATGAAATTTCCTCTTTTCCTTCTTAAAATCAACAAATTTCAATCAAAGCAGCAATGTTCAAATTCTTTGAGATTTGATTTGAGGCAAAATACAAGTTCGCAAATTTATCAATTCTTCAGATCGTCAGTCTCAAAATCACAAAAAAGCCTTTCAATAATTGTCAAATTGAACTTCTCAAACAACTCCGCTTAAAAATTACCAACTGCGTTCGAGCAATGGGTCTAACTATTCAACTCAACTGAAATGCAATATTAATTATAACATCTCAACGATCAAAATCTTAGGTTTCTCAACCGATATAATCACATTTCGGTTATCAATTTGTACAAAGTGATATATATGGGCCCACCACACTACTACCGTGTCTTGACAAGAGCTGTGTCTAGGATGTCAACATTTGTCAACGTCGACTGTTATCGACAAAAATGAATTTTTGCAACCTCAAAATTGCCCCCAAATGGCCCAAACACATAATGGCCCGTAACTATGGCAACGGGCAAAGTATCGGTTTAAAAAGTCTATTTTGGTTACTTGCTCCCAAAGTCCTTTCATCCAACAAAGTACAAAAAAATTCAATTTTTTTAGCGTGGACACTTATTTGAAGTATTTACACGAAATGACTCTTAACTCTTTATCCGTACACATATTATGGCTCCTTACACAAAGAAATAATTTACATAACACCAGAATGTTCAACGGCCATGTTTATTCATTCAAATAAACTAGTAAGTCTATTGAAAAGTAATAAAACTGAAAAGGCATCAGGGCTTGCACCAACCTCGTCCCCAGGGTGTCGAGCAGTACGCGCCCACCACTACCTGCTCTCTCACCCCTGGTATTGGATCATTTGCATGTGCAAGATTTTTGAACACGTATGCAAATTAGGAGTAGTCTGGTGCCTGCCTGTGCGTTACATTTGCGTTTGTGTTTGTATGCGGTGTCTGGGGTAAAAACAGAATCAATTCGTCGCAGCGCGAGCATGGCGTGAGTTACGAAAACATGATTTCATTTTAATTTAGCCCGACTGCGTCTGGCCGTACAGTACTATCGCAAGCTCTGTAGTACGGCCAGACGCCCAATGCTTCCACAGAGACTGAATTTTTTTGGCCGCTGATGTAGCGATTTTACTACAGATTTCGATCGAGATTATCTTTTCATCCAGGACACAAATTTCCAAAGTTAAGGTTCTTAGTCGTAGAGCAAGTCATACCTTTTCGAAAAAACGTTCTTTGGTTTCAATATTTTCATCCATCTGGCCAACAGACGACTTTCAGTCATCATCTTCCACAAATATCGTCCTGAAAATGCCCTCCATGCGATTTCAAAATGGCGGCCGCGTTGTAATGTATGCATTATGCAGGCGTGCTTGGGCAGGATAATGAATATGCATCATAGTTTATGACGTTTGTCGGGCGCGCGGCGCGGCTGGCCATACAAACACGAGGTCATGAACTAAATAATGCATATTCATTATCTTGCCCAAGCGTGACTGCATAAATGCATACATTACAGCGCGGCCGCCATTTTGAAATCGCATGGGGGAGCATATTCGGGACGATATTTGTGGAAGATGATGACTGAAAGTCGTCTTTTGGCCAGATGGATGAAAATATTGAAACCAAAGAACGTTTTTTCGAAAAGGTATGAGTTGCTCTACGACTAAGAACCTGAACTTTGGAAATTTGTGTCCTGGATGAAAAGATAATCTCGATCGAAATCTGTAGCAAAATCGCTACATCAGCGGCCAAAAAAATTCAGTCTCTGTGGAAGCATTGGGCGTCTGGCCGTACTACAGAGCTTGCGATAGTACTGTGCGGCCAGACGCAGTCGGGCTAATTTATTAAACTGTTACGATCTTAACGAGACAACATGCAGTATCGCATTTCATATTAATATTAACAAACTGGAAAGGAAATGAATATTTTCGAGAAGACGTGGACGAATGATCGCGAAAACACGTACTGCACGAATGATAACAACACCAAGTACACGATATAAATCCATTTCTAGCCAATTGCGGTATCGAATCAGGATGCAGGAAGGAAGTTTCCTATCCAGGGTTTACTATTGGAAACAACGTTGGAAATAAAGTAAGCACTGGGGACGAGGTTGGGCTTACACGGGTCATGTAACTTTAATCAAATCATTTGGCGATGACATCGGCGGCAAATAATGGAGGAGGTTGGGGGGGGGGAGGGCTCACCCCTTTAATGGTTAATTCCTTAGGACATATATAATTTCCTACCATTACTCCATTAGACCCGCAGATTTGCTTCCCCGTTGCAATTCCAGTAATTTTATGTGCCAAATTTCCTTCTTCCTGATAAATTGTGGCAAACTGGCCTCACGGAACATTGATACACGGAACATTGATAACCATCATCACAAGGCCACAATAAAAAATGGACAATAATTCCTGCACGTACAAAACAATGCCTTCTATGAACTTGATCGACACAATCAACACATTTTCCTTTTTGATTTTGTTTGCCCCCCCCCCCTTCCCCGTGAGTGGCTGTGCATGTATCGATTTACAAAATCGAGTCGAAACCCTCGTATCGCGTAATGGTTACCTCACGGAATTGACCGCCGCTACCTAGTGGAGATCAGTGGCGTATCTAGCGGGGGCCGGGATTTTGATAGTGTTGTTAAACCTACAAAAAACAACAACAGTGTTTTAAAAACGATTTTAAGAAGGTTCAGACGTCGATACAATTATAGTCTGAACTTTCCTGAAAGTTCCTGAAAGCGATCCCCGATGGCAATGGGTCTGTGGGCTGGGCCACCGTCTCGTGCCCGCCTCGGACAAATGTTGGAACTTTAAGATCGTGTACCGTTTTCTCAATGTTGGAAATGCACCTAGCCCTGCGGCACAAGATCACAAATTGATGAAATTATGTTTTGTTCATGTTTTCGTCAATATCCCTTGAAGCTACCTGACAGTGTCTTTTGTCTGGTTTGTGCAAAATGTTTTACCCCAAACTGTCCCAAGAGGGTTTGTACATACCATTTTCAAAACAGTGGAATTAATGGCTTGTTCATATTGTCTCTTTGTTATTGGTTACTTTTTTTGAGACACCCTTACTCATAATCATATCAAGAAGCTTCAGAATGTTAATTGATAATTCTGCTTGTGTACTTGGAGTTTTTGTCGGCTTTTCTGGATCAGGAAACAGCGCTGTTTCAAAAGTTATTTCGCTATTGGACATGCATGTCATGGAAGTTCGATTTAATGCGTGCAGTGCAAGCAGAAAGGTTTGCAATATTTCCCCTTTTGTTTGGAATCAATAATTGTACATTAAGGCTGATTAAAAGTTAAATTTTCGACCAGTGAACCGGATACGTAATTAAAGAAGGCAAAACTTTATCAATTGGCAAATCGCAAATTCTGCGGCCGGCAGACTTTGAACCCGACAGATGTGTTGTTTGCATTGATACCAGGTTATCAAATATTGACAAGGCTTTAAACTAAACAATTACTCTGAACTGACTGCAGTAGGGATTTCCCCGTTCAGTTGTCACGATTGTTTTCATCATGACGGGATTTACGAGTTTGCGTAGTGGGAGGTCAGAAACGATCGTTGCGGTTGCAAAAGTGACAATAAATTTCTTTTATGGGTGTGATCTGAAGGAAAAAAAAACCCCAAAACCTGGTGCTCAATTTCCAACTGATTGTTTTCCACGCTCAACACAAAAATTGTATTCACAGGCATGGTGCAACAACTGGCATGAATGTTGTTGTATTCGTGACGTCTCACCAGGGGGCGGATCCACGTTTGGATCAAGAGGGCGGGGGTTTAGCTGCCAAGGGCCGGGGTTTAGTAGTGTTTTTTCTGCACGGTTATCCCGTTTTCCTATCCCCGGCAATCAACGATAGATGCATTATATAATGAACCTATTGAAGCCCCCTCAAACTTTTGTATATCAATTGTTCGTGTGTTTTCAAGATTACCGAAGCCTACGTTTTTCCGCGGTTTTCTAATTTAGCTCATTCAGGAACTGAGATAGGCCTACTGTTGGTTGACATGACCGAAATAGAGTGCACAAACGACTAAGCCAAGTTTAGTTGTCGCTTAGTCTAGTCACCAGTATACCAACTACGCGAACGTTATACATAATATGAGGAACTAAATACGGGTGCCCGACACTTGTTGATGTGACCAGCGGCCGGCCGTGAACTTTGAAGCGATGAACCAGGAAATGGTAGAAATTTAGTCAGAACACGGACACGGTCAGAACGACGGTCAGAACGACGGCGTCTGTCGACCCCGGCACGTACATGAATCATGAATGGAAGATATTGTCGCAATTCTATCTGTCATGGCGGTTAGTTGATGAATTCCGGTAAGCATTTATATACTCTTTATAACTTTTATAAGTAACTTTTTTTTACACAGTCCTTATTTCGTCACCGCAACGCATGCCCACCTTTCGCGGGCCGTGCACGTATCTCTATGTCTGTACTCCTGTAGAAACTAGAATACTGTGCAAACTACTTTATTGATACTAACTGATAGGCTATCCCAATCCCCCGGTACCGCAAGAATTCCATTCATGGACATCACTAATTTTTCCCTGCAGTGACTTACCTGTATCAGCCATCAGAAAGCGATAACATGATACATTGACATATCCAAAAAAGTCAAATTTGGCAGGGAAAATTTCGAAGCATTTAAGATAATCCTTACCTTTTTAAAGGACACCTCTCTTTTTTACGAGCTCTGTTCAAAACCTCTTTTGCAGATGACTGTCCAGTACCAAAGTGACTTTTTCAGGCTAAAGCAGTCTTTTTTTCTTCCGATAAATTCATGTTAGTTGTAATTTTGAAAGCACTTTGTAAGAAAATGTGATTTTCAAACCTTTTTGCAGTTTGCCATCTTGGATTTTGAGTCAGTTTTCTGTTCATCATCGTCGTGTATTTCCCCTTAATTTCCCTCTAAAATCAAAGCCCTGCCAGCCTCTTTCCACAAAATTAATCCTGCCGATATTTAAGAAGGTGTCATACTGTTCAGATATACGACAAGAAATACCAGAATGTCACTTTCGAGTGTCATTTAGTCAGTTGTTTTGGTGAGTCTTTTAACCTTATATAGGAATGGGGTTCTAAAAGTAAGGATTACCACCCTTTAATACTGAGAGTGAGAAAACACTTGGATTTTATTTCAGACCAGTCTCAACTCTCATGATATTTAGTATGTACTTGTGCACAAGGTGTCAAGCAGGTCAAGCTTCAAGTGATGTCCAGGTATGAAACTCTGTCCATTAACTTTTATTTTCGCTCAACTTATCATTCATGGTCATCTGAGTAAATTGAAAGTTTTGACAATGAACTGTTTCTCTGGAAGTCAAAGGGGATGAAAAATGTAATGCAATTGGGCTCTTTCATTGATGAAGATTTGTTCAATGATTTTCAAACAAAATATCCCACGCACAAAATATTTATTCTGCACAGTAAATATTATGCGCCTATCAATTGTCCCTCCCCCCCCTGGGCTGTCCCACCCAAGATGTGGGATTGTAACTTTTTAAGTGACAAAATCCCCACCCTAGGGCAAAATTTAAGTGACAATCTCCAACATACATATGTGGGAGCACTAGCGATTGCCTTTCCATATAGGCCTAGTACGCCAATGGTAACAATGTTTTTGAGTGACCAAACTCCCCACCCTTGGGCATGAAAAATGTGACCAAATCCCGACGTCAGACCTTGGGCGGGTGGGGGGGGGGGGGGACATTTGATAGGCGCATTACTCTGATACTCGATGTGATTTGACACAAACTTTTTTAAAAATCTTTTTGATATTTGTAATGCATCTTGGGTCTGGATGACAAACAAAACAGACAATTTGTGCACAAACCCATGGAGCCCTGAACCAGTTACAACTTTCATTTGATTCGTCCTCATTATGTATCGAGAATTTAGCGATCATGGGTGGTAAGGGTGGCTTGTGTGTAAAGCGCTCGCCTCTCACCAAGGTGACCACGGTTCGAATCCTGGCCACGGATCCGTGTGAGTGGAGTTGTGCATTGGTTTTCTCCTGTGCCACGAGGGTTTTTCTCCGGGCCCTCCGGTTTTCCTCCCTCCGGAAAAATCAAACATTTTCGATCTCAGGCTGTGCTCCATGGTCATATATGGGTCGATGTGGCCGGCAGCCATAGGCGCCTTTATGTGCCAGTGGCCCGACCACGTTGTAGCTGCGTCCTTCGCAATTCAGCATCCCAGCTGCCAGTAAGGATGATTAGCCTCCTCAATTATTATTATTATTATCTTTTCACACATTGTTGCATTGGTAAATTGAAATATGATTATTTTAAACATCATTCTTTAAAACCTATTAAAATGAAGAAAGTTTTGGGGTACTTTGTTAGAGACTAGTTTCTTTACTCATGAATATTAATATCATGATCCTTCCAATATTGACCAATCAGAATAAAGATTTCAAGCTCATGCCTCCAACACTGACCAATCACATTTGTTCCACAGGTGAATCGATGATCACTTAACCTTGGAAAAAATGATGAAGAAAATAGTGTTTTAAATGTTAAAGTTTGATTAGTTCGCTGCCAACAAAGGTTTGCGTAAAAACTGCAATGTTCCTTTGTCATCCAATGCAATGTCAAAAAGGATTAACCCAGGCAGCGATTTTGTTCCATTTTTTTCCACAACACATATTTGCTATGGGCGTATATCAAAGCACTTTGAGTTGAAGTCAAGTTCTCAGACTTTATTTCCCTTGAAAAGACAATCCTCCAAACCACAAATTAGCAAAAGGAACTTTGTCCAAATGACTTACAAAAAACTTTTAAGAGAAAAAAAAAGGGGGGGGGGGAAATCACAGCCAATGGGATTGGAACTCATGACCTACAGATGTACAGTCCAATGAAGTATCCACTAGACTACAGCAGTGACTTGCTCAGCTGAGTTGTAATTCTATATATATATAGTACTTTAGTGAATGTGTGGTATGGAAAAATAAATCGCAGCCTAGCACTGCCAGGGACTATCGGTATTTATTTTTCATAAATCTGGCTGGCATGGTTTCTTTCCAATGCTACTTCTTGTGATTGGGTACAAAGCTGATGGGTACTAAGTCTTGACATTTTGCTTTCTGTATTTCTTTTTCAAAATTGGTAGCGTTTCTTCCTTTTGATTCCAATTTTTCCACCAACTTTTGAATATTTACAATGTTTTCCCATATGAGTATAGAGACTACATGTATCTCTGGTACTAAACCGTAATTGTCCTGATCAGTAGTTGGCTTTAGAGTCAGTTTTGACACGTTATTTCTTGTATTTCGTGTCCTGGAGAGAAGTTTAACCTCAAGAGGTAGTTGACCGTAGGAAGCCCGCCTTTGATTTAATGAATTATTGCTTTCTGTTTATGACTCAGTGGTCATGTAAGGGTCATTATGTGGAAGTGTGTTGGTCTTATATGTTGGGTAAAGACCCCGACACGAATTCCATCTTATCGTAGGCAAATGTTTGGTTGCATATCTGTTGCTGTTTTTAGGATGTTGCATGTACATTGTACACATATACCGGTATTTAATTCTTTTATTTGTTTAATTTCTGTTTGATAGGCTCTTTGAATGTTTTAACCATAGAACTTCCAGGAACTTTCATTAAAAACCTTTTAGTCCCAACTTAACTTTAAATCAATCATTGTGCAGAAATCCAAATATCTTTGAAGAGGCATCTAGCACATAATAATAGTACTGGACATGTACATTATATTGTAAGTATAGTGGCTATAGGCTCTACCTTCCTCAATCCTGTCCAATCCTCAAATTTTGTTGGTGGATTTGAAGGGTCTGGTAAGGGTTTTGATTTTTCCGGGGGGGGGGGGGGGATGGATCTGGTAAGGGTTTTGATTTTTCGGGGGGGGGGGGGTGTCATAGGATTTGCCAAATTTTCACAAAAGCTATACATGTACTTTTGTTTTTACCATTTCAACTTGGAAAACAATAACATGCACTTGTACTACTGAAAGTAGAACTTTATCTTAGGTTTTGCCATGACTACATGTACTGCCTATTGTTCACCTCTTGTATTTCACAATACTACATTGAAGAGGAAATAAATATTAAAACACTTACATTTTTGGCCCTATTCCAAAATAAACTAGAATCGTAAGATATATATATATACATAAGTACAATTAATGTCTTAGGTTTATTCATTACCCTGCAAAGTACAAAGGCTTTTGGTGACTATTTAGGAACATATACTTTTATTGGGACAAGGGTATTATTCTAATACATCATTTTTCATATTTTAAACATCGAATCTCCAACCTGATGCTGTTCTGACATGGTCAATGTTTTTGTTTGTTTAAATATGATCATTTTCAATAAGGCATGGTCAATTTTTTGTGTGTTTACAGTAACCTCTACATTGTACCCTGGATTTTTTAAAGCCAAATTGCCTACCTCAAAAGTTATATTTTGAAAATATGTATTCTGGTGCCAGGTTTATGTGTGTTAGTGGTTAATAAAACAATAAAACCCTACAGTAAACATAGTACGTATTTAAAAGACCAGCAGACAAACATAAAACAAATTACAAAAGGAAATGATTTTCCTACCTAACCTATTTGGATAATTTTTTGGGCATTACCGTAAATACACATTTTTTCCTCGGCCTAAGATTTACATTTACCACATGTATACATGTATGCATTCAGGCAAAGTTCAGTTTACATTTTGCTCAGCCACAAATTGTGGGGTATTATTAATACTACACTGAAAATAATGCACAAAAAGTCCTCAACCACCAGCCCCCCCCCCATTCCCCTAAAAAAAAGACGATGACCCAGAATTGTGACAAAACTTCCTGACTTTGCGAAGGCCACATAACATACTCGTGTACATGTCATGGGGCAGAACCATGAAAGGCAACGATGCATCACCATACTATCATGACTATTAATTGAAGGATTTCCTCCTTCAAAGCAGGAACAAGATTGCTTGCCATCCCTGGCCCTGAATAGCAAGCATGTGATCATTATGGCATGCTGACCAAATATCACATCCAGGATAAGGCCAGGACACAAATTATTGTGGTTTATCGTTTTTGCCTGTTTCAAAATTCTGTAGATTTTGTATTTGTTTTGCTTGTACTGTGCCCAGGCTTCATCATTGTTGTACGTGGAATGATTTCTGACCCCTGTAAATTACAGTTCTTTAATTAAAGAAATGACATGCTTTACCTTTGAACTAAACTTTTGAAAAAGTTAATTAGATGGTCAATAGTTGCATATATACTGGTATATGTAAAATAAGGCATGGATATTTCTAGTTGCATTTGCCGTGCTATTTTCAAGTTTCACCTCCAGAAATAGACTCAATTTCTAAATTATTGCTATATTTCTAGCAATTTATACAAAAGTTACTCACCTTTAATGATATATACATCGACCAAAAAAACTTGGCCCAAGTTTCGATATTAAATCAGTACTTTACACAAGTTTTGAATTACTGGTGACCCTAAAATAATTCCATTTTCGTTGGATAGGCTGGTTCATGCCCCACAATCAGTATCGAGACAAGGAGCCAGTCTTCTCGCAAAGCCAATCTGTTTGTGCCCAAAATAAAACCTGGTGTTTTTTTTTCAGGTCAAAAAAAAAGAAAAAAGAGAGAGATTTTTTGAGGTTGGAATAAAACATACAAGTTGAAGTTTGTTGTTTTTGATCTTGGCTATTTATTCAGCAAGTACTCGGTAGAATTTCTAACTGATAGCATAGTAAAGGTGATTTTTCAAATTGTTTTATACCTTGACTATTTATTGACCATTTGTAATTGAAAAGTGAAATTGATTTCATCAAAGATTGCAGGAAATGTTGAAAGTTGTTTCTAAGCTTGATTATTTATTTTGATGGCAAATATACAATGTTATTTTGTGTAAGCGTACTGGTATGCATAGATTATAAATACTGTATACATGTGCAAAATTTAAACTAATGTACGTACATGTAAACTTGTACATGTACTGGTTAATATTTGGTCAACATGATTATAATACAGCAAGAATGGTAATCTTTCTGTATACACAGCACTTTTATACCTAATAGTGACTCAAAATTTGTAGAGAATTTGATGGCTATGATTTGAAATTGCCATCAGATTTCTACAAACTTCAGCATGTTACACAACAAAATACTGGATCTACTTTTTGCAAACCTCACAGTGCAATTGTTTACGGACATTACTTTAGAGTAAAGAATGAAACATGAAAAGGGTGAGATAACCTATGACCTTAAGTACACTGCACTGGCGCTACACCAACAAAGCTGCTTTGCAAAGTTTTTTTTATAACATTACATTGTTAATGAAAAGATGTCATTGCTGACATACATACATGTACGTGTATTTTTTCTTTCAGATCAAGTGAGTTGGTGACTTCATGCTGATTTGTATTTACTAGCAACAAGTTATAACACAGAGCCAACATGGAGAGTAAGTTATTTAAAAGAAGTTTGTTAAATATATTCGGATCATTTTGGATAGTTTAAGTAAAGTCGTCACATTATGTATGCATGTACGGTACATGTATCGTGTATTATTATGTGAGTTTATGCAAACCCTTGTACTGCATTAGCTTCCTTGATAAGATCATGCAATATGTTTTCCTGCACTGCAGCTATTCTTTTCAAGTACCCTCGTACAAATTCTAATGTAAACACTTTAGAAGTTGAAACTCACTAGATGAATTTATACCCATCTAGGAACACATGTAAGAGAGGCTGTGGGGTACATGTGCATGTTTGTTTGATTATTACTCAGGTCCCTGGGCATATTGACTATTACTCGGGTCCCTGGGCATATAGATTTTTACTCAGGTCCCTGGGCATATTGATTATTACTCAGGTCCCTGGGCATATTGATTATTACTCAGGTCCATTGTCATATTGATTATTACTCAGGGCCCAGGGCATATTGATTTTTACTCGGGTTCCTGGGCATATTGATTATTACTCAGGGCCCAGGGCATATTGATTATTACTCGGGTCCCTGGGCATATTGATTTTTACTCAGGTCCATTGTCATATTGGTGAGGAGGTTTCCTGGAGCCTCTCCAATCAAACCCTTGTGCAAAGACAAACATGGGCACATTCTTTGCACATGAAGCAAAAAGTGGGACATCAAGTCCTGTTAATCCCTCAAAGTACTTCTAAACTAGGTCTTGGGTTTTGATGAGTTTGACATTATCATTTAGTGTGTGACTCCTATTGGATTCTATTATATTGGATTCCATCAGATGCTCAGTCCCTGCTATAAACTTTTCTTTGCTGCGTCACAGATGTAGGATTTGCCAAGTAGTGGTTGGCAACGTAGCGGTATATGTGTAGTCAGCCAAAATATGAAAGGAATACTTGCCAAAGGTTTGTTTTTGACATGCAAAAATACTTATTACTCACATGACAGTTAAAAAATAACAACACACAAATCAGTTATGATACCTCCATCTTTATAAGCAAGGCTTTGACATGGTCCAACCCATGTTCAAGTTTACAAAATGGCACTGCATTATAAAAAGAATTAAGGTAGTGATCAGTTTAAATATGTGTAGTAGATTTTTCTTGTGCCTATTTGTTTCAAGTGTCTATTTCTTTTTCAAAGGTTCATTTGATCCATTTGATCTGACCATACTGTACACTGAGGACACCATCCAGTGGTGTGAGTATCTCTTTGACATCTTCAAAGACTTTGAGATCCAGCAGAACTCGGAAGACATCACTGAGTTTCCAACCAACCATAGAACCTTGCAGAGCATCCAGGACTCGCTGGTGACTGTTGTCATCATCTCACCGCTCTTTCTTCAGAAATGCAACCCTCGGATGCAGGAGCACATCCACCAGGCAGTGGGTCTGATCTGTGGGATAGATGATGCAGATATGGAAGAACTTTACCAGAAGATGCCCTCTTCCAGGGTAAGGATAGCAAATCTGGTTTTATGTGGTAAATGTTTTACAAACTTTTCATTTCAACATTGAAATGGTCATCCAACACTTTGCAAAGTCTTCCATTTTCCTCAGTGAGAAATCAGTGTCATGTAGAAGAGGCACAATCCTTAGGAAAATGTTAAATTAAATTTTATAAATTAAGTTCTAGGGTGCATAAAATACTAGGTAATTACATGTAAATAGGCCTACGAACATGGTTAATTTTTAGTAAAACAAAGCTGGGAGGGCAGATAAGGTAACAAAACGTCGGTGTTTTCGCGAAGTGACAAAAACCTGGAAATTTTGGAGTCGATTTTGAGTTTTGCTGGCCATTTTGTTACATTTGACACAAAGAACAATTTGACCAAATTTTTAAGCGAAATGTTGTTTACTTTCTTAATTATCATAAATAAACATTTGACAAAAAGCTTGAACTCTGTGTTTTTTTCGTTTTCACAAAGTGACAAAAAGTAACCTCGTTAGCAGGGCCAGAGAGGGATCATACATTGCTCTACATGCGTTGGGATGGGAGCGGGTGCGCACCTGCGAACGATGTTGAAAAAGAACTGATGCGCGGTCGCTGTATATGACACATAAAAATAACAATTTCTCACAACATTTTTGTGTTTTTACGAAGTGACAAAGACTGTGTGCAAAATAGTGGGGAAAATAATAGAGGTATCCGTGTATTTCTGTTTTCACAAAGTGTAAACAAGTAAATGAAAACTGTTTAATTAAGAGAGAATTTTAACAAACAACTTTGAATTACCTAAGAACAAAGCATATGTTACTTAACAATGCAAACTTTCCCAAATCAATAGCTGGTCGAAAATTTGTAAAAAAAAAGGATTAATTTCAAATGCTGTTATCTAGGAATAACCTTTTTTGCAGGATATAGAGGTTTTTGTCACTTCGTAAAAACGCCGTCGAAAATAGGAAGCCTTTTTGAAATGTTGGGTTCCATTTAAAAGTATTGGTGGATTTGGAAAACAGATTATGATTTTGTTTGTTTATCTATCTGTTTTGTAAGGACTGGTACCAAGTTGAGGCGGTGGCTGGCAGTGCTGAGATCAGCAAAGTGGTCCTGAAAGTGCTACATGATGCCAATGATGTGAAAGAACGGCACAGACAGGGGGAAATTGAAGACACCTACATTGAGGTCAATGATGGAGTAGAGGGGTTTATCCAGAGTGACTACATGGTCATGGAAAACCTGGGTGGCAAACCTAAGGTCATTGGTGGTCCAGAGAATACTTACTTTGTGCCCGACCAGCCAGACATGCCAGAGGAGACATATGAATCCATGATGGCCATACAGGCACCTGTGGGATCTGGCCATGTTTTTCAGCCAAGTAGTCAGGGATACGTTGACATGAAGGAAGGTACATGTACACTGCTTACAAGTCAAACCTGGGTGCAGGTTCATGGTGATACTTAAGACAAAATTATTCCCTCAAATATAAGACTATTACAGATGATTTTCACTAATTGAACAGCTGATTTCTTTTGTGAATGCTAGATAAAAAAAATAAAACAATTAGTGAGCTGTCACAACATCATTGTATTTCAAGCTTGCAATTAATGCACTTGTACTTTTCCTACATTTGAAAAAGGTTTGTGTGTGAAACTTTTTGAGGTTTTATGCCTGTGAGTTTGTGCGGTGTGTGTGCTTGCACTTCCTGAGAGCAAGCCTTATCACAAAGCGAGCCGATGCATTGGCTTGCGTTTATATCAGCTGGAGATGACAAGCTGATATATAAGATCATCATAAGATATTTGGGCTTTTTTTTGCAAGTGACACCCATTGTAACCAACGAAATGCCAGTATAGTCCCTTTCCATGTCAGACCCGCTAATAAATATTTATATGTGGTCAAAATGTCCTGTTTAGCTGGGAAATAATGCACATGAATGATATCTGCTTCGTGTATGAACACATTAAATTTGCTTTAGCAAGCTAAGCTACTTGAATGGATTCTCACATATCAGCAAGAAACCTATTGAAATATGAAGTAAAAATACAAAAGAGTGTTTGTTTTGTAAGTGTATCCTCATATTTTGTCAATATTGTAATATTTGTATTCCTACTGTGTAAAGAACAAATTCAGAATTCATAAATGCAAAGTGACAAGTCACGATTGACTATTATTCCCCCTTAAATTTTCTTTGATTGCCAGCCAAGCATTTGTCACAGTGCAGTGCCGGCCTCACGATTCATCCTGAGAGGGCAAGAAGCGGGGTAAGTTTATGCATGAGCATTTCTCAAATGATAACTTGAGACATTGATGACTTGTCTGCTGAAGTTAAGAACTAGTTGCCTATTACAAGTACAGTTTGTTTCCTCCGTATATGGGACCATTTACACTCAGCATAAATACCTTACAATATTTTTATCATTAATGACACTGATCGAGCTAGCTTTCTTTTAAAATGTTTAGTGTTTGCGTGTACATATGTACGGAACCTACATTCATTTGTTTCCTTACAAACTTTCAAATGTGTTCAAAGTTGTAGAATTAACATGTATTACATGTACACTGCTTGCCGCAAGCCTGTATGCCCTCATACAGTATGCACTGAACTTTCCAAAGTTCTGTTTATTACAATGGTGAAATTGAACTCCAAAGCACACACAGAGCCACCTCGACAAAAATTAATCACTTAATTTCTGAGTTGAGTATCCCCACATTGGCCATATACATATATTTCTTGCTGTGTCAAACTTAAATTTATGGACTGAAGAAAAAAAATTGATTGTGTGCTGTGTGGTCTCCGGTCGAGTTCAGGCAGATCATTGTTCAACCATGTGATGTACGACATGCATGAATGCATGTCATGGTACACACAGGCATTTACACATACATATTGCACAGTGTACATATACAATTGGAAAGGCTTATAATAATGTGGTGCTTATATAGTGCTTTATACCAACAGTCTCAAAGCGCTTTTACACTAAGCCAGTTTGGTGTTTTAATGACCCGAGGTCATTCGGGATAACATTGCTGATGTGATATTTCGCGATGTTACGCGCACGCCACACCCATTCTGCTGGTAATTAACATGCAAGCGTTGTGCGACCGCGTTCATGCGCCTTAAGAATGTTCGATTATCCCGAATGACCTGTTACATATCATTGTGCACATGCGCAGTTGAAATACCAGTTCATACAGGCCAAGAAAAGTTTGTGCAGCAGCTCAAGATCAACGCATTCTGGTCTTTACCTTCACAGGTACCCATTTATACTCCTGGGTGGAGAGAGGCAATTGTTGTAAAGTGTCAAGAACAGAAGCACCATGTTCCCTGTTGTGAGTTGAACACTGTAACCATTGGACCACAGTGTAGATGGGAAACTTATTGGGATGCTATAGAAAGGACTATTTTGCACTTGATGTATGGTATATGTACTTAGTTTAAGTTAATGCTGACCAGCTGTTGTACAATGTACACTGCTTGCCACAAAGTTACTGCCGACCAATTGTTGGCAAGCTACAGTGGGCAGTCTGTAATAACAGATCATTACATCATAGGGCATAAATGTATCATTTCGGTCAAAAGAGGGCAAGCCTAGTAAGCTTGTAAGGGCATGTGTGGTCTAGTAGTTGAGCACAGGCCTCATGATCATGAGATTGTGGGTTCAAGCCCTGCCGTGGCCATGTGTGTTGTGCCCTTAAGTAAGGTGCTTTACCTTTATACTCCTCTCAACCTAGGTGTTAAATGAGTACTGGCATTATTCCATGCTGGGAAGGTAACAGACTCGCTGTGGAGGAGGTGTGGTGATCCCCCCATAGCAGCAGCATTATATTGTCCCCTTTACCTTTACCGTTAGTAAGCTGGTTCCAGAGTGCACAACATTCTATTCAGTTGATTCAGAACGGCTATTCACGTGAACAATGGACTTGTAATGCCACTGTGTATTTGATGTTCTCAGGAGGAAGGCTCGCTATACATTCTGCTCAATGATCCACTTGCCAATGACCAGTACACTGTCAGCTTTCAGGGCCAGCTGAAAAAGAGCGAGGTTATCGCCAAGCAGAAGAACACTTACACTCTACAGGTTGACCTTCCTAAAGGTTCGTAGTTCAAAGGTTGTTTCATTGCATACCTATAGTTTCTTTATTTTTAATCACCTGAAATACTTAATTATGGCATGCAGTTACACATGGGTTTGTGGAAAGTGGCCTCACATCACACCATAGGCACAATGTAAATACAGGCTGTTCAGAGCTATGCAGGTGCAGCCATACTCATTATATTCTCTAACATTTAATGAATTGTATATTTGAGATCAATGCAATTTTCAGCAGCCTTTTATTACTGATGTGAAATAAAGCCTGTGTAGATGGGATTGGTTTGTTGTACATGGGAAACACTACATATAGTTCTAATCTAATCAGCCTTGTACATATTTTGCTTTCAGACCACCCAGCAGAGCTGACTGATGTGCAAGTGACCCGTACGAATCGGGCCGTGGTGGGCACCTTCAAGTTTATCTTCACTAGTATCATGGATGAGTTAGCTCAGACCCTACAAGGCATTGTAGACCCAATGAGGTTTATGTGTCAAGCCTTAGGCATATCCACAGCTGATGCCAATGAGCTGGACAATAAGCTGTATGAACACATCCAAACATGTCTACCCTCGGGTGGACTGAATTTACTGGTGGGTCAGAGCGGTGCAGAACAAAAAGGTAATGCTCCTGATTAGTTTCCATCTAAGGTGTCCAAGAATTTTGGGGGATTTTGTGGGTCTGTGTGGGCATTAGCAGATTGTGAACCAACACAAAATGAGAACTATGAGCATTTGAAACAACATATATTAATGAAGATGGTGCAAATTTGTAAATGGCTTTCCTTAGAATTAATTTAATTGAAAAGAACATGCTTTTTCGTATTTCAGTTTTTCTGAATTGCTAACTAACTAATTAAGTTGCCTTTTTTGCTGTTGTGCTCTTGTGCTTCAGATTTCACATTGGAGGTGGAATAACAAGGTACACACATGTGGACCTACTAGTTGAGATGTCTTTTTAAATTATATATGTTATGTCTTGTGCAATAGACATACACACACTCATTGTTTTTGTGAGATGATGAATTTACAAAATGCATGCCCTGGTGACTGTGGTCTTGCACGTTCTGTGTTGTGACCTGTTGGTTGTTTACACATAGTATTTGTCAACTTCCATATGAAAGTTTTGATGTGAAGTAAGTTGTCCATAATTGCATGTTCCTCTGATAAGTTATGGCATATGCAATTGCCTCTGAAAAATTATGAATTGCAGAAGAATACAGTTAGTATTTATGCTGCGAATTCACAAAAGTTGAGTTACATCATCAAAAGACTCAGACTTGGACTCGACCATCATGACTCGAAACTGACGCTTATGACACATGACTCACAAGTCATGTTTTTGCCAAAACTTGACCTTTTTAAAAACATAATTCAGATGTTTGTTTTCTGAAAGCAATGCTGCTAAAGAATGTTACATGTACGTACACGACCACTACCACACCACTCTCCAGGGAGTGTTGCAAATAATGTTGTTTGCTATTAAATGTGCTCTTCCCTATTTTCTGTGACAGCGCACCACTTACTTATATCACGGCTAAACATGTACATGTATGTATGTCCATGTCCCTGCACATCCATTTTGTACAATGCATTGTCCTAGATGTAAAATTCGGCACATGATTTGTGACTTGGACTCGGACTAGAATCAAACGACTTAAGACTTGGACTCCAACTCAACTCTGGTGATTTGACTGATACTGATACAACAGACTGCACTCTAGTGATTTGACTGATACTGATACAGACTCATCTCTAGTGATTTGACTGATACTGATACAGACTCCACTCTAGTAATTTGATTGATACTGATAGAGACTCCATTCTAGTGATTTGACTGATACTGATACAGACTCATCTCTAGTGATTTGACTGATACTGATACAGACTCTACTCTAGTGATTTGACTGATACTGATACAGACTCATCTCTAGTGATTTGACTGATACTGATACAGGCTCATCTCTAGTGATTTGACTGATACTGATACAGACTCATCTCTAGTGATTTGACTGATACTGATACAGATTTGACTGATACTCTGTTGATAGTTTTTAACTACTGATTTTTTGTGCTCTTCTGTTACCTCATATAGTCATTACAGAAGTTCCCACGGCTCTTCATTTTGCTGCCAAGTATGGGCTGAAGAATATCTGCTCCATGCTGATCACCTGTCCTGGTGCAGTGCAAGCTATGAAGCTCAAGAACAGGGATGGCCTAACGCCGGACATCATGGCAGGAATGAGTGGCCACAGCGATCTCAAGAGCTTTCTAGAAAACTTTGTGGTAAGTGTTTTTCCATGGCTGGCTTTTTAGATTTATTATTTTTTTGAAGGGGAAGGGGGTTAAAAGGATAGGAGTGATAGTGTATGCCAGCGCTATAAGCTTGCCATTGGAAGTCACTCACTGGTCACATTGAGAAGCCCAGTCTTAAGTCCAGATATCCAAGCACATTTGTGGGGCTTATCACATAAACATGAAACCCTCTTACTGATTGGCTTTCCATGTCTCTTGACATGTTTGTTTGTTTGTTTACATTTGATTTCTAGGAAGTTGCAGAAGATGAGAGCATTCCAGGCGTGGGTGGCAATCCTTCCTCCTACATGTTCATGAAAACTGGTTTGATTTACCTGAGTAAGTCTGAGAAGCACAGGTGCCATACTCATATCCAAACAATAGTGATTATTAACCAAATGAACACAAAACAGATTCCAATGAGTTAAATACAAGTCTTTCGGAATACAATGTGCCATCGAGCATATTTTCAATGGTACCACTTTTCAACTTCATTTTGACATCAGTCCTGATATTTTTTCCTTTAATTACTCTCCTGGCTTTCAATGTTGAATGCAGAACCTCACAAGTATAAACTCTCATTCATAAACTCCTTGTTATTACCACAAAACCTTAAATCACATGTGACAAAACAACATTTAGACTGCAAAGTTTGAACATTTATATATAAAAATATACGTATTGCAATGTGGGTTTTAAAAGGGAAAAAGAAGAGCCATACCCACTGCGCAATAAAATTGAAAGAAAATAGCTGTATACATGTTCAATTGGTTTCTCTAACAAGTGACACAGAGACTCTGTTTTTGATATTTTGGCAGATCAAACTGCAGTCCAGAGTCAGCTGAGTAAAGAGCAGGCATCAGACTACGATTCACCATTCATTGTGCCAATACCTGCAAAGGGGGTGCCATTCACAAGGGAAGAAACCATCAAAAAACTGGTGCAAGGTTAGCAATGTACAAATACAGCATGGTGTCAGGGATAGGATAGCCTGAATGGACTGCACAAAAGAAGTTCAGCTTTTCAGAGAAAACATTGCAGACTTGGTGCTAATAGTCTGTGTGCCTGGACCCCAATATTCACCTACCGGTACCATGCGAGGCGGCAAAGTCTAGTTGCTATTTTTTAATTGCTATACATCTCTAGTTTATATTTTGACACAAAAGCATCTTGGTAGTGTGCAGTGTGGTAGCTTATTATTGATTTTCACTGCCTGAATGATCAGACCGACAGCAGGCAGCAAATTGTTTTCTTCTGCAGCCTAGTATAAAGTCATTTACCTTAAGGCGCATGCGTGGAACATATCACAACTTAATTTTCTTTCTTAAATTGTGTTTAATCAAGTCGTATACTGATCGATGAAACAATTTCACCTTTCCCCTCAGTCATGACTGTGGAGGATTTGTTAAGGGACGTTAAGTCCTAGAATTAATCCGTTACCAACTGACGCATCCACATTTTTTGGCCATACAATTACACACAAAAATAATTGCCAGCAGGCCAAGCATTCACTGACCTCCATCCTTTTCTAAGTGCAGTGTCCGAGTAGTGATTAATTCAGTAATAACCACTAACTATGGACTTTCTGTGTTAGTCTCAGTGACACTTAATCCAGAAACAAAAGAATCATTGCTTTTGGGTAATTGTAATTAATCCTATCAGGACCGGCGGGCACAATTCCCTCTACTATGAATTTTCTTGTAATAACAAGGAATACTTCGGCTGATGGGCATAAAATATGGTGATTCTTCCAAAATTTTATCAGGGGTCAAAGTGGTACCCAAGAACATTCCGCAGGATGTCCATAGTAACTATGGCAACCAATTTAAAAACACTAGTAATCATTAATTTTCCCCTTTTGGTATAATAACATTGACATTTGCCCTTTTGTGGATCAAAACCATGTTTTGTCTGCCTAAGCCTATCAAGTATCCACTTTACACTAAAATTCATAGTCACGTGACCAACTACAATGCATGCCAAGAATCCAATATGGCCGCAAGTTGTCACTTCCAATTTTTACCTTTACTGCACATATTTTGTTGTTTTTGAGTATTTTTGGACATCTGTTGCATAAAAATACACTGAGTTTATAATGTTACTATAAGCACTGACCTAAAAATGAAGACATTTTTCAAAAAATATTGGGGTTTTTTTGGCAAAAAAATTGACGAAAATACAGGGAAGTGCCCTCTAAGGCTAAAAGTAGTGTCATCAATGACGGCATATGGATTACTAGCCAACCAACATTTCTGCCAAATTTTAGGAAGATCGGTTGTTGAATATGGAAATTACGATGGGGACACAATGTGCCACCTTGGTCCTAAAAAGACCATAGGGTTAATGTTATACATGTAGAAGGGTACCTGCTCAACCAAAATATATTAAGTTACTCATTAGGAAAGGCTATCACATATTCAATTCACTTATGGTGATGAAACAAATACTTTGCCACCATCAAAGTTTTGCCACCTCAGATTGTAGCGACATCTGGTTTGGCCCAAACTGAAGAAATCTCAGCACAGTTTGTTGATTGTAATTTGAGTGTGCAGCATTTGTTAGTTATGTTTCTTGAGATTCAGTTGCAAAATGAATTGATGAAGTATTTTGTCAATTAAAATGGAATTCAGGATCTCCCCAAAGTGGGAAATACACATTCTGAAATGGACAGTCATTGGCTCTAATGGTTGAAACAGGAGCAGTTCAAACTCACATATGCAATTGTTGTGTGACAGGTGAGCAGGAAGACATAGAGGAATACTACGGCAGCCTAGCCATCGATATGAGCAGCTTTGAGCGTGATCAAGACGGGGAGGAAGATTACGAAAAAGTGGAGGATGAATCGGGGCTGAGGAAACGATCCACTAAAAGATCCCATCTGAAGCAGCGGGCACCATGGCAACAAACAGAGGAGAAACCCAGTGCGACTGAAATGGTGCTACCCCCTCCCGTGGAACCACGTCTTGCCCCTCCCCCGTCAGAACAAGAAGGCGAGGCACCAGAGAAACCACCTCCAAGGAAAAATGTGAAAGGTTGGTTCCTTTGAAATGCATGATTGGATACAGTCTTATTTTTTTCATATTACTTCAGATAATCTGGAAAATTCTGATGCTGAGCTGAATTGCCAATCAATGTACAATTCATTATATTGAAAGCAGTTAAAGATATAGTCCATCATTTGTAATTTGTGCATTTTGTTCGTTTGAAGCAACAAAAGTGCTCAAGATCTAAAGAAGGGTACTGAACAACTAACCTGATGAAGTTTCAGCTGTTTAGTCCAAGAAAAACAGCATTCTAGGATCTTAATTTCAAATCAAAAGTTGCTGAATCATGTTTTGAATTGGCTACGCGATGTCGCGCACTGATCCGACGAATTATAGCAACCACGCATGCGTGAGCGTTGTGCCAATGCTTGCGCGCGCTTCGCCGAATAACAAAACGAACTACTAATTTAAATTTCCTACGCTGCATCTTAAGAAGCACCGTTGGAAAGGCCTTCTTTTGTTGATTACTTCAAAATGACAGCTTGCCAGAAAGAATAATTTCACAGGGAGTTTAGTCCCCTTACTATCTTTCAACCAAGTATGTTTTTCAACAATAATTACGCCAGTTACTTTTCGGATGGCTGCAAATGATGGACTATAGCTTTAAAATAGCAATCAATGTTTATTTTGGAAATTTCATTCTTGCTATTCCAAGAAATCTGTTAATTTCACAAAATTTCAAAAAGTGACATTTAGCATCAACTAGCAGATTTCTATGAATAATACTAATACTTTCATCTAAACTACCAAAAGACAACTTTGATAAGGTTTTTTATGTTCTCAGATACATATATTATGTGGGAAAAGGTGTGCATAAAACATTCAAAAACTAACCAAATAATGTTGTGTTGTCTATATTACATCATTTACTAAGACCATGCCCGTCAATATCCATCACTCATTCTGCTTCACATAATGCTTCAGGACCAAATCCGCTGAAATCCACCACTGGTGCTTGTGGATTTTGATGGACTTGGTACACATGGCTTATCTGGGGGATGGATTTTGATGTAGTTGGTAAGGTTAGGGTTAGTTGGTAATGTTATGCTGAATAGTATCCCAATGCAAAAACATTCTTAAACAACCAGAGGAGCCAAACAAACAATCTTGATACCATTTTGGTTACTCTGAACAACCCACATCTCCTTATACTTAATCTACATGTGCATGTCCGGATGTCAGAAAAGCTTCCCCAACTTCGTGGAATGACCCACATGTATGCTTTGGTCATGGCAGTAAGGTACTCCCAATAATCTGCATATGAAAGGGCACATGGATAGTGCAGGTAGTTAAAGTGAATGTTTCAAGCTCATCCAAAAAGCCCCCTATATGCATTGAGTGCCTGAATGCGCGGCTTGTTTGGAGTGACCCCTTACACAACATGCAATCCCTGCTGTCTTTTTAGCATTGTTTGTATAACTCCAACCTCCATAGAAAAGTATCGTATGTGCATACCTTTTAAAACTGGAGTTTGATTGTAAACTTGAGCTACATGTAGTCAGTGTTCCATGTTATCTCTTTTGTCTTATTTGTGTTCTTTGTTTTGGAAGTTTCCCCAATCTTTCTTTGTTGCTGTTAAAATTAATTATATAAATTATTCTTTGACATGAACAGTTTTGATACTTGTCTGATTTGCTCATGGGAGTGTACCTCTAGCTTTTAAAAAGTGAATTTTTATGCACACATTATTTGTAATGTTGCAAATACATGTATCTGATCAGTTCAGCCACATTTGTAGTAAGAACAATAAGAATAACTTGTATTATTGCTTGACCTTTCAGCCGAGGATATCCTGGGGCTGCAGCCGTTAGCTACTGGTCAGCAACATCTTATAGAGATCCAGAACCGTGTCAAGAACAGTGAAGTGACGGTAGATGAGGCAGTTATGCTCTTCAAGAACTGGGAACTTCTGCAAGAGAAAGACAGATTGTCCTTCTCAGCCCAAGTGGTAAAAAGAGAACAGATTATCTCTAGAGAGTGCAGTGTTGTAATGAGTCAGGGAATGCCATTACTCAGGTCAAGTCTAGGCATTTGAAGGCAGTGACTAGAATCCAGTTCAGTCATAATGAGTTCACAAGGTCATGATGAATCAAGTAGTCACAAAGTGTGCTTAGTTGGGTCAATTAAAGCAACATTCTTGCTAGGGTCAATCTGAGTCACTGTCATTGTAACGCTATGCTGCAAGTTGACCCTCAAGTGCAGTTTATGTCTGAACAATGGTCATGTCCAGAACTACGGTGGTCCTGTAAATGGTCATGCAGCCAGCATGATAAACCGGTTATTTTAGGCCCAAAAATACATATAAAATTACTATGTGAAGCATTTCCAAACCAACCTTAAATTGCGTAATCCTTTGCCAAACATGACCAGCAAGTTTTCATGACCATCGCAGCACTGATAGATTTTAATGTTCCCACCGAAATGCAGTTTCCAGCCGAAATGTAAATGGAAGGACCAGAAAGCAGCCGGTTTGACAAGGACAGTCTAAAAAAGAATGTCATGCAGACATTGTTTAAAACATATTGTTTTAAATGATCTCAAACTGAAATTTTCAGTGACTAATTTAACAAAACTTTACTCTTTCATTGGCCACTTTCTTCTACTTGGCATTGAGGTTGTTAAATCAGTTGAATGTGCAGGCTATTATCCTGCAGATCATGTCGTTGTAGCAGTGCTGTGGGCAAGTCCTAGGTTTACTCAATAATCCCTTGGTTCCGTAACAATTAAGCTTGAAGTATAAAGATAATGTGCAAAACTTGGGTAAGAATCTGAGTATGTGGACAATGAGCTATGCTAGAAATGTACAAGCATTTGAAAAGTACCTTTTATACCTTTCTAACATATTTCTGTTTGGCTTTGAGACCATCAAAAAGTACTTGGTTAACAAAGCCTTTTAGGCCCTTTCCTACTGTACCACATGTACCACATTTCAGAATACATTGGAAGGAATTGGACAATAACTCAGCAACAACACTGCACAGCTGCCAGTGAGTGAGATATTTTATCATTCAGTGTATATTTGTTGCTTTTCTTCTCAGGAAACTCTGAAAGTCCTTAAGCAGCACAAGCAGAAAGCCAAACAAACTGGTGGGCCTCGTGGCTTCTTCACCAAGAAAAAGAAAGGTAGCATTTGTTTTGAAAAACTAAGTCTTCTTTTCATCTCTCTTCATTATGTATGCAATTGCATCAAAGTACTACCTGCTTTTATTGATCTTTGCATTCCTTTAACATCATACTCACAGCCAGTAAAATTCTACTATTTATTAGGTCAAATGAAAATACATGGACAAAAGCTTGCTTTGCAGTGATTTAATGTTTATAGAATGCTGTTTGTTCATTTCTTTATTTTCACTATGCTGCAAAATACTTTGGACACTGTTTTTTTTTTTGTATATTAATTACTTTGTCTTAAACTTCGGCCTGCATCCAACAGTTCCTTTGAGTTGAATTTGTGTCTGCACTGGATTTGTGTGTGTGTGAAGCTACTATGTTACCATGTCATATGCCAAATACATGTAGATTTGCCCCAAAATAAGTTAAAACAAAATAAAACAAAACAAACACAATGCAGCAGACGGTTCAGTTGCAGACGTGAAACATGAATGCCACCATTGGGCCACAACCTGTGTGAACCAGTTTTCAGTTTCTTTTTTTGTTTTTATGGAACTGTTTTAATAGCTAGAATCTAGGGTGGGGGATAGGGGTTGTAGTTGGTTGGTGGGTTGAGTAGGGGAGCTAGGGTGGGGTGGGGTGGGTTGGGGTGGGGTGGGGCATAGGGGTTGTAGTTAGGGTTTGGGTTGTTGGGATAAGTAGGGGAGCTAGGATGGGGTGGGGTGGGGTGGGGGATAGGGGTTGGAATACTGGGTTTGGGTGGGGTGGGGATTTGTAGGGGTGGGGTGGGGACAGGTAGGGGGAGGATGGGCATGGGTGTAGGGGTTGGGTTAGGAGGGGGACGGGGAGGGGGCAGGATATAGGGATTTGAGTAGGGGTTGGGTTGGGGATGTGTATGGGTGTGTAAGGACGGATAGGGGGAAGATAGGGTAGGTGGGTGTAGGGGGTTGGGGTAGGGGAGGGTAGGGTAGGGGTCAGGGGAAAGGGAAGGAGATAGGAATTGGAGTTTGGGTGGGGTTGGGATGTGTAGGTGATAGGGTGGGGATGGGTAGGGGGTTGGGGTGGGGGGAGGGGGCGGGTCGGGGCATGTGGTGATGGTGCTGTGTCTACATGTACATGTATACCCATTCTTGTTCTGCATTTGTGGCGACTACACAAGAGTTCTCCCATGGTAATACAAGTATGGGGACCGGAAGACACTGTGGGGGCTGCAAAAAATGCTCCACAACTGGGTCCTAATTACCCTAACAATGGAAAACTTCCCCATAATGCAGTGATGGCTAGCCTATATACACATGTATTTATTAGGTCATCTGTTGACTTTTTATGTTGACATTTAAAAACTGACCCCTACACCCTGGCACATCAACGAGAATCCTGATCCCCATCATGCCCATCCCCAACCCTACCTTCAGCCTCCCTTCCCGCCTCCGACAGCGAGCCATGGCGGCTTGGCCGTTCTAGTTTTGTCTCATAAACAGTAATGTGCATACATGCATGTAAAAGGTGTATAGAGCCTAAAAGTTGACCCCTGGTGGCGCACTTTAGGGCCCCTTGAAAAGGAAACTTAACTTGTAAAAGTTTTTGAAATTAGTTTTTGTACATTGCAATAGATTTCTTAAGACATCACCCTCAGAATCTTATGGAAATTGAAAAATGCATGACGTGAAAGAGAAATATCGTGTCAAAAATTGACTTCTCACGTCCGAAAACATCCGTGTGGACTCATGGAACTCAATCACTGATTCAAGCATGACAATTTTTGAAATAATTTTGTGGCAGTCATTGGGTAAAAACTTAAACTGAAATAGGAGACTGATATGTCTTTTGGGACAGACAATTGGTTTGATTAAACTTGAAGGATTTATTTACAAACAAATCTAAAATGACCATTGATAAGAACTATATTAAAACGTGATCCAAAGGAGCCTGAATAAATCTAGATTCCATTGGATCATAGTAAATCTTTGCATCGTTATCATTTTTGTTCTCAAGCCAGATTTCTCATCTATTCTGAGGCAATTTTGTCAGTGTTTTTAAGAAACATATCTAATAATGTAACCCTTTAAAACAGTTGATACAATTAGACACAAATTGATACAGGTTTGCTTTCTGATTTCATGATTTATTTCTTCCTGTCCTGTCATCTTTGCTGTATCCCAATAATTTTTTGACTTGCCAGCCGGGCTACTTGAGGAATAGTTTGACTAGCCCGCCGCTGTTTTGACAGCATTTGGCTAGCGGGCTACCGCTAATTTCAAACCCTGCCATTGCGTAAGGTTTCGTGAAATCGGCCGCAGGGAAATCATTTTGAGATGTTCCTGAGGTTTAGCTACTTGACTTTCTAACCATACAAACAAGCAACACAAAAGTCTTCAAATGCACTGGGAGTGCTACGTTCTTGATACAAAAAAAATCTTCTAAGCTGTTTTTGGTTTAGCAATTTGTATGATATTTGTGTTTGTCACACACACCCACAGGTGGGCCTGTCGGGGAGCACATTGGACAGTCCATATTTTACTCCCCTGGATCACCGGTGGTGAAGGTCGCGGGGCTCGTGGCAACATGTTCACAAGCACTGGGTACATGCATGTCATTCATTTATCAAGTGTGTCACATGCTAAATTCACCTTGAGGGCGCTTTTGGTGTGGCAGATCTCTCATAGCTTGCATTTTTTTATTGCTAGTTTTGATATTAGAAAATCTGTTGTGTGTTGTTACTGGTGGGATGATCTTGCCGGATCTGGTTTGATTTAGGTTGATCAAGTTGGAACTGGTTCATCTTGCTGGAGCCGCTTTGATCGTTCTGGATGTAGTTGGTTCCAGTTAAGTTTGGTGTGATCTGGCTTGATCTAGCTGGGTTATTTTTGCTGAATCTTATTTTGTCCGGCTTGGTCTCATTCAATCCAGTTTGGTTAGGCTGGATCTGATTCAGTCCGGCTGGAACAGATTTTGTCTGGAAGGATCTTGTTCTATCTAGTTTGGTCAGGCTGGATCTGGTTAGGTCTGCTGAATCAGATATGTTATTACTGTATCAACTTGGATTCTGGTTTAGTGTGACTAAAACTAATTTCATGTGGCTAGATCTAGCTGAAACTTTTTTGCCTGAATGTATATCAATCCACCTTGGCTGGGCTCTTTGATTGAACCTATGTGGATCTGGTTGCATGGATCTGTTTGGTTGTGGCTATACCCGTTTCATTAAAATAAATGTCATTCTTACAACTATTTCTGGTTGTCAGGTTCCTTTGGGTCACAAAGCTTCATTCATCATTGAACCATAAAAAACGGACACAGAACAAGGGACGTGCCTACACGTGTGTAGGCATGTCCCTTGTTCTACAGCATTTGTGCTGCAAGTGTTGCTGTGTACACTCAACTGCTAAACTGATTCCCAAGATCTGATGGATTTTGTCACCAATGTATTGTCACCAGGACGGCCCTTGTAGTTGTACATCTCTTATTTGGAAGCATTTCTTGGGTGTTTTGGGTCGCGCCTTCTAGTAAGCCAGCCTCATCATTGTGAAGGTGGATATGATGCTATCAAGAGAACAGTCTACAAATATTCCTGAATGTACTAATAACAGAACACGATCTGCAAACTAAGACTTGAAAAGTCACATGACATGACCTTGAGGCATTTGGCATGTGCGTACTTGTCTCTACATATATACTGGAGTTTCTGTCTGCTGTTTTTCCTGCTTGACACATTTTGCATTTTGCAATTGCATCAAGACAAACAAACATTGCCAAAACCATGATTTGAATTCCTGCTTTAAGCATCAAGGCATGATTAAGCATATCAAGATTTGACGTTCTCTAACATTTCATCTTTTTCTAGTAATTTGTGAATAAATCTTGCCAACTCAGTAAACATTTGTTGTACACTTTGCATGCAAATAATTTGTTTGACCTTTCTTTGGCCCAAAATCAAATCCTTGATAAACACTGCAGAATTGAATGTGTAGGAGTAAGACTACCCTGGCTATTGAGGATGACATATTGCATGTAGCACTGATTTGTACCAGTTATTTCTGCACCTGTATAAGTGCCTACAATGTAGCCAAACATAATCTCATGACCTTTTTTTCACACAGGTTTTCTTAACAAACCCACACGGAAGGGCAGAGCCCAGTCAGAGCCCCTAATTTCCAGTTGCTATGGTAACCATCTCTTCTTAAAAACACATTTGTCTAGGGGCATGCAGTGTGCACTGTGCATGAAGTTAACTCTGCATATATGTGGTTGTACATATTCGTTAGGCAATAACAATCATCCCTCCCACTTGTCCTTCATAAACTTCGCCCTGATGCTCCACCCACAACCACATGCATGTTTCACTTCCTCAAATAAGGTCAAAGAAAAGAGCTATAAAATTCAACATTATTTACCTTCATAAATTGTGGGATTCGGGGTTTACTTGAAGGTTACAAATAAAGTGTGAATATCAGATCTATATCTCGAGAGAAATTAAACAATAGAGGATCAAATACCTTGAAAAATTGATTAAAGGGAATGTACATCATTGGCTTTTGTTGTTATTTTCAAAAATTAATTATTTCAGGGGTTAGTTTAATAGATCAAATATTGTTACACTGACATGTTTGAAGTTTTGTGTTCAAAAATGCTGGCAAAACCAAAAAACCCCAGAAATGTTCAAGCAGTCTGGTTCCCTGATTCCACTAAAGATGAAATGGATCAATTTATAGATGCCGGAAAATTGTAAGGTAAGGGAACCAGTCTAGCTGGCCTGCACCCATTCATGAACATGTAACCAATAGCAAACAAAATTTGGAGCCACCATTGGAAATGTATACAAAAATACCGCATTTCTTGAAAATGACTCCACACCAGGTGCCATAAATTTGCAGTCTAAATGCTTTAGACTGTCATTTACCAACATCCTAGTAAGGTATTTTGTAAAAATTTGGTAGTTTTGTTTTTTGATGTTTGCAAGCGTTGTATATTCCCTTTAAAATTAAAAGGTGCGATTCTAGTTGAGAAATAAGTGGCATTAATTTCAAGATAAAAAAGGGCTTTGAATTACGACTAGGGCTTTGAAAGGGCTTTGAATTACGACTAGGAAATGATCACTTTTTACAGCCCCTCTCTAAATTTGCATAAAATCAGATGTTTTCATGTGAAGATGCTTGAGGTTTGCACACTTAGTCTCACTGACATTGTGCTATACATGCATGCAAGTTACATATTGCTAGGGGTCCAATCACAGGCTTTTCAGCATCAGTTCTAACGACATTTGATCTTTTTGTTTCCCTTGTTCTCTAATTCCAAAGCCAGCATTTCCCTTAACCTCCAAATGTAAATATATTTTGTAAGTTTCTACATTATTGCAAGACATTACACATACTCGGGTCATTTACACTTTATACACATACATGTACTGGTACATCCATCCATGCATGGTTATAATAGTTTGATTTCTGTTCTCCTTGTGAGTATACCCTTGGTGCGCAGGGCAGTCGTTAGCGACTGCCCAAGATATATTATAACCTGTGCACCAAAGGGTTAATAACTATAAAAAAGTTGTGTTTAATAATATATTCTGTTTTGAAGTTGATCAACTCTATATCTTTCCCTCTTGCACCATATAGTACCATACTCAAAAGTGCCAGTTAGTGAAGCACAAATTTATTTTTTACATTTTTAAATTATGCAAATTTCAAATTTAAGGTTGCTAGTTTAGGGTGTTCTACCAAGAAAAAAAACCCTCAACAACAATATGCAAGGAAAACAAGTTGCTAAGAGATGTAATAAGGTGTATACATGTACATGTGTAAAAAGCCTAACCCTGTGATGAAAGAATTATTTTGTGTATGCTCGAAATTGTTTATTTTTTTTTTTAAAAAGTTGTTGGATGCAGGCCTTTGTAAAGCTGATCTTTTGGGGCTTTTTTCTTTTTGTTATGTTACCCCCTTAGGCCAAAAAAAAAAGTCTCTGGTTTCTGGTATGGAGCTTGCCCAAAAAGTGGTGCGGCGACGCGGCTTTTTTTTTTTTTTTTACCTGTATTTTTTGGCTTCAAATGTCGGCTCATGACTGCAAATGGTGCCCGACTAAACTTAGTGCAAATATATGGGAGTCCAGAGAGGCCACATAAAGCTTATTCTCGATCATAACCCCATCTAAAAACATGTTAAAATTGTGCAGTAGCAGGATTCCAGTCAAACCAGTTAGTTTGGCGGTTTTGAGACATCATCTTTTATTGGAAAAAAAACTTTTTCATTTTGCCGACGCGCATGGCTACGGCGACGCGCGCGCGTACCAGAAACCGGAGACTTTTTTTTTTTTGGCCTTAGTGTTTGTGTGCAGAAATTGTGAGCTATCACCATAATATTTCCTATAACCTTTTGGTTCGAGAGATAATGTACCTTACACTTCTCTGGTAGCAGTCAAACTCTTAATAATAACATGCTCACGGAAAAAGACTGTTGCATAAAATGAGAAGAAATTCACATGTCACATGTCAAGTTGTCCGCATAGTGTACTAGTTTCGAAATTTTACCAGCTTTCCGACCCAGGGATGAAAATAAGTGGCCGTGGACTCTTTACAGCTTACGTGTATGTCAAGTCACTGGATTTGTGGCAATCCAAGATATATATCAAAGATTTGAATCAAATTCACGAATTGCTCCACATTTAAAACAGTTTCAACTACATGTACATGTATGTAGTGATTGGGACCGGCATGTGCAAGACCATGAAAGATGTTACAATTGGCATTTCTTGCTGTGCGGAAAGATTCTGGAGCATTTTCATTTCATATGTTGCTCTTGAGTTAAACCTAATGTCACTATATGACCTTATGACATATCCCGCAAATCACCCAAACAGAGGAACGATTGTAATCGCCACTTTATTTAAAATCAGTGTTGATGGGAAGTAAAGATTGCCTTTATGACACCAGTGTCTATTTGCAGGACTAGAGGTACGTCCTAGGCATTTCAATTTGGGGGAAGTATGGAACGCTGGTATTAACTGTGAGTAAGAAGTTACAGATATTTAGCGCACCTCAGGTGCTATGCGCCTCGACGGGGTTAAAACGACATATCCCACATCACAGCAGTCAGCAATTGTTTTGTTATATCGTGTTAATAAGTCAAAGTGATAAATGGTTGGAATTAACTTACTATGTGAGAAGTAAATCCAATCACTAATGTAACCTTTGGTAACTGCAGGCTTTCCTGCCAGAACATGAGACTGAGCGATTGTAGTTCTCAGTCGTGAGCGTGTGGGCAGGTTCTACACGCTCGCACATGCGCAATTTATATATGTAGTGCATAAGGAACCCAGTGTATGCATTCTTACAGACTGAACACGTGGCCGCTCAAGACCAATGAAATTACAGTATCCAAACAAACGATATCACAAGTGCAGTTTTTTACATACAGTACATATAAGATTCCAATCTCTGAACCAGTTGCTTGCTTAGGATGGACGCATCATATATGCACAGTATCCTTTGTTTGCATGTAAACTTCTTATAATGCTATGAATGGCATGCATGTACTGTCACAAGTCCTGTGTTTGAAAACCTCTGCATGCATTCTGTAGACAATCTGTAGTAGTTTGTAAAACAGTTTTGTGTGGGATTTACATGCTGGAAGAAAACAACACTTTTGTCTACATACCTCATAGAGGTTGGTGACTGCTAGAAACTATAGGTTGCTTAAGGCACATTAATTGAGATAAAAATGCAATTCTTGCTGGCATAAAATAATTATTGAACAAAATACTTTTGAGAGCTTTTTTCTTTTGCCTAAAAGTGATTACTGAAGGGCAGCAGTCTAATGACGCCACAAATAAAATGGGAGTTCAGGTTAAGAGGTTGTGGCTTTAGTACTGCTGCATGTCTCAGATATGCTGGGAGACAAGACAATCACCTCAGCAGTTTAAAGATGCTACCAGCATCCCTATCTATAAGAGGAAGAGCGAAAGAAGTGATTGTGGGAATCACAGGGGGATCTTGTTACTGTCCATTGCTGGTAAGAGTTTTGCAGTTAGCAGAGCAAATCTTACCAGACAGCTTGGGGTTGCTGTAGAGGAAACAGAAAAACAACTGATATGATTTTCACACTGCGGCCGTTACAAGAGAAAGTCATGGAACAGAAGAACCAGTCACTTTTTGTAGCCTGTGTTGACTTCTCAAAGGCTTACGAGTCCGTTGACAGGTCAATGTTGTGGCACTTGCTGGTGTGCTTTGGCTGCCCAAAGAAATTTGTAGACGTCGTTCAAGGGTTCCATGAAGGTATGGTTGGTAGAGTCTCAGGTGGGTGATCTATGTCTTACCCTTTTGAGATCTCTCATGGAGTAAAACAGGTTGTGTTTTGGTTTCACCCTATTTTCCTGTTCCTGGCTGCAGTCCTGAGAGTGATGAATGACAAATTTAGCTCTGGTGTCTTCATCAAGACTCGGCATGATGGGAAGATCTTCAACCTGGCCAGACTTCGCCCAAATACCAAGGTGAGAGAGGTCTGTGTAAGAGAGCTGCTTTTCGCCGATGACTCTGTCCTTGTGACTCATACCATTGAGGATATTCAAGAAGTCATCAACTTTGCTGATGCCTCTCAGAAGTTGGGACTCACCGTCAACATTAAAAAAAAAAGTGCTCTACCAGCCAGCACTCAGGAAACTGCACACCCAACCCCACCTATAGACTCTACTGAGCTACAGTCTGTCCGTGAGTTCACTTACCTGGAAAGTACAGTTACATCAGACCACACCCTTGATGCTGAAATCTCCAATCGCATCCAAGTTGCAGGGTTGGCCTTAGAAAACGTGTCTGGTCTCAGCACTGTATTCTAAACACCACAAAGTGTAAGGTCTACTGCGCCCTTGTTGTAACAACATTGCATACTCAGCTGAAACATACACCCTCTGCAGAAGACACGTAAGGAAACTAACTACCAGTAGTATCCAGCTGCGTCACCTAAGGCAGATTGTCAGAATCTGCTGGAAGGACCATGTGTCAAGTGTAGGAGTCCTTCAGCATGCCAACATGCCAAGTGTCAAGTCAATGCTTCTTACAGCTCAGCTGAGAAGGTCTGGGCATGTTTATACGGATAAAGTTGTCAAGACATCCTAGGCGTGTATTTTATGGGGAACTCTCAGATGAAGAGCGGCACGTTGAATTGGCAGCCCAAAACTGTGGTGTAAGGATTGAAAGCAACATCTTAGGGTAACTAATATACCATTGGACAGCTGGGAAGCAGTAGCACTCAACCGTTCCTAGTGAAGGGCCACCATCAAGAAGGGTGCTCAGTTAGTTGAACGTACAAGAGCTCACAAGTATGATGTGCAATATGTCAGATGCCACAACCCTCCAGCTCCGTTTGTCTTCTGTCAATTCTGTAACAGGGGCTTTGTTAACAGACTTAGCCTATTCTCACATGTCCACTCTAAACACATCAGTGTTACTCCTCACTAATTGTTTGTCATTATCGATTGGATAGACAGCCAGAGAGAGATGTCATTACAGCAATCAGTGGTTGGAAATCTGAGTCCTTATGACATGAATCTATTGAAGTTAGCTCCAAGAAACAAATGACTGTTGTTTTAATTTTTTTGAAATTTCAAATAAGGATTTTTTGCTCATTAATTTAAGGATGCCTTACAAAAAGCTAGCACTGTTTCATCGTTTTTATATCTGGCTACTCATCAATTTGAACATTTCATAAAAATATTGTTAAACAATCAGCAATTGCTCTACTAGTTGTAGAGGCCATATCCCACTGTGTATGTTTCGTATCGAAATGTACATTAACCCTTACTCTCTGAGGGTAGTTTACTGCATGTCAGTTGGTTATGCCAATGCCCTCCAGCTGCAGTTTATTGGAGGATACTTTGATGTAGCAGTGAAGGCTCCAATTGGCAGGAGTTGGAGGCCCTGGAGGGTGCCTGATACTGACCAGCTGGGGCACTTGATTGTTATCAGAGGACTCTCATTGTTCTCTGTGGCATGTATTGGAGTGCCTGTCCAGTTACCCTTGAAATGACATGGCAGATATTGGAGGGCCATGCAAAAAACATAGGAGATTTTCTTGAGGCACATATTGGCATGCGTTGGAGGGTCTAGTAGGGTAAGGGTTAATCTATTGTTTCTGTTTCCTATTTTAAGCAAACTTCTCAGTTGGATGATATGGCAATGGAAAAGATCATTTTGGATGTTTGATTATTCCGAGCTACATTTGTATTTTAATATTAATTTCTGTGTTTGTGTTGTATATTGTTTTGAGTTTTTTTGATTGTGATTTTTGTATTTGACTTTTACTTGTTTGTTGTATTATTATCCGGTTTATGCATGTGGGTGTTGCCTTTGGCAGTTAGTTATCAGTTATCTGCATCCATCGCATCTACATCCGTCCGCTGACCACATTGCATCCACAGCCTTGTACATTGGTTACTCTTTTTCCATTTACTTGTGAATAATGTGTCATTTTTTTGTATGCAGCTCCACAACCAGCGCCTCCAGTATCCCTGAAATTCCAGGAAAGAATGATCCAATCAGAGGTATGTGCACTCAGCCAGTGAAGCCCCACCCAACAGTAAATTGTCTTAACTGACTTTCTTGTGCTTTAACAATCAACAAGAATGTGTTAAGTCTATCATGAAGGATGCCTTTGTGTAATAGTAAAGCATAGAATGAGGCCACATCCCTATGGAAGCAGCTCAGCCACGTCCCATAGACATATGTGATACTGCTGCTCATAGCCAAGTATTTCAGACACAACCTAAGATTCATTAGAACAATTCTTTTTGTCTATCTTGTAAAGAACGTGACCTATTTGACGTGTATTGCAATATGTCTTGTGCTATTTGAGGTTTACAGACTTAAAATAGTTGTTACGGAGATATAAACTTATTCACTGATTTGTCTTCTCTCTCTCGTCTAGATTTCTGTTCAAAATCGGCCTACAAGCACTACAAGTAAGTACAAGACTACACCTTTACAAAAATAAATAATTGATTAGTTTTTGCACAGGCTGATCTGCATGCACACAGTAAGTAGCTATTACTGCGGTGCTACCATGCTTGGGTGCAGGCGCAGGCATTCTTACATTGGAGGTGCACATGAACTTTGGTAGCTTGTTGACATGTTATTAGTTGCAGGAGCATTGAGTGTTACTGCAACCTGTGCATGAGTGTCAGGCCATCTCAGTAGTAATGCTCTTCATTGTGGTCGCCACTTTTGTCTATAAATCCGTTGTTAAACTATTCCTAGCAATTTTCTTCCCCTGAAAACTGTTCTTTTTTTATTTGTAATATCTCAATATATAACATTGAATCAGCCAAAATCTGAGTCCTCTCAGAACCAGTGATGCATTAATTGGGGGGGGGGGGGGGGGGGGGGGGACAGTGGGGCATTGTGCCATGGCCTGAAGTCCCCCCTGGGACTGAATAACCGGTAGTGAATCGAGGTGTTTTACAGCTTTGTTCCTATGGTGGAATTACAATGTCTGTGAACAATGCCAAGTGTTACAACAAGCATGCATGTATGCATGTAACTAACTTCGCATTTCTCTTTGATAGTCTGTGTCACTTTATAGTTTGTGTCTCTTTATAGTCTGTGTCACTTTATAGTCTGTGTCTGTTTTATAGTGTGTGTCTCTTTGATTTGGTTTATTCAGGTCTAGACTCCCATGGCAGTAGAGACAGTTCTTACAATTCAGCACCAGATGTAAGTCTGCAAAAAGAGATAAGCAGTAAAGGAACATTTTAAAGTTCTTATTAAGTTAATAATATTCAAACCTCTGTGGTACACTGCAATATACACACCATCATTTTCACATCAAGTTATTAATCCTTTCCTTACCATGGGCGACTTTTGTTGACAAGGAAGTGCCCCCTGCTGCTTACCATAGGCGACTTTCGTCAACCAGGAAAGCACATGCAGAACGCCCTCAACACAGCTATATTCACTATTTTTCAGAATGGTGGAATGTTGGTGTGTTTGGCTATCCATACATTAACCATATACCAACTGAAAAAGTGTTTTCTGATTGTTCTAATGGTGTAGTTTACTCATGGTATTACCATTACAAAAATGTAAAAAAAAGGTGCTTCAGAAGTATCCACGCACAATTCTGAGGTATGGAGTGCCATTTGGTCATGTGGTGAAATGGCTTGCAGTTTGATAACTGGGACCAGATGAACAAACAGGCATAACATTTTTATATTTGTACATATGGACCTGAATTTTACATCACATAAAAGAGTACAGTTCAAGGAATAAACATTACACACAATACCTATGATTTTAATTACTTCTTGGCAGCTACAATCTGGGTTGAAAAAAGTGAGTTTTCAACATGTGGTCCATTTTTCACACTCTAGTAATTTCAGCATGACTGAGCAAACAATTTGGTCCTGGGAAGAGCCAAGTCAAAAAACAATGTGGCAATGAAAGGGTTAAACAAACCAATAATAATTATTAACAAATTAAAAAGGCTATTTATAAGATTAGTACTGCAAACCCGTGTTCATAAGGCCCTTAAAATATCATCTGGTGCCCGGAACAAAGGCATAATGAGCGCTCTGACCTGGCACAAGGGCATAATGAGCGCTCTGACCCGGCACAAAGGCATAATGAGCGCTCTGACCTGGCACAAAGGCATAATGAGCGCTCTGACCCGACACAAAGGCATAATGAGCCATCTGACCCGACACAAAGGCATAATGAGCGCTCTGACCTGGCACAAAGGCATAATGAGCGCTCTGACCCGACACAAAGGCATAATGAGCCATCTGACCCGACACAAAGGCATAATGAGCGCTCTGACCCAGCAACAAAGGCATAATGAGCGCTCTGACCCATCACAAAGGCAAAATGAGCGCTCTGACCCGGCACAAAGGCATAATGAGCCATCTGACCCGACACAAAGGCATAATGAGCGCTCTGACCCGACACAAAGGCATAATGAGCGCTCTGACCCGACACAAAGGCATAATGAGCGCTCTGACCCGACACAAAGGCATAATGAGCCATCTGACCCGGCACAAAGGCATAATGAGCGCTCTGACCCGGCACAAAGGCATAATGAGCACTCTGACCCAGCAAAAAGGCATAATGAGCGCTCTGACCCGGCACAAAGGCATAATGAGCGCTCTGACCCGACACAAAGGCATAATGAGCGCTCTGACCCGACACAAAGGCATAATGAGCACTCTGACCGGGCACAAAGGCATAATGAGCGCTCTGACCCGGCACAAAGGCATAATGAGCGCTCTGACCCGGCACAAAGGCATAATGAGCCATCTGACCCGGCACAAAGGCATAATGAGCGCTCTGACCCAGCACAAAGGCATAATGAGCGCTCTGACCCGACACAAAGGCATAATGAGCCATCTGACCCGGCACAAAGGCATAATGAGCGCTCTGACCCGACACAAAGGCATAATGAGCGCTCTGACCGGGCACAAAGGCATAATGAGCGCTCTGACCCGGCACAAAGGCATAATGAGCGCTCTGACCCGGCACAAAGGCATAATGAGCCATCTGACCCGGCACAAAGGCATAATGAGCCATCTGACCCGGCACAAAGGCATAATGAGCGCTCTGACCCGACACAAAGGCATAATGAGCGCTCTGACCCAGCACAAAGGCATAATGAGCGCTCTGACCCGACACAAAGGCATAATGAGCGCTCTGACCCAGCACAAAGGCATAATGAGTGCTCTGACCCGGCACAAAGGCATAATGAACGCTCTGACACAGCACAAAGGCATAATGAGCGCTCTGATGCGGCACAAAGGCATAATGAGCGCTCTGACCTAACACAAAGGCATAATGAGCGCTCTGACCCGACACAAAGGCATAATGTGCGCTCTGACCCGGCACAAAGGCATAATGAGCGCTCTGATGCGGCACAAAGGCATAATGAGCGCTCTGACCTGGCACAAAGGCATAATGAGCCATCTGACCTGGCACAAAGGCATAATGAGCACTCTGACCCGACACAAAGGCATAATGAGCGCTCTGACCCTGCACAAAGGCATAATGAGCGCTCTGACCCGACACAAAGGCATAATGAGCGCTCTGACCTGGCACAAAGGCATAATGAACGCTCTGACCCGGCACAAAGGCATAATGAGCGCTCTGACCCGACACAAAGGCATAATGAGCGCTCTGACCCGGCACAAAGGCATAATGAGCGCTCTGACCCGGCACAAAGGCATAATGAGCACTCTGACCCGACACAAAGGCATAATGAGCGCTCTGACCCGACACAAAGGCATAATGAGCCGTCTGACCTGGCACAAAGGCATAATGAGCGCTCTGACCCGGCACAAAGGCATAATGAGCACTCTGACCCGACACAAAGGCATAATGAGCGCTCTGACCCGACACAAAGGCATAATGAGCCATCTGACCGGGCACAAAGGCATAATGAGCGCTCTGACCCGGCACAAAGGCATAATGAGCGCTCTGACCCGGCACAAAGGCATAATGAGCCATCTGACCCGGCACAAAGGCATAATGAGCGCTCTGACCCGGCACAAAGGCATAATGAGCGCTCTGACCCGACACAAAGGCATAATGAGCGCTCTGACCCGACACAAAGGCATAATGAGCGCTCTGACCCAGCACAAAGGCATAATGAGCGCTCTGACCCGACACAAAGGCATAATGAGCCATCTGACCCGGCACAAAGGCATAATGAGCGCTCTGACCCGACACAAAGGCATAATGAGCGCTCTGACCTTGCAGAAAGGCATAATGAGCCATCTGACCCGGCACAAAGGCATAATGAGCGCTCTGACCCGGCACAAAGGCATAATGAGCGCTCTGACCCGGCACAAAGGCATAATGAGCGCTCTGACCCGACACAAAGGCATAATGAGCGCTCTGACCCAGCACAAAGGCATAATTAGTGCTCTGACCTGGCACAAAGGCATAATGAACGCTCTGACACAGCACAAAGGCATAATGAGCGCTCTGATGCGGCACAAAGGCATAATGAGCGCTCTGACCTGGCACAAAGGCATAATGAGCGCTCTGACCCGACACAAAGGCATAATGTGCGCTCTGACCCGGCACAAAGGCATAATGAGCGCTCTGATGCGGCACAAAGGCATAATGAGCGCTCTGACCTGGCACAAAGGCATAATGAGCGCTCTGACCTGGCACAAAAGCATTATGAGCGCTCTGACCCGGCACAAAGGCATAATGAGCGCTCTGACCCGACACAAAGGCATAATGAGCGCTCTGACCAGCACAAAAGCATAATGAGCGCTCTGACCCGGCACAAAGGCATAATGAGCGCTCTGATGCGGCATAAAGGCATAATGAGCGCTCTGACGCAAAAAAACTTTTGAAGAAAATTGCACTGAATGGGTTCAATGTTGCTTTACGTGTATTATAAATCCAATGTTCTCCCACACACATCATAAATCATATGAATTTGAAATTTGTCACACGTATGAATCATATTTTTTGAACAACTTGCGTTAATTTCCGATGAAAATGTTGAATTTCATTAAAATAGAGCCAGTTGTCTGGAATTGTTTTTGTGATAAGATGTTCACGCGTAAGGGTGTAAGCACCTATACACCCTTCTGCCAGGCACAAACACGCCTTAGACTCAGTTCCCTGGGGAGAACACAGCCTATTACAGCGGTTTTTTCCCCCCTGGCGAAAGTGGTTGATTTTCAAATACAGTAACCAACTCTGCCCTTGCGGTTTACCACTAGGCAGGGAGAAAGTGGATTGTCCAAGGACACATACATTACTACCCCAGGCCTAGCTCTACTGAGTGGAGCGTTGAACTACGGTACCCTCCGTACTAATGCTCCACCGATTTGCCATACTTTGGTGACGGATACACGCTAGCAAATTGTACATACACACGCGAGGACAAAAGACCCCCCAAAAAACAGTAAAGAGAATACAAAAGAGAGAGAAAGCAGCCCTGGATAGATCTACACATTCATGACATTTCATAAGACTCCTTATATTGTTCCATAACAGCGACAATTTTGGAAAAAAAAACCAGCAAAATAGTCTGAAAACTCACCGCTCAATTTGTTTGCCGTGTGTTGCTCAGTCCCTTGCACCGAGTTGACGAATGAGGGCGCTTGACATGATGTGACCGTTGCGCTCAATCGAAGAAACACAAGTCGTGCTTTATCAACGACTGTTTTGTGTAATGATACGTGCTCCGATCTGCGCCGTATTCAAAGCCCATACCGTAGTACAATTTGCTACCGTGTATCCGTCACCAAAGTATGGCAAATCGGTGGAGCGTTAGTACGGAGGGTACCGTAGTTCAACGTTCCACTCAGTAAAGCTACCCCGGGCTGAACAGACTGAACTGGACTCCCCAATTTGTAGAATTAAGAACAGATTTGAAATTGAATGCTGCAGATGACAAGACCACAGCAGATCACTTGGTATATTTAAAGTGCAATCCGATGGGGGTGTGGCTTGACGTCATTCTCGCTGACTTTCTTACATCCTCTTAGGAGCCTGATCAGGAGAAATATCATTCCTCACCTGCATCAACCACACCCGCATCTAGACGACAGACCCAGCAAGATAGAAATGTGAGTACTAGCCACAAGCTTTGTCCTCCAACCTTTCAGTTTGACTCCCAATGAATAGAGTACAATTTGAAGTTTTTGCATGGTGGAATGGGGCTAAAAACATGTCGTGCATAATCAGAGTTAAGTTGGATGACATGAAGACAGTTTTAACTATGATAAGAGAATAAGGAAGCGTGTCAAAAATATTGTTAAGGATATGCATCACCCAACAAATGAGTTCTTCCACATGATGCCTTCAGGAAGAAAGATGAGATCAATAGGTGCAAAAACCAACCATTTCAGAAATAGTTTTATACCATCGGCCATGCAGGTTTTTAACAATGGATATTTTTTATTTATAAAATGTCTGTATAAGCCAACCGTTTAAAAAATAGATTTATATCATCAGCTGTGTGGGTTTTTAACAATGGGAACTTTTAATTTATAAAATGTGTGTGTATATTGTAATTGTTTGTATATTATTTGTACTAATTTTTATGTGGTTATTGTTTTAATTGTATTGTATTTAACATTTTGTCATTTCTACTTTTATGCGAGTCCAACATTACAAATTCCTGCGATTGTTTTTAATCATTGGCTGAATAAATTAATCATAATCTTAATGGTGCGTATGAACTTTGTGGATGACACCATGTGAGTTTAAATTTCTTACATGACCAAATGCTAATTTCAAAGTTCAAGTAAAAGTCATGTCTTTAAAAACCTGGAAGTTCCTTTTTTTGCCACGGACTGTCAAATTTTACAGTAATGAGAAATGTGTATTTGGTCTGTAGAAGAGAATCTCAGCGGCCTACGACCAGTTATCCAATGTCCCCGAAAAGAGTATGCCGCCAGTGCCTAGCCGGTCTACTGCACCCAAGCCAGGAGTCCCACCTTGTACCCTCCCAATGATCCCCAAACCTTCACCACCGTATGGCCACTACCAGCCTTCACCTTCCCCCTCCCCTGGGGAGGAGGATCAGCCCGACTACATGGAATTTGATGAGGAGCCTATACCTGGGGACCTGCCTGGGCTACCTCCCCCACCCCCACCCACAGAGATGGGTGCTGAAAGGTACAACTGCTTGTCAACTCAGGCAGATTATCTATGTCTTTGACGATTACAGCTATGCTGGCACATGCAGACAGTAGATATAACCGTAGCTTTGGAAACTAATTTGAACATTCATGTGCCTGTTTTCAATGCTCCACCCTCCTCAATAAATTTAACTGTCATCAGCCCTTTGGGCACTCCTTCTTTTTTGCGGGGTCCAAGGTGCTTTACAATGGTTAAAAACATTGAAAAATAAAAGCCAACTTAACCTTACGCAAATTAGAATAACAGTTAACTTAAACAAAGTTGACTTAAACATTGGAAAGTTAAGGTAACATACTATTGCCATTTTTGTGCTAAGCAAGCCCATGAAAGTTGCCCCATATCATGTGTTCTTAGTCAATTCATCTCTGATCTTCATGTTCTTTTATTTCAGAGCCTTGGATGTCAAAACTCCAGTCTCTCCCACTCAGAGCTCTCGTTATTCAGAGTCTCCATTATCAGCATCAAAGTACCCCCAAGTAACTCCCAGACAGCCTGCTCAGAAAAGGCCCATCCCAAAACCTAGGCTTGCTCCAAGATAGGTTGGTTTGTACAGTCAAAGGGTATTTTACCTTTCCACTTTGGGACCATTTTTTATGGTATCCGTAAAGAAAACCAACCCCAGCATTCAAATCCTGGGAGTTGCTGTTTAGATTATTCATAAAGGCGCGCACGATAACCCTACCACATCGGTGCATCAGTGCAGCAAGATACAAGTGTGTACAGTGCGAATGAAAGGATTTGCAACTAAAAAATGTACATAAACGTGAAATCTGTTTCGTTTTCCATGTAGCCTGGTTTTCATGATAAATATGGCATACAAAACATACTGAGTAATTTGAAAAGTTGGTTACGGATACCTGATTCCGTAATCTGGAACCGGTTCCTGACATCAACGGTCGGGTACTCAGGTACCTGGTTCCAATGCACAGCCCCTGTGTTCCACCTTGGAGCTCTCACTAGTGCTGACAAAGCATCCTCTACTATTCATGGATAAAGTCCATAGGTTCAAGTACATGTACATGGGCTACAATAGAGAGGTGTCAGCAAACACAAGCCAGTAGAATCTTGCTCAAAGTTGGATGATGAACCGGACAGAAAGTGTTACATTCCCTTGGGAATTTAAGAATTTTTCAGTATGTATTGGTAGAGTTGGGGATGGCTGTCAATCCTGAAAACTGAGATCTTTAATTGAATCTCTCAGACAAAAATAACTACAAATTCCTCCAAAAACCCACTAAATATGAACATTACAGGGTGTATAAAAAAATGTAATCCAAACATATTGTATGAGTGTATTACAATTATGAAAGTGAACACTGTCAGGATGGCTGCATCTGAAAGGGTGAATTCCCAGCTTTCTATTCCTGGAGTCATGAATGAATAGGTAATGAAGTGAAATCAATGGTCACCATTACAGCAGGGTTACAAGTAAGTAATCAATGTACCACTACGCTAACATAGCTCAACTTGTTTCAACATAGCTACTAGTTTTGGATTACATGTTTAATACACCCTGTACACATATATATGTACTACATGTATAGATGTTTAGAGAAATTAGGACCTAATATGTACCTTTAATAGAAATTATTAAATGATGACAACTATAAAATGATTTGAGATCATGTATAGATGTAGATTAGTACTGTTAGTTTGAAAAGGGACATGTGTTTTACTGCAAATTAGACAAAGGCCGTTAATAAGTCGTCACGTTGGGGACGGAAAACTTAGAACACGTTTTCTTTATTTGAAGGCTTTGTCTGGGAACGCATTTTTGAGGGACCCAAAAAAAATGGTTTCTGTGTTTGAATTAAATTGCTCAAACATGTTGTAAAAGGTCTTAATGTAAACAGCTAACATCACATTCTAGGCAGTCAAAGAGCATAAGACTTTACCTCTGTTAGGAAACTTCAAAATTGTCCAAAAGTTAAGAAGTGCTTCCATTACCATTCCTTCATTTTCAAGTGTGTACGTTACAATTTAAATAGGAGACTTAATTGTTTTCACAATTTTTTTAGCATAATGTTCTAATTGTACTCATCACAAACTATGTGTTTGATAAGGCAGGAATGCATCATGTACAAAGGTTTTGTACACAGGTTTTGTGTAGATAAATTGTAGAATCATAATACATGTATCATAGCTTGAAATATGTAGTACAGTGTAGAATTATGTGTGTGTATTTATATCACGTTTAATTAGGCAGATGCATCATTGTGTGATTTTTTTCTCAGATACCTGTGTTATTATATGTTGAGTGTGGATATTTATTAGCAGTTTAACAGACATTCATCAGCAGACCAGTGGATACTGCCATACATCAGCTGTTGAGTGGATGCTGTTACATCAGCAGTTTTGTGGATGCTGCAATACATCAGCAGAACAGTAGATGCTGTTACATCAGCACTTCAGTAGATGATGTTACATCAGTAGTTCAGTGGATACTGTTACATCAGTAGTTCAGTTGATGCTGTTACATCAGTAGTTCAGTTGATGCTGTTACATCAGCAGTTTAGTGGATGATGGCACACATTAGCAGTTCAGTGGATGTTACCGTACATCAGTAGTTCAGTGGATGCTGTTACATCAGCAGTTCAGTGGATGATGTTACATCAGCAGGTCTGTTGATGTTGATGGTACATATCAGCAGTTCAGAGGATGCTGCCATTCATCAGCTTGTTTTTTACTCATACATCAGCAATTCTGTGGGTGCTGCCATACATCAGCAGTGCAGAGGATGATGTTCCATCAGCAGTTCAGTGGGTGTTTCCATATATCAGCAGTTCAGTGGATATTGCCATTTCTGACAACAGGCCAGTTCATCAATATGGTGGCAGCAATCTCAGTACATTGTAGCAAGCTGTGCATGCAGTTTTCTTGCACTGTCACTAGAATGTTCACAGTATGCTAATCAGTTTTGGGTGTTACAGATGCTGTTGGTGACAAAGAAATTGATGTCCTTAGCAAGTATCAGGTGGATACCAGTTAGAATTTGGGTGATAAACTGTTTTTGCTTAGTAAATCTTTCTTGTACTATTACCACACATCTGTGCTTATTAGCAACTACATGAAATAGGCCCCTGGCATATTTTTTTAAAGAGATCTGTCCATTGATCAAAACCTCTTTAAAGAGCACAAAATGTGATTTTATTTCAATAATGAATACCACTACATGTATACTAATTATTTGGCTGTACAAAAAATTTCTTTTGTGCTCTCCACTGGCGGTCGAAGAATGGCTACAACAAATGACAATTATACTTGACATTGATTGCGGACCCCATTGTATGTGTTATAATGAAGTTTTAATGTATGGGGTGTGTCTCGTGACATTTGTGGTTTACCTTTCCTAATACCTTTGTTACAACTGATAATGTAGTAACCAACGGATAATGTATCACCAACTGATAATGTCACACAAATTGACCGATACTGTATCACTAAACCGATAATGTAACAGAAATTGACCGATAGTGTAGTAAAAATGTACGACACTATCAGTCGATTGTTGTTACATTATCGGTCTTCCCCTGATAATGTAACAAATATTGACCGATAGTGTAGTAACGTTTACTACACTATCTGTCAATTTCTGTTACATTATCGGTTAATGATATAGTGTCGGTCAATTTGTGTGACGTTATCGATTGGCGATACATTATCAGTTGGTTACTACATTATCAGTTGTAACAACCTTTCGTAAAATTTGGAACTATAATGATAAATGGTGCAATAAGCCCATTGTTAAAAGTACAGTGAAATACGAAGGACTGTTTTTTATTACCTCATTGCTTACAATTATTAAAAAGAATAATTATTCCAATAATTAGTCCATAATTACCATCCACCTCTGGTCATCCTTTTTATTTGTAAATTGGAGAATACCCCAGCCTCATTTTTCTAAATAAATCTGTTCAATGGTGTAGAAATCTGAAAGCCCCAACTTTAAGGGAAATTAATTTTAGAGTATTGTATAGAAAACCAACTCCCCACCTCACTGTTAACCCTAAATCAGCTGAAAATAGTCATTTTTTTAATCAGGAATGTATTTTTTCCCCATTTTCTGTAACATTTTTTCTTAATTTAAATAATAATAAAAAAACACCATTGTTATACATTTTTTTTCTAAACATGTTTTATGACCAGTTTTTTTATTTTTATAACAAGTCTTATTTCTTTTATAAAATGCAGTTTTAAACTTTTTAAGTGTTACATTTTGTACAGATTCCTACGTCATCACAGATGTACTTGCCATCATTGAAAAAAGGAAAAAAAATGACTATATTTCATTTAATTAGTAAAATATTCACTGAAAAATTTCTGTTGTAAGAAAGGTGTTTCTCATTAACTATGGATGACCAGTGCTGGGGTACTGTCCTTTTTTAAAAAGTGTAATTTTGGGGAATGAAATTTTAATGAAATAATAGTTATTTTTTCAGTGGGGTTGATGTGGGAAAAAGTGTGGCCTACTTTTATATGACTTGTACAGATGAAATGAATACTTAATCTTTGTCATTTTCCATGGATTTGTTGTACATATTTACTGTGTAACCACTCTGACATTGGTACTGGGAGAGAATTGTGCTGGAAATCATTCTCTAATTGTTTACCAAGTTGCCATTTTATCAGCCGATTTTAAAACATCTGTTTATTAAGTGTAAAATGGTTTGGAGGAGATAAGCCACCATAATCCAAGGATGCTTATTCCTGTAAACATTATTGGTGTCAGTCTGTTAATTTATGCAAGTTTAACTTATATGATCTTTATTTGGGATGTAAATTTGTAATGGCTGCTGTCACAATGTGAATGAAATGTTCATTTCTTCCTGAATGTATGCAACATTTAAATATGTATGGAGGCAACGACCAAGGAAAAAAAAACATGGTGTGACGATTCCTTGGGGAAAAAATCAAGGGTTATGACGGTCTGATTTAAAAAAAAACATGGCACATTTACTCAGAAAAAAAAAATTCTCGAGTTGTTAGTCAGAAATTTGGTGAAATACTAACAAGTCATCACAAGAAAATCACAACACTGGCAAGTAATAGAAGAAAAATACCAAAGCAAAGCCTTTGTCACAGTTCATTTGAATAAAGAGTGATTTTGAGTCAAGATTCCTAATGCTAGGATTGACTTGTAAGCACTTGTTAAGACTTGACTACAGCCCTACATGCCAGTCACAAGTCATCCACTCTCGATCACTTTTGTGCCAAGCTATAACTGTGACAAAAGCTTTCCTTTATCATTGTTCTCTAACTGATAGGATCTGCTGTATATTCATTGTCAGAATGTAGTAGATTTTATAAATCAGATTTCATTGAGAGAAGGAATGTGATACAACAACAATTATTGGGTGTTTATACAATATACATGTATAGCGCTTTATACCAGAGGTCTCGGCGCTTCACAATTATTACCCCTGTTCATCAGGCCTTGAGACCAATTTTTGCAGCAGCTTGAGATCAGTGCAATCTGGTCTCTACATGCACAGGTACATACTCCTGGGTGGAGAGAGGCAATAGTAGTAAAGTGTCTTGCCCAAGAACACAAGCATCATGTTCCCGCCGTCAGGGTTCGAACCACGGCACATGAGTCTAACACCGTAACCATGCCATTGAACCACAGCGCTCCACATATAAGACATTTAAAATGTATCCTCTCTTTTTCATTCTGAAAAGAAAAGTACTCCTAGGGTTGCAATGTGATCAATCTTTGATATAGCCAGAAAATTGCGGTAATAACACTGATAAATGTAATATTTTGTAAAAACAAAATGTTATTACTGCCGATATTGATGTGTGTTGCACCATGACTACTCAGATTTCAGCAATAAAACACGAAAAAGGTATTGAATTGATAAAGATTTAAAAGTTTCCTCATTGATTTTTGTCAACTGTTCCTTAGTTTAACATTTTGAAAAGTTATTAGTTAACAATGTGTCACGTTGAGGGTTAATGTTTAAAATTGAGAATCCATTTCTGGTATGAAAACAAAACCTGAAATCTTCAGGCCGAAAAATTATTTGAAAAATAAGGATATTGGGGAGAGGTTAACTCCCAAATAAATTGCCTTTATGGAATGTAGGTTTTTCCAGTGAAGTTAGAACTCATATAAATTCCATGGAAAGATACTTTAATTTCGTTCCACAACGTCACTGCATGGGCTCAAATTAAGTTCAATTTCAAATTTGGCATTAATTTTGTAATATAGCATTTAACGTTTTAATGCAGCATTCCAAGTTGTCCTAATTATGATAATTTCGTCAGACGTTGTATTGCAAAAGAAAAGGGTTTTTTTGGGTCATATATTCGAATGCTTTTGTCATTTCACTTCGTTTGTGGCAAACAGAAACATTACAAATACAATAAGGAATGTGCGATAATTGAGCGATATATTCTACTGTTATTTTCTTCATTTAAAAAGGGACATGTATCTTATTCCTTTATTGCTTACTTTAACAAAAGGCAAGCGGAAATCATGTAATGGTTCTGGAAATTTGGGGAAAATGTTGCACGGGTCCGCGCTTGGTGCCCCCTCATGCAGTAATATACTGCCCCCCCCCCCCCCCCCGCCAGGGCCTGCTGATGGGCATCAATTAAGGGTTCATTCACTTTAATCCTAATCTTAGCGAACCTTTTCTTTTGCGATAAGGCCAGCAACTTTTTTCTCATTAATTCACACAGGATATCCCAGAAACTTGAAAACCACATCCTCAAAAGTTAAGGATTTTTTTAGGCCCCCCCCCCATTCTTAAATGTAAACGTGGGATTTTCAGAGATTTGTGCAAGTGCGCCACGTTAGGGTAGACTCAGCCTAGTAAATTTCCGGGCGCCACAGTTTTTGAATTTTAATTCAGACCAAATTATATGATACTGAAATTGTTCACAAAGGTTCAACAGCAAGTAATGTCGGAATTTGAAGTTTTTCAACAAAGAAGTTCGGCAGCGCTACATGAGGAAATTCGAGGTAAATGTAGACCTAACAGATGAGTCGGCAAGGAAAACGAAACTAAAAATGCCTGCGTTCTAATCGTCTTATAAGTTAATTTCTTAGAAATGCATACCACAAATAAATCAATTGATAATACTAATACTAGGGCGGGGCTACCAAAAAAATGTGGTTGTCCAAGATAAGAGGGGCTGCGCCGGGCGGCACAATAATTCAGTTGCACAACGTAAATATGGACAATTGAGGGCAGCAAACAACCATAACAAAGTCAACGAAATGATTATTCGTGAGGACTGGCAAACTTTGTAAGTTGTAAAATGTAAAGCAGAATAATGGTTAAATTCGGCCTTATTGTCTTTTTTAATTGAGAAAAGAACATCAAAGGAGATATTGCAATTAAGGGTATGAATAAGTCTATGAATAAGTACGGGTACATCAGATCAGAGGGTCGATCCGCGAGGGCCTGTCATATTAGGCCTAAATCTTTTTTTTTTTCAAGAAAATAACTTGAAATGCTGTAGCCCCATAAATGTGGCCTATTTACTGGACTGCCTCCGTAAACATAGGCCACACATCCACATGTACAAAAATCGTGTCGACTTTGCCAAATTTTGATTTTCACATTTAGGCTTAGTTTGTAGGTTTTTTTTGCTTTAGAAGCATACTCACCCTCTTTATAGGCTAATCAGAAAGTGCTGCCTTTTTCAGATGTATATTTTTCGTGAAATTTCCAGATTCATTTATACACGTTTGCGTATCAAAATTTCAACATAAAATTTCACAAAAATTAGACATCTGAAAAAGGCAGCACTTTCTGACTAGCCTATAAAGAGGGTGAGTATGCTTCTAAAGCAAAAAAATCCTACAAACTAAGCCTAAATGTGAAAATCAAAATTTGGCAAAGTCGACACGATTTTTGTACATGTGGATGTGTGGCCTATGTTTACGGAGGCAGTCCAGTAAATAGGCCACATTTATGGGGCTAGAAATGCTGGTGTAGACCTCAAAGTAGGTTAGGCCAAATAAAAAAACACCATGTTTCTCGTCCGGGTGTTTGAGAAAAAGGAGGAAGAGGGGCTTTTCATTTTTTTCAAGATGTCCGCCATTTTACAATTTCCTGCAACCGTTGGTGTTTCCACTGTTCAAAAGACACTTTTAAAATGAAAGACAAGTTGGACAAGAGAACTGAACATATTTACAGTGTCATTTAGAGTTGTATTGGTCTACATTGAACAGTTTGAAAGCATTTGCTTTAACCGCCAAAATTGGTGATTCATTTTGGATGAGTGATTTTACAGATAAGATCCCACGACAGACAAATTGTGGTGTACAAAGTGACCGACAGAGTCTATACTGAAAACTTTGACTCTTGTATTTCGCAAGTATTTATTTTCCGATGAATTTGTGGACTTTTTCAGTGTTTTTTTTAATGCATTTTTCAAAAATAAAAAATAATTAAAAAATGCAGGCGTCCTCCAAAAAGGAACAGGCGGGGACGAGAAACATGTGTTTTTTTTCTTCGCCTTACAAATGTATTAACTCCATCACAGTTTTTCTTCACTAGGTTGCTTATGAGACTGATCAATGGACAGACTTCTCAATATTCACACTGACCTCCCATTGCCAGAGGATGCAGGTGATAAAGTTGCCATGGTAACAGGAGATTATCTGTATTATCACTACGGATGCGATGGCATTGACGACAGGGTGGGTAGTGTTTTCGTCTTATTCAATAAGCTGGAGAGTTGAATATTTTGCCACCCTCCCTTAAAAAATCTATCCAGTTGTGCAGCCAGCTGTGACTCGCAACCACTATACAGATCTAAACTTTTCATTTTGATTTGTGACTCTTTGTGTCAGGGATGGGGTTGTGGATATCGCACCCTGCAGACACTTTGCTCCTGGGTGAGACTCCAACAGCAGCAGCTGAGCCTGCAGCAGGACGTCCGGCAAACTGAACCAACTCTGCAGGAGGTCCAAGAGGCCCTGGTTGCCATGGGCGACAAGCCATCATCCCTTATTGGCTCTAAGGAGTGGATTGGCTCATACGAAATCTGCATCTGCATTGACCATTTCTACGATGTATGCTATTTGGATTTGCTCAGCCATACCTTTGTGTCACATTGTTTAAGGTTGAGCCACAGCTTGGAAATAACATGAGGGTAAAGTACGTGGCTCATAGACTTGAACAGAAACTTTTCTCAGGTTAAGCCAGTGTTGTAGGACTGAAGTCCAGGACTCAGACTCGGACTCGACCATCATGACTCATATTGGACGCTAATGACTTGTGACTCTAAATATTACGTCTTAAAAACATTATTATTACTTCCTGAAAGTAACGTTAAAGCAACGATAAAGAACGTTTAGCACAAGAACCGTGCCGCACCACATTCTAATTGGTATTGCAAATAATAGTGCGCCCCTCCTTATTTCCTGCAACTGCACATCACTTACATAGCGCATCACTTACATATCACATACATGTACATGTCTGTGTGTCCATGCACATCCATTTCGTACAATGTGAGCAGAGGTGCTTACATGTACTGATGTACATGAACACAGCAGCAAATGACTGGTGACTCGAATCAAATGACTTTTGACTCGGACTCATTTTTAATCCCAATGACAAAATGATTCAATAGCTGTTTGGACACTACTCTCTGTGAACTTGTGAGAAATGTTGCCACGAGTTCTCAATGGGACTCCAACCCATAAAGTCCTGCTATATGCTTGCTATCTTACCACTCTAATATCCATGTACTTGCAATTAATGGCTATTGATAGTATTAAGCATTCGGGCACCGTTTATAATGTTATAATGCTTACTACGTCTAAGTTGTCAGGAACAACTTCACAAGCTTACTTGGATGAGGCAACCAGGGCCAACTTTTTTCTGTTTCTTTTGTAATATGCAATTTTCTTGAATAGTTTTACCAAAGTTTGTTTTACATTCTAGGTTCCTTGCAAGATTCTACACGTGAGCAGAGGTGCTGAGTTGATCAGTAAGATTCCTGATTTGTGGCAGCATTTCCAAGACATCGGATCCCCCGTGATGATGGGTATGCTTCTTCTTTTTGTCTTTGAATAAATGACACATTATATTGTGGCATTTGTATATACAAATTATTAGGTGACCAATAATCGATGAACTGATATCGACAGAGCCTACTCAGTAGGCTCTGTCGATATCAGTTCATCGATTATCGGTCATCTAATAATTGGTATATAGACACAGACGTACTACATTTTCTGTGTTCCACGAGCGCGAGTGGGATAATGAATTTATTTTTTATCAAACTTGATGCAGAGTAAAGATGGAATGGACACGCTGTACACAAACTATTCAACGGTTATCCAATAAAAACATGCGTGTAGTGGGAATAGTACACGCATCTTAGAATAGCACAATAGTACACGCATCTTAGAATAGCGCAATAGTACACGCATCTTAGAATAGCGCAATAGTACACGCATCTTAGAATAGCGCAATATGAGGAGTGCGATACCGATCGTGTTATATGGGATAATATCACGCGTTGTTGCCATGGATCGACAAATCAAGATCGACGATTGAAGTTTGCTTGAACATAATACGTGACATATAGAATATCGGTTCTAATTCGTTAAATGTGAATTGTGGAGCGACAACACAAAATGTACAATATGCATACATACTGTACTTCTACACTACTCATGCATGGTGTTCACAAGCAACACATGCTCAGTTCAGTTCAGCTGGGAAAAAAGAAGAAGAATTATCCAGTGTTCCTGAACTTCATCAGTCTGGCCAGTAGCCACCTGGTGTCGGGGGACTAGTGGTCGGTTTTACTGATATGTGAACATTTCTTGTGATGAACATGATATCCGAGCAGAAAGAGTGAATTGTGACAGTTATAAGATTAAAAGTAAGCTGCTTAAAAATGGATCCATTTCAGGTGGGTTCTTAGCTCCACCCGTTCCTACTGGTTTCAGTGGCGCACCCAGGATTTGACTTGATGCTGGTGGCGCCACTTACACCCCTATTATACTACTCGAAAATAGGCCACATACATATCATTAAGGTCAAATTGTGGGACTAAAAATTTTTTACAACCTCGGGTGGGGGGGGGGGGGGGGGGGCTCAAGCCCTTGGGTGCGCCACTGACTGGCTATTAGCAATGGTGGTGATTAATTTTGAATTTCCTTTTCCTCTGAACTGTTTGCTGTCATAGATTAAACTTTAATCCAACAGGTGGTGACTGTGATGCAGCATCCAAAGGCATTATGGGTATTTGCATCGGCCAACAAAAAACCTACTTATTAGTTCTGGTGAGTGTTGAGAACAGATTAACCAATAATAGACTTGTTGCTTATGCTGTTTTATACTACTGTGAGCATGTTGGTTTCTGGAATAGTTTTACTGATTAGACATTTATTTTTTAATATTTCCATTTTTTGTACTTTTTATCTGTTTCTGCATTTATCATGATTTACTTTTATTTCTTTTTTAAACTGTCCGATTACCATAGGATCCACACTTCTATGGTGATCCATCTTTTGATGCTCTCAGAAGTTCTTCATACTTACTTTGGAAAGCTCTGGACTCTTTCATGGAGAATTCCTTCTACAACATGTGTCTGCCCATACTGAAGACAGCCAGGTGACTGTCACCCATCTACATATAAAAGGAATGTTTGTGTGGACCAGTTTGATAGGAAATTACCAATCCTCTCAGGTTTCAGCTTATCAGCTCTTCCCCACCCTCTCCAAAAAAAAACCCCACCAAAACTTGTAAGTTGTAGTGAGTACAGAAATGTAGTGAGTACAGAAATAAGGCAAACAAGTGGACCTCACTTTCTCGTATGCGGTCACACTATTTTACTTTTACATTTGCCTGAATTGGTATTTCTTATATTTTGATTATTGTTTTGCAGAAGTGCAATAAATTCTGAAAGTTTCAGATTGATAAAGTTTGTCTGTGAACCCATGAACTAACAGTGTCTTCATGATTTCATCATCAATATTTATTTGGAAATGCTTGTATCTTCAACAGCATTAATTTCCACTGTCAGACGTACAGCCTTTGGTTGGATCAGCCATTGTCCTCGATCTCTGCAGTGCAGTAACTTGTCATCCGATATTTGTGACAGGGGGACGCATATGATTTACATTTCAAGTCCAGTTTTATTGTTCCCCCTAGTGGCAGATATCCATTTTCTGTTGTAAACATCTAGCACAATTTGCCTCACGTGTGATTTACAAAGAATCACAAGTTGGCCAACTAAAACGTTTAAAATTTGTCAATTCACCTTAAAATATTCAATTCACGTGTTGGATTTAATTCGAATTAATCTCAGCTCTCTTTCCTATTTTAGTTAAAAACAAACCGATTTTCCTGATAAAAATGGTTGTTTTTAAATTGTAGTTCCGTCCCCATAAAAGGTAAAATATAACATGGTTTTTGCTTTATAAATGTACCACACAGACTACTTCGGCCAAATTCAGACAAAATGTGAAAGAAATATTCGGACTAAGGTGAAATAAATTCGTATTTTTTTAGCCGCCAACCCCTATAAAATGTGTCTCCGACCCTATTGTGGAGGGTTTCTATCTGATATTCTACCCTAAATTTCATACAAACTCATTTTGAGACCTGGGTCTATGCCATTATTTTCACATAAATCGGGTATGTGGAGACAGTTTTGATGTTGAGAAAAAGTCGGCACTGCGCATGGGCGTGTAATGGGAAGGGCAAAACACGCAATTCTTCACTTTAGAAGAGAAACGCTATGAAACGCTTTATGTCTGCATTCCGGCCTAAAAACGGGCCCCGAAAACACTCTTCTGGGATGGTAAAATGACAGGTTCTTCAGTGTTTCGTTAATAGTCCCTGAAATCTTAAAACACAAGATTGCACCCGATCGAAATGGCGTATAGGAGATGAATTTTGACAAACCCACTGACTAGTGATGGGCTTACTTAGTGATATGGTGCAAACTGAAAAGAAACAACTTGTGTGCTTGTATCTTGTCTTTCAAGGGTTACATTGAGGTTCCAAATTGTACATTAATGTGTCCCAGAACTGTGCGATGGTTAGATGTTCAGCCTTGTTGAAATGTCTAATCATTTACAAGTATATCCAGCGTGTTCTCAAAGGAATATCCGAACATTTCGTAGTCTCTTTTGTAGAGCTTTGCTAGGCCGTCTAATGCCTTTATCGGCACACGTGCTATCTCCTCCTTGAAGGAGCGACTAGCAGCCGAGGGATGGAACCGGGGGAAACTAACCAGATGGTCGGCTGAGATCCAACGAAGAAAATACGGCCCTTCCACCGCCAAGTTCTCGAAGTGTCCGATGAAGTGGTAATTTAACTGACAGGGGTTGCAGATCTCATTCTGCGGTACAAAGTGGTCTGAGATGGCGTCGATTTCACATTGTGGACCGTACCGTGCCACGAATTGCGAAAACTCCGTGAAGGTAACGTTTAGCCACCGGAGAGACCGTCCGCTGGCATCATGGACGCCTTGCCGATACCGCTTCACGATTTGCTTGCCGAAGTACTTCTCCCATCTCTTCTTATCCTTTGGGTTGTCACGGAATTTATCCATCCAGGCAGACAGCAAGCGGGAGAGTGGCTCTCGGACGAACACGGCCTTCTTGTATGTGTCTAGCCGCCAGTTTCTCTCCTCGGTCGTGTATTTATTCAGGGTGGTGAAGTGTTCCGTGGCGTTGGCTCTGACCATCAACTCACCTAGGAGCTTCTTCCAGGTGGTGCAGGACACTTTAGGGATGAAATTGAACAGGAGCTTGTAGGGGTCTAGGACCAAGAGATGGTCGAAGAACTGTGCATTGTAGCGCTTAGCCTGGCGAGATACCTTGCGCCGCGTGCAGGCGGCATCTATGAGTGCCAGTCGCCTCTTCATCTCTCGATCCAGGCTACTGTCAAGGATACTTTGCGGGTTGTGGAGCTGATCGTTTAGATATGATGCACTCACATCATTTGTCCCGTTCAGTTCCCCGATGAGTTGACTCAGGGATTCGGCATTCCTGCCCAAGGAGCCTATTAAAACACAAAACGGAAAAGAAGTCTGAATTGTCCACTCTCTTTGATAACAATGTAAGGTGAATTGTCATGTTTCATACATGTAGGCTGCCTCCTTTGGTAGCATCCTTGTATAACTTGGAAACATATTAAATTTATTTTCTTTTGCATGCGAATTGTTTGCGCTATAATGAATCAACACTTATTATCATAACTTTTTATTACTTGTTCGGAAATCAGTTTGTAAACAATTCACGTTTTGTTTTATGAAAGTGCTTTGCTAGCATGCTATGAATAAATCAGATCCCTACCCACAAAATCCGCAACCGAAACCGACTTTTTGGCACTTTAAAAGAAAACCCAACTGTATCGCCACTATAACCAGACCCATTTTGAAAATCGTATCCGGTTATTTTGGAACAATGATCGCATCAGTGAGTTAATTAACGTACGCTGTCTGGATCATACGGAAATAAATCCACGAAAATAAGGTGTTCTCAATAAATATTCCTCAAACTTGAATGAAACTTGTTTTAAGCCCCAGTCCCGCACAATTGAATCCGTCCCCGCGTGTCTTACTTGGTATACCATGTTGAGAGTATCTCCGCATGTACCATCCCAGATTGAGGACGGTTAGAACCACGAGGCCACAGATGAACACCGTCAATGATGCGACCCGGAGTGATAGTCGTAGGCACGGGAGACCCATAGCTCACCTGTTAACACAAGAATTGCCACTGCACTTTGAGACAATTTCATTTCCGAAAAATACACGTATGCAAACTTTGACATGAGCTAGAAACCAAACAAAAAATATAATACCCCCAATTTTTGGATATTTTATAGAAAACATCTTGGGGTATCATTTTCATCAAAGTTCGTCTCAATGTCTCGTGATCCACAAGGTCAAGTTCAAAGTAAATGTCAAAAGGTCATCATACTTCAAATTACTCCGACAAGAAAAGTAATAGTAAATTTGGATTCCTTATGATGTTACCTTTCCAAACCAACCAAGATTAAGAAATTTGGCCCACAGGTTATGGAGATGTGGTCATTTAAAAACTGGTGACCACGCCCATTTTGACCAAAATTGCCAAACAATGGGGGCGGTAACACGAAAACCGTTTGTCCGATGGCGCTGAAACTTAAAATTTCAGCTTTTTCAGCCTAAATTACCTCACATACTAAATATGAGCAAATTTGAAGGGGTGAGGTTTAACTCATTGGGTGATTAGACACGGAACGACCCTGATCGACCCTGATCGAGGGCGGGGGGGGGGGGGGGACAAATTTGGTCCCCCAAAAGTGGGTTCAAAAACGGCGTGGGGCTCGGGGCCCGCTTAAGGGCCCCGATTTTTGGGGGGGATTCTAGATGCTCTGTGGTGCGGTCTGAGGCAATTTCTGACCACTTTGACCAGTTTTTTTATGGAAAAGATGGTGGTGTAGGCCTACTGCCTTTATTGCGATGTCACTTAAAACTTTTTTGGCGGGGGGCATGGCCCCCGTTGCTCCCCCCCCCCGGATCCGCCCTTGCTCCACAAGGATATCACGACATAACTCACAAACTAGGAATTTTACTCAAAAACTAGGAATTTCCAAGGTGTGTTGATCCATCGCATATTGAAGTATTTTATGTAAGGCATATTAAGTCTGAATTTCAGTCCAGGAAATTAATTCTGGTTAAAATAGGAACATAGGAGTCCGAGAACAGCTAGCGGGCTAGCTGTCCGTAACTATCATTGTGTCAACTATGACTTGTATTTACACATGCACAATTAATCCATTCTGTGTGCAACGTTGCTTTGAGGCTTACTTGCCCTCGTGTTTGAGCTCAGGTTTATAGTCTGCATTAGATGCAAAATATTCCACTTTTCTGAAACAATAAAAAGCTGTTTCTCTTGTGTATTGTGCCTTCCATATGGAAGGCACAATAGAAACGGCTTCGCACCCAAAACTGATAACATGTACGTTATTTATAATCAATCCCATCATGCGTTGCGACAGTGTGACAAATGGGAAAGTAAAACTTTTAAATTGGTATATGGCATTTTTATGTACAAACTTGTCTTCAAATGTTTGACACACAGCGACTTTTCGACATCAGTATAACCCATGTTAAGTTTCGAACAAAAAATGTATAGCGTTCAACTTCTTAGAATAGACATCTACGTCGTATTACATGTATATGCAAATAACGTCTTATAAAATAAAATTTAAAAAAATGGTAAAGTAACTTAAAAGGTGAATCTGTGAGGTATAGGCCTAGTAGTTTACACTTTGACGTTGCTAAATGAGACGACATGATATTCGATTACCTGCTGCAGTTGTAGATGTCTCCTACTTGTTGGTTTGTGGCGTACTCTTTACGTCCTCCGGTGATGTCGCGCATGCATGCAGAACAAGCGATGACAAGTCGGTTACATCAATTAGAGCAGACGTCGGTGTGTATTGCAGAGCAAGAGTTTCTCATTAATCACGTTTGATTTCAACTTACTGAATTTCCGAGTGGTGCAAGTCCTTAGTTGTGAAAATCAGGCGGAATTTATTATCCGTTTCACTGCATGAAGCTATGGGAAAAACAGGATTTGAACACAGTGCAAACGCACAATACGTTTGTCGTATCGATAAAATTCAATTCAATATCGGAATCTATTCGCATGTAAGTGTGTGATGTCGGAGGCTGCTCAATATACCCATTGTTTGATTCGGATCGATTTTTGTTGTGGGTGTGCAGCTGTTCTTTTAACAATGCCCATCAATCTCAACACATAGACAATGAACTCGATGGAGCCCCAAACATCTGTTAACGGTCTAATTGAGCCTAACGGAGGCGTAGAAAATGCACCATTTATTCAAACCTTTTCTCACCACTATCGTAGATAGGATACTAGAGATATCATACATTTTTGAGGTTTTTCCGACTGAATGATCCGCCAAACTGGCATTTGAATTCATTTTAATGTTTTCGTATTCATTGCAATTTGCTTATCCAGTTGATCCTGCGGTTTGTTTTTATATTGAGGCACTGTTGAATCTACCAGTAATGTATTAAATACAGTCCGGTAATCCATACATGTATAATAAAAATCGACCGATATTGTAATAATTTCTGCCCGTAATGTAATAAATGAAGCCACTGGTAATGTAATAAAAATCGAACGGTAAAATGTAATAACCAAAACCGACTAATAATGTAATAAGCATAGACTTGCTAGTATTTTGCAACATTTTTAGGAACTTTGGGAGTTTTGATGGTTGATCGTGTCGTGTTTTTGTTTTGAGAGAGTTGTAACGGAGTTTTCTTTCTGTTTCCGGGTAATTCTCCGCGACGTTCCTTCCAAACAAATTATAGCATGAATTTCGGACTTAGACTGAACATCAATCTTGTTACAGATTAGTGCATACATGTATTAATGTGACATCATTGTGACATCATCAGGTACTTTTAAATTAATTGTTCAAAATAAGACCGCGTCTTGACCTCCAGATTCTGACCATTCAGTGGGCGTCTTCTATCGGATTTTCCGTAACCCGTTGTTATATTACAAAAACATGGCAGCCAAATAGACTAATCGACAGCTTAGTCCACATTTCTGATCGAAATGACGTCACAATTTCTAAAAGCGACTCCGATTGGGTGGCACGTGGGTTCGTATAAAGGTTTCATCGCTAAAAACAAAAGACGTTGGTTACGCCGGAGTAGGCCCCGTTGGACAACGGGTGATACTCAGAATACACACTTTCATGCTCCTAAAAAATAAATATAGTCCAATTGCCAAATACCGATTTGATGCCACAAGTATGGGATCGTACGCTGTTGAAGTTCGTTCTATAGGGCTATTGGATTTTAGCATGCATTGTACAGGGAATGTTTAATTTGATATTGCACGTTCGATATTTGCATACGTTGCTTTATCGTAACCAAGTACAACTCCCAGTTATTGTTTTCAGAGTATCGTTTATCGAATAACCAAACATTTCGTAATCGTTTCGATACAAGTCGAACAGTTCTCGGATCAAACTGACGGGAAGTTGCTGCGTGTATTTCTCGAAAGCTGCGCTCGCCTTGGAAGGCTGCGGACCGGGAAAGTTTGGCTCATTCCCCGCCCCTAACCACTTGAAGAGGTAGGGTCCTTCGACTGCTAGGTTCTCGAAGTACCCGATGTAATCGTATTGCATGTGGCAGGCGTGCGCCACTCGGCTCTGTGGGAGCCAGTGATCTGTGAAAACGTCCATAGTGTCGTTCGGTCCTAAGGCCACGACGTACCGTGCCAACTCGGCGAAGGTTATATTCAGCCATTTGGCCGATGACGCCGCGCTCCCGTCTCTGTTGCCCCTAACAAGGGGCACAAATTCCCTCTTAAAGCATTCCTCCCAAATCTGCTGAAGGTCAGGCCGCGTGATACCGGAAAGCTTAGACATCCAGGCGGAAAGGAGGCGCGTGATGGGTTCCCGGACAAATACGGCTTTCTTGTAGTGTTGGAGGTACCAAGCTATCTCATCTGCCTCCAACAATCCCAAACGTTTGATCAGGATCTGGTTATTGGGTCCCCTTGTGTCCAAGTGAAGAAGGTTCTTCCACAGCGTGCAAGACACCTTAGGTATATAACTCAAGAGAAGCTTATACTTGTCGCTGACCAATACTCTGTGATATAGATCGGTGTAGTTTTTGTCTGCTGGGAGGATGGTCGGTCTCAGTCTTTGACACACCCGGTTTAAGTTTTTCCGACGTCTCTCAAGCTCTTGCTCCATGTAGACGTCAACATTGACGGTTGGGTTGACTTTAGCTTGCCCGAAAAACTGACTGCTTGTTGAAATCTGGAAATATATTAACACGTAGCATAGACAATTTTCATTGTTTAAGTTGGTTTATGCAACATACCCCATATTCAAAATTCCAATTAATCAAATCTCCGTTAAAGATGTAAGTATCAAAAACGTTGTTGTCATGGTGCTGTACTGATTTGAAATTATTTTACAAATGTTTACGAGTGATGGCACAAGCACATCACGCGTACCCGAAAGCCACTGTTTCCATTGCCAGACTGGTTTCCGCCCCCTCTCTACCTTTTTGGAGACGGAACCCACCTAACTCATACTTTGCTCTAATTTGACTGTTCCACGAATCACAAACTTTTATGTGAAGAATGAATAAAAGTGCTGCAAAATATGTTTTGCAGATCATTTTTTTTTTAGTGCGGATGTTTTGATCCTAGCAGGATCTATCTCAGGATCTTTGTCTTTGAGAAAAAGCATGACTCATGGTCATGCTTATGGTAATAAGTCATGGTCACATAACGCAAGTTGTGTAACCTATTTTTTTATTATTTTTTTACGGTTAACATAAACACAACGTAGCCTAGCTACTTACTCGGAGTTGATGATCTTGGAGCTCATCAGGGTCTTTGAATCCAACCGCGGCTTCTGCATATACAAAGTTGGGTATAAGTATGTGTGAGTACCCTTGATTGAGTAGATTAGTGGTGATGGTTAATACCAGCGTCTCTGGGTCAGTTTGTAAGGCCAAACTTATGACCACTCAATTGCCGATATATCTCTGTTATGGAATTTGACCGACCGCTGAAGATTCGAAAAGCGGCATATCGGAATTAGGGCAAGAAATCACCGATCTGACCTCCATATGACGCTGGGTGGCGTTTATATCGGCTCTCTTCGCTCGTCACCTGATCCGCCCTATCATTAAAGGCGAAGTCGTGACCTCTCATTTCGTTGGACTCCCATAGGATATTTTTTTGTAAAGCAAATGACCCGTGGTCAACACTTCTACGTCAAGTCGTGCGCACAAAATGTGCGTGCCTTTCATCATGGCGGTGACCAACCCACAATGCTTTGCGACGTCTCCATTTCCTTCACAAAAAATACGACAGGGATTATCTCTGACCAGTGCCCTTAAATAAGGTGATGGGGACGAGAGAACGAGCCTGCCTCTTCTGCCAACAGTCACTTTTTTTCGAAAAAGAAACGAATTTGTTTCACCCCTAGCGACGTCGTGACCAACTCTAAAAATATAGAAATAAGTAAATTCAACCAAGTCAAGTCTGAAATCATAATTAGCAAAGGCATTGACATCTCGTTAGTTAATTTAAAACAAAATAACTTAAGAAAAAATAAACCAAATAAATTAAATTGACTCACATACATTTGGGGGGGGGGGGGTTAGCTATGAAAATAAGAATGTGATCATCGTTCAAACTCACCCCAATGAGCATCTCGTAGTGACAGGAAAAAGTACCAAACTCCGATCAAGGATAGCCCAGTGACGATGATGAGAACTCGCAGAATGCTAACCGGTGCGATGGGTCGAGCACACCATTGTCGCATGGCCGAACAAAACAGTAAGTAACCCATACTGCCCATGCAGGGCAGCAAGAAGTTCGTTGTTACCTTCGCTGGCAGTTTAATTGCCTTTTTTTCTTCAAATTATGAACTCATTGTACTTTCATTTTCTTTTAGGTCTCTCCAACGACTGGAAAAGAAACGAAAAGTCTATTTCTCAAAAGAAAGTTGACAGTTATAAGGCCTCGTTTTACAGCCGGGGTGCTTGCGCCTTATGGTATCATGTGTACACCTTGCGTGTAATTCGCACCCGTTAATTAGTAGTACATTATTCTTTATTCCAAGATAATTTTCTATTGTATTATACCAAGATAATACCGTGCACGTGCATTAAGTGTGAAAAATCTCGCCGCTTTCACAGGTAGTGGTCAGTCATCGCAGCTGTTCGATCGTTGCTCTATGATCGCAGCGATCCGTGCCAGATGACGCCGATATATTATGCAGTGTGGTTTAGTATAATGTAATGAAAATTCTTATCAATTCCATAGTGTTAGATCTGCAGACCAGCGAGTAAATACTTAGGCTACCGGTACCGGGATCCATAAACTTCTTAAGCGTCTTGGTCTTAGGTGTTTCCCCTTACTAATAACAACCGGTAACGGTTAGTATTTGAAGGAAAAGCAGTTATACAAAGTTAACTCTTTCCCCATACTGGGTTGTATAGATCGTTTGCACTGCAGCCATGTTTGAGGTGTGTGCTTTTGTTCAACAGGCATACGCGTGAGTAGACCTCTTGTGCTTTCATTGTTAATGAATTAACATAACAAAACAAACCTTTTTTGGGGGGGGGGGGGTGCAAAGAGGGCAACGGTGACCCTCCCCATTATAGGACCACCAGCTTGCTCTTTTTAATGCAAGGTTAACAAATTAATACACAACTCCATACGTCCAAACAGCTTTCTGTCATTTAATAATGGTATGTTTCTTTCAAACACAGAATGATTTCTACAAGATCTAATTTCCCCTTAAGAGTAATAGAAACTGGTTTTCAGGTTCAAGACGTTCAAAAAATTGTGACTGAAAGAGTTTGGTTTTCATCTTCCACTTAAATGCAGCGTCTTTTGTGTGTCATGTCACATAAAAACCACTCTTAACCCCTTAAGGACGGGAAGCGGTCATGGCCGCGGCCGCTAATCCTCATTGGAATGCAGTTGCCAGCTGTGGTATGCCATGGCACACGGCTAGTGGGTAGTTCCACAGCTGCTGCTTTTGTGCAGTCCCGCTACCACACAAAGGCTGTGCAGTCATGCGGGCCACTTGCTCTATGTGTGGAGGAATGTCCCCATTACACCCCGTCCTTAAGGGGTTAAGCAGTTGTAAAACAAAAAAAAATGTTGACAGTACAAATCATTTTATCTGATTTTTGTGACATTTGCTTCATAAGTATTTTTGGAGAAAAATGACAAAATGTTTGTCTTCCAAAACTAAATGAAATGCTTTCTTGTTTATGCGCTAACACAAAATAAAGTATAGTAGCTTTGTTTGGGTTGCTTTGCTGAATTGTTTTAATTCATTAATATTTACCTTTTTTATAGGAAACCAGACAGAGATGCAAGCTGTAAATATAATAGACTCTATGAAGAAGTTTAGTTGACTATTGAGACAAGCAGACTGACATGTAATGGTAGATTTGGGAAATTTCCAAATTAAAACTTTACTAAATTCAGCTTCACCAAAAATAGAATAAAAAACTAACAGAAAAACAATTTGTGGATGTCTTCTATGATTCGATACAAAAACCATGAAAAAGAAAAAAATTTGATGAAGGCCAGTTCATACTCTTATTTCGATGCAACTATTTATTGATGTCAACTTGAATTTACATTCCCTTGTATGAACTGGTCTTGTTCTTCTTTTTGTTTGAAATATTTGAGATGGTTTTTAAGGTTCCTCCTGACGACCAGTCTATTTTATGATCTCATGATGCCATTTCTGGGAGATGGAAATTTGGGTTGTCAAAGATCAGCTGTCGTTGAACAGGACTGCTTATCTTCTCAGCTGTGCAATCACAGTTAGGGAAAAACAAATACAATGACCACAATTGCATCATCACAACTTGTATTCAAATTATATCCAACAAGGACAACTGATCACATGCCATGCAAAACAACATTTTACAAACATTTAAACACAAAAATTAAACTAAAAACTGGGAAGCCAAAAATTAAATGAAAATTAGAAATTGACTTTCTATTAAAAATAAACATAGTTTTTATAACTACATGAACAGAAACAGGTTCAAAACATTCAAATCAATAAGAATAAAAGAGCATGATAAATAGCCTCATTGTTAGATTTACAACAAATGTGAAATGAACCAAATTTAAAAAGGATATTTATGAAGAAGTTTGAAGATTCCAGTGCCAATGTTCATTGGGATTCCCATAATAATGCACTCACTCACACCTGTAACAGAAAAAAAAACCCCAAATACATGTATATCATTGCTGAGGAAACTAAATGAGACAAATCAAAGTAGGCGACTTGACGAGGTTTTGATGCCACAACAGGCTATGCACTAACCGAGACAAATGTTGACAGTTCCTTAATTTTGAAAATGTCTTCACTCAAATGACATGACCACTGTAAGGCTGGTTAGCTTAGTGGGTAGAGCACTAGTACAGTGTTCTGGTGGTTACAAGTGAACATCCTTCTCTATTCATTTCCTTGCCTCAACTTACTGTGGATTTTGAAGGACATGGTCTTCTACTTAGTAACTAAGTAGGAGACCATGTCCATCAAAATCCATCATTCATTCTACTTCACATAATGCTTCGTGACCAAATCCGTTATTTGTAAAACGTAGTAAAACTAAGTAGGGAGTTAGGTTTAAGCCACAAGATCAGCTCTATGCAGCATACATGTAGTGCCTAACCCTAACGCCCTAAGGGCTCTTTGGGGGTCCAGGACCAAATACCACAGAATAATACATGTGTTGTGCAAACTTGAATGGAAAGAAATGCACACAACAGGTTACTACTCAGTATTTTTTTGTAGCTTTAGGTGAGGTTAAGGTTAATACTCATTGGTGCAGCAAGGCAATTGAAGTACTGTGCCTTGCCCACAAACACAGACACCGTGGTCCCTGTCAGGGGTTGACGAGACAGACTCAACAGCCATTGGTTTTAAACAAGCCCGTAGTTTATTCAAGTAGTTTATGGAGTACCGAAGTGAATACGTCATGCGCACCAAATGTGTGTAAAATACATTTGCGCGTGATTCAGCCCGAGAACCAAAGTGCGCGTACTCCATTCGTTTGCACTATACTTTCTGGTTCTAAATGACGTCACACTTTGGTACTCCATTCCAGACATCAAGACGTTCCGACTCACCACATATTGCATCTTTTTGTCCATGGTAAGCTGCATCAAACAGATGATCAGCTGTCTTCTCAAACTGAAGAGTAAATGACAAAAGGTCACATGACAATAAAGACTTTTACAAAATGATGGAATTTTGCATTGGAAAGATGGCAATCATTAATATATGATTTAGCCATTTGCAGATGTAATTTTATCAGAACTGTATACTCAATGCTGCCTTAGAACTTGTGGCAAAAATGAATAAGCTTGTTTGGGTCGGACTTGAAACCTCCGTTTCTAGTGCAGACGTCTTAACCACAAATTAAACATCTATTTGTGTGATACAACTTGAATTGGGAACTGAGCTTAAAACTTGGCACTGTATGAATGCGAACGTACATGCATATCATGTTTAATGACAAGCATGTCTTATGTTATGTGATTGTGCATTTTGTCGGATTGTAAAGAACCCACTTCCTTTTTTTTTGATTTGCTCAAATGAACCTAGGCCTTTTGAGGTGCAAACAGGCCAACAGTTGTTTCTAACTAGCTATTGTACACACTGCATTTTTTCTCCTAAATGGGTATTAACCAAAAATAGGCAAAAAGGTAGAAGTATAATTCACACAGTAAACTGATCAGGTTATCCATCAGGTATTTATCCAAGTCTTACCGAGGCAAGCATCAAGACACTCTCCTTCATCTTGGCAAGACCAAAGCGAGTTATGCCTAAAACCTCACCCTGAAAATCAACAAGAAATTACCATGGAAACATTTGCAATATTACTAAGGGAATAAATGTTTGCTCGGGACGTTTTTATCACTCTGTTGAAGACTGCTTGGAGTCTGGGTGCTGATAATTTAGCACCCAGACTCCAAGTGGTCTTAAACAGAGTGATTAATACTGACCAAGCACATGTGTACTCCCATTCATAAATAGCTTTTTGGTCAAAAAAATCTAACCTTTTTTGGTAAAAAAACCCGATTGTGTTCAAAAAGTTTACTTCATGTTTTTTTAAACACCCCTCTAGCTAAATAATGGAGTGTCCAGCTGGCGAGTGAGATGTAAACAACTCCTTTTATGGAGATTGGCCTGCACGTTGTGCGTACTGCGCGATGTCGTGCAGAATGCACCTGGGGCGTTGCGTTGTGAATTTAGGACTATAAAATTCCGACTCACTGGTTATATTGCGCATGCCTACATGAGGATTGTGAACGTTCAACCAATAAAACGGTAAGAGCCACTGGATTTTTAGGAGTCAAAACTTCATGTGACAATGGAAAAGCGTTTAAGACCAGCTAGCCATGTCTTTATCATCCGTTTAAGACCCGCTACATGACGGGCTCTCAACCAATAGGAATGGGTAAACTGTCTTAGGTATTTATGAATGAGAAATAACTATCGACACATACGGTACATAATTTTGTACTCCATTCAAGCATCAGATCAGATGATGATCTTGTATCTGTTTGTTGGTCTGTTTGTCTGTCTGTTCATACCTTGTAGGTCATGAGGTCAGCTTGCAGCATGACATGTCGCTGGTCTTGTATCTGTTTGTCTGTTTGTCTGTCTATTCATACCTTGTAGGTCATGAGGTCAGCTAGCAGCATGACATGTCACTGGTGTTGTATCTGTTTGTTGGTTTGTTTGTCTGTTCATACCTTGTAGGTCATGAGGTCACCTAGCAGCATGACATGTCGCTGGTCTTGTATCTGTTTGTTGGTCTGTTTGTCCGTCTATTCATACCTTGTAGGTCATGAGGTCAGCTTGCAGCATGACATGTCGCTGGTCTTGTATCTGTTTGTCTGTTTGTCTGTCTATTCATACCTTGTAGGTCATGAGGTCAGCTAGCAGCATGACATGTCACTGGTGTTGTATCCGTTTGTTGGTTTGTTTGTCTGTTCATACCTTGTAGGTCATGAGGTCAGCTAGCAGCATGACATGTTGCTGGTCTTGTATCTGTTTGTTGGTCTGTTTGTCTGTCTAGTCATACCTTGTAGGTCATGAGGTCAGCTAGCAGCATGACATGTTGCTGGTCTTGTATCTGTTTGTTGGACTGTTTGTCTGTCTATTCATACCTTGTAGGTCATGAGGTCAGCTAGCAGCATGACATGTCGCTGGTCTTGTATCTGTTTGTTGGTCTGTTTGTCCGTCTATTCATACCTTGTAGGTCATGAGGTCAGCTAGCAGCATAACATGTCGCTGGTCTTGTATCTGTTTATTGGTCTGTTTGTCCGTCTATTCATACCTTGTAGGTCATGAGGTCAGCTAGCAGCATAACATGTCGGTGGTCTATGCTCATTCCGTGGCTCACCATGGTGTACTCAATCTGCTCAATAATTGTCCGTCTGTTGGTGACAAAACAAAAAATAACAGCGTTGCTGTTGAAACCCCTCAGCCAGAGTCAAGTTATCATCCGGAAACCATTAACCTTGAACTCAACATGGTGACCTTGAACCAATCCCAACTTGCCTGTACCCAAGGGCAACCCCTACCGAAGTTAGACAGCAAAAATGTGATTTCTAACTCAAGTTATCATCCGGAAACCATTTACCTTTAACTCACCACAATGACCTTGACCTTTGAACCTCAAAATCAATCCCAACTTGCCTACTCCCAAGGGCAACCCCCTACCAAAATCAGACACCAAAGTCTTATTTCTAACTCAAGTTATCATCCAGAAACCATTTACATTTAAACTCACCACGGTGACCTTGACCTTTGAAGTTATCATCCGGAAACCATTTACATTTAACTCACCACAGTGACCTTGACCTTTGACCTTTTGACCCCAAAACCAATCCCAACCTGCCTACTCGCAAGGGCAACCCCCTACCAAAACAAGACACCAAAATCTCATTTCTAACTCAAGTTATCATCCAGAAACCATTTACATTTAAACTCACCACGGTGACCTTGACCTTTGAAGTTATCATCTGGAAGCCATTTACCTTTAACTGACCACGGTGACCTTGACCTTTGACCTTTTGTCCCCAAAACCAATCCCAACTTGCCTGTTCCCAAGGGCAACCCCCTACCTAAGTTAGACATCAAAATGTGATTTCTAACTCAAGTTATCATCCGGAAACCATTTACCTTTAACTCACCATGGTGACCTTAACCTTTGACCTTAACCTTCGACCTTTTGACCCCTAAACCAATCCCAACTTGCCTACTCCCAAGGGCGACCCCCTACCAAAGTTAGACACCAAAATCTCATTTCTAACTCAAGTTATCATCCGGAAACCATTTACCTTTAACTCATCACGGTGACCTTGACCTTTGACCTCAAAACCAATCCCAACTTGCCTACTCCTAAGGGCAACCCCCTACCAGGGGCGGATCCAGGATTTTCAAAAAGGGGGGGCACAAAAACTTTGTGCGCGTTGCACACATCACGAGACTGAAGCGCGAAATCCCTTGCGGGCAGGGTTGAGGGCACTGGAAGCTCTACGATTTTAGATCCTACATCATGAGTACTTTAAGCCATTAAGAGCAAAATTCACAATGTTTTTTTTTTACTTTTAATAACACTATTTTTGCCTATCAAATATAGAATTTAAAGTCACTGTTGATGTAAGTTGAAAATGAACCCCCAAATTAGAAGGTGCTGATGACAGCCCCCGGGTGAAAAAAATGAACATGTGTTATTTTGCGAGCGAGCGGAGCGAGCGAGCCAAAAAAAGTCATGTTTACTATTAAAACATACATTTCTACCCAGAAATTTGCCTTGCAAACAAAGAAAATAAAATAAATTGAATTTCATTAGGGGACAGCCTGCCCCAAGCAGCCCCTACCCCCACCCCACCCCACGGCTGAGCAAATCAACCGGCCCAGAAAATTTCTCCGTCCCAATTCCTTTGAAAAATGTTGTATAACTTATAAGCCTGCTGAGTATTACATTACGAATAGTCTTTACAAACAAAAAGAAGAAATAAAACTTTATTTCAAAACCATCTCGATTGTCATAAAAAAAATTGATGATATTAGCAAAATTTCCCCGTAGCGTTTAAATGTTTAGTCAAGACTTCAAAAAGACTGCCGCCTGTGTCCCAGTATAATGTGAGGTAACTGCGGTCACATATATACTTACTTTGTATATACACTTGTATACACTTTAACCACCATTTTTTTCCATGTTCTTTTGAAGTCTGCAGGCTAAATAATTTAAGACGAAATGAATCGTCTGCATTCTGCAAGTGTTGTCGAATCACTTCAAGAAATGTCAAGGCCTGAGGAAAATCGTTTATTTGTATTTTTTTTTGGGGGGGGGGGGGCTCCGATTTTCTTAAAAAGAAAACAAAAAAAAACAACCTTTAATTTAACGGAAATGCAAACTGCATCAAAATTCCAAATTCCAAAATATAAAAAAGTTTGTCTGCACAAATTTCCCGAAAGTGGCAGCATTCCTGAGCTGTTATCAAAGGCCTTAAAGTTCGGTGGCCTACAGCTGAACCCAAATGTATATGCTTTGTAGCGAACAAGAGTGGCATTGTATCAATTTGAACAATGCGGCTATCAATCATTCTCTGGAAAGGCTTTTCGGAGCTGAGATTTTATTTGGGCATTTTTTTTTCTCAGAGACAGGGGAAACCTTTATGCGAAAAATGTGGGAAACTGAATTGAACGTGAAATTTCACCTCCGTGTTGTGTACATGCACATAGATAAACGATTGGGGGATAATATTCCAAGTCCAAATAATTCATTAAATGTAGGGCTCCCGATGTCTTTTTTCGTAGTACGATTTTATTCTTCGCTTATTTAAAAAATAAAACTGCATGGCCTACATTATTTTTGTAAATGTTACTCTAAAATATTTCGGAATACATTTTGAAATTAAGTTTGAAGTCAAAGGGCTGTTGATAATCTTATTCGTATTCCTTTTAAAATTAGGAAAAACTAAGCATAATTCGTATTAAAATTTCCCCTGGAATCTACAAAAGAATTAACTGAGGGTTCAGAACTTAATGGGCTAGGGTGTTTGAAATCGTTTTACTTTAAAAAATAAATCGAGAGAACAAGACATACTAAGTCGTATTAAAATAACCCCTATTTCTTTGATGTCTCTCTATTTGAGGCAAAAGGGATGACGATTAATTCTTCGTGTATCTAAAAAATAAAATGCATGGCCTACATTATTTTGTGAAAATGTTTTACTCTAGAATATATTTTGGAATATATTTTGACGCTATTATTTGAGGGATGTTGTTAATCCTGATCATATTCATTTAAAAATAAGAAAAACCGAGCATAATTCGTATTAAATTTCCCCTGGAATCTACAAAAGAATTAACTTCGAGTACAAACTTTAACGAACTAGGTTTTTTTTAATCATTTTGCTTTAAAAAAAAATTTTTTTGTAGAGAACCAGACGTAAATCTCTCTCTGAGGCCGGGAAAATAAAAGAAGGGGATGGCGATTTTATTCTTCATTTATTAAAAAAAACACATAGCCTACATAATTTCGTGTACCGGTACATGTTCTACTCAAGGGTGGATCCAGAACACAATTTTGGGGTGGGCCAAAACAAATTTTTGGTCCCCCCCCCAAAAAAGTTTTGGTCCCCCAAAAATCCAAAAAAAAATTTGGATTCTAGATACTCTGTGGTGCGATCTGAGGCAATTTCTGACCACTTTAACCACTGTTTTATTGAGGAAAAGATGGTGGTGTACTCATTGCCTGCCTTTATTGCGATGTCACATAAAAAAAAAAAATTGGTTTCGTTTGTTTTTGGGGGGGGGGGATGGCCCCCTTTGCCCCCCCCCCCCCCCCCCCCCCCCCCCCCCGCCCTGGATCCGCCCTTGGTTCTACTCTAGAATATATTTTGGAATACATTTTGACATGAAGCATTAAATGCAAGTGCTGTATTAAATGTGCGCCTAGTCCAGCCGGGAAATAAAAAAGTGTCTTATAAAACTATATTCTTGCTTTGAAAGAAATTTTGAGACAATGATTGACAGGCGACCTTCAAAACTTATACATTGTATATTTTTGTTGATAATTATGTATAATAGTTATGCTCCAAGCGATTGATTTGATGACCGCCCGTCCGCCCGCCATAATGACTCCTCAAAAAGGAAAAAGATAGCCATGTTCTCAAAGGGATGTATTTAATGCCCGCCCGCCCTAAGATGACTCGTTAAAAAAAAAAAAAAAAAAAAACAGTTGCAAAAAGGGGGGGCACGGGCCGGGTGTGCCCCCATCTGGATCCGCGCGTGCCCCCTACCAAAGATACAATCCCAAACAACATTTCTAACTCAAGTTATCATCCGGAAACTAAGCTGCCCGGACGGACGGACGGCCCCTACAGCCAGACGTTCTGACCATACCACCCTTGTGGGGTGATGTTCCTTTCAGGACACATCACCCCACTATTTTCACAATAGAAAAACAACACCCCAGAAGGGAATCTTTAGAAAAATGGAATAATGGGAACACAATGCTATCACCCCACAATTCCGGTCGTACGGACGCCCTAGGCGATGACAATACCCCTCAAGCCTAAAAACACAAAGCCTCAAGAGACAGAACCAATACTAGGCACCTCTTCTTTATTTAAACCATTGCTATGACGTCACACTAAAGTGTGGATTCGGATCTACGAATCTCTTACACTGGTCACAAAGTGTGGATTCTGAACGACGAATCTTTAGTAAAGTGCGGATTCGGAATTACGAATCCACTCTTTGAACATGTCGGACAATTGTTCTCCATAATGAGCCTGAATACGACCGTCTGCGTGAAAATTTGTTTTCCGAAAATTACCAATGCATCTTCACTGTCACATTCCCCGCTGTCACTGCAAAAACTACTTTTAGTCAGAAAGAAATCGTCGTCTGAACTATCCATTTTGTCGTAAGGAGCCTATACGGTGTGGCGATACACATGCTAAACACGCCAGGGAAAAATGTTGCAACCTGACGCCACTTCCGTGCTTGTGTACGAAGCCTATGGAGAGTCATTTCAAGTATTTCCTAACAAAATTGGAAACATTTCTCAGTCCCAGATTCATGCCTTATCATCATTTTTGCAACGAATGACCTTCATTGAGATGATATATGAAGAAAAAAAGTGGCGTCAGGTTGCAACATTCTTTCCAATACTTCTGTTGATGCAATGGTTTAAGTCGAAGAATACACTCGCAAGTGTGGATTCTTAATTTACGAATTCACTCGGCGCTTCGCGCCTCGTGAATTCTTAAATTACGAATCCACAATTTCTCGTGTATTCTCCTTAACTTTGTACTAATAAAAATGCTATTTCTTCATACTACCCCTCCCCCCAGAAAGAAAAATAAAACAATCTGTGCTGAACCTATGTGGAAAGGCTAAGTTGAAAAATATGAAACTGAACTGAAATTGACAATTCAGAAGAAACTACTGATTTCTTGTGGCCTTTGTTATCAACAATAATGCAGATGATTTTTTAAACAATATAAATGTTGTAGGTAAGAAGCAAGACTGATGGTTTATTTATAACATACCTCGCAGCTTCAATGCCCAAGGTTTTCTCCATTTCACTTGTGTTGTTAGATGTTGTGGTAGTACCCTTAACACCTTAAAATAAAAACATTGAGGAAAAAGCTTAGATGGCTGTCGGGCACAGAAAAGATGAGCTTACTTGAAAGACATTTAGCAGGAGAAATACCCACTTGTCATTGTCTCTGGCAGTTCCCTGCTTAACAAATGAATCTTTGAAGCCCGGTTGTCTGTTCGACAACACTGTATTGGGCAAGATGTGTAAAGTCTGTGTGGGGATTTAAACATGTAAATGCACATGTACTTCAGCCTGTGTGGAGATTAAAGAGAGCAAATAAAACAATAAAGGGTACGGAGCAGAAAACTGCGATCAGACGTGGAGCAGAATTTGTTCCTCTTATGTAACTGTTACAGGTACCATCAATAAAATGGCCAGGAGGATCACGGTTTGATCACCTCAGCAAACCATACTACTCTTTTTCTTTTCAAATGTTGGTATGTGTGCTGTTTGATATTGTTGGAATCAGCATGCAATTCAGACGAGATAAATAATCCCGTGCAACGTTCAGAGTTTGCGTTTCTCACCTCTTGTTGCTACAACTGCCTGCAGATTGTCGCCCTCTACCAACAGCTTGTACAGAGCTTTACTACCTTTGTCATCAATGTGGATTACAGCACGGGATACACTGGAAATTCCCTACGTCACATACAACAAAGGAAAAAAGGAGACAATCTCTTTGCATTGCACAATGATGTCAGGACCCAATTTCATATAGCTAATTAAGAAAAGTTGTTGTTTTTAACAAGAAAGCCTAGCAGATTTTTCCCTTCATAGTAACCGTTTAAAAAAATGTTTATTTATAGCAAATTTGCAATCAGAAAGTTGCCTCACTGTCACATTCTTATGCTTTTAAGCACGGTCCTTTATGATTTAGTAAAAGGGAATTGTCTTTCAGAGGTAAACAAATTACACAGTAAAGTACAGCAGTTCAGTATAACACCAGTTCATACCTGTATGACTACATCTGTCAGGTTTTCCTTCAGGAACTGCAGGGTATAGTACATGGAGCTCTTGCTGGTCTCTTGTGGCATGACAGTCACCATGCTGGCAGAAATCACCTCCACATTCTGCCAATCAACCAACATTATTCACATGTGAAACAAAGCTGTATTCAACAACTGATCCCAGGACTTGTGAACAAAAATAAAGATAACCTGACCATGCTGACCTCATTGAGGCACCTAATGCAACCTGAATACTGCCCTGACTGTAGGTATTTTGAAAGTTATTCAACTATAGGGCTGATTATATAACCGACATACAGATCCTAGTCATTTGATTGGTGGAACTCACATCATATGACATTCGTTATTGCTCCCATTCACGCCGCGGCTCAAAAAGTACTATCCGCCCATGGGGAATGGGAAATACTATTCAACAGTTAGGATCATGACGCGGTATTTGTGTGCAAATGAATGCTGATGTGCGCGTTCAGCGTTGCGCGTATTGTTCCAAAGAACCAGCGCTACAGCGTTAGGTTCAAACATTTTTGTGAAGGGGTGGTTTGGAAGAGAGAAATAGATTTTCCTTCAGTTTTGTATTGAAAAAAAAGTTCAAATATATCAAATGACAAGGATCTATATGTCAGTTATGTAAAACAAATATTGAGTGGCTTTAAATTGTGAAATGGGAGGAATATTATCGCTCGGTAAAATCTGGACTTTTCCAGTTCACTCGGCTTCGCCTCGTGAAATGGAAAAGTCCAGATTTTACCTTGCGATAATATTCCTCCCATTTCAAGCTGAGCCACTCAATATTTGTAAAATAGCTCAGAACGCTAATACTGAGATCCAGTTGTTAAAGATTGGAATCCCACTGAAAGTTGTACCACCATGCTCTTCAACAATTTGAGGGTTTTTTTCCTAATAAATATTCATCTTGCATGTTTCATTCCAACCCAAAAAACTTCTCATCTTGAAGCAAAATTCCTTCTTTTCCAGCAAAACTTTAACTAAAATGCACTAAGTGGATTTGCCTACGTGTTCCATTTAATGAACTCTTTAAAAAAGCGGTTGTATTATTTGGCAAGATGGCAGTTGTATAATTCTTACATCCTTGTTCTATGGACATGTTTACACATACACATTTGGGGAGTCAGGTTGGCAAAGTGGTACACAGTGGTACAAATGAAATGATAACTAGCCATTTAATGGACTGTGCCAGAGCCAGACAGACATCTCACCTGATGTTTGACTCTGAGTTTGGAAGCACAGATTGATATCCTGACAGATTCTGCATTGACTTCAAGCTGCAAGCAAACAATAAATAAAACAAAAGAATCCCACGATGATACCCATTAGCTGTACCAACTTATACATGTATAAGATAATGTCATTTTTCAAGATTGATTTGGTCTAAATGCTGCCTGCTGCAGATGAACAGCTGATGTATTGATTCATTGTCATTATAAAGAGCTCCTCAATCTGTCTAATTAATTCCATATCAAAATATTAATATTAAATCACAAGAGGTTAGAAATTTGAAAGTAGAGAAACCAGCAGATATACCTTAAGCAAGTTGATACGATCCATGTCGAGTTTGATGAGAATGAAACAGTTGTCTGGTAGAAAGACTTCCTCGATGAACTCAGACACCTGAGAAGAGGGCAACCCAACATGATCAGGGTTGCTACATGAACAATTGTTGAATGGGCAGATATTACCAGGAATTTGTTCCCAACTCCCCAGCCCCTGATTAAAGGTGATCCTCACAAAACATATCCCTACAATTACCGGCATAATTTTTTAATCACAAGTAGTTGTATTTTCTTTTGAACCAAAAATTCACAAGATATTTGGTTATTCAATAATTATTACCGTAATTTTCGGAATATAAGCCGCGTGGAGTATAAGCCGCAGCACGCAAAAATCTACAAATTAAGATTTGAAGTCGGCGTATAAGCTGCACCGGCGTATAAGCCGCACCAACCGCAGCGGTTTCAATTTTGTAAGGCCTCCAAATTCTAGCCAAAATGCTCTGAACCAGTTCCATTTACACTATGAAAGCTATAAAAAGGGCCACAAAAGTTTATCAAATCATTTACAGTCGATACTCTTACAAACAAATATGGAAATTGATGATGAGAAATAAACACCAGGAATTGCTGCCGGCTGCCCCGTCCGGTCCCCGGCCTTAAACGTTAGTGCATGGCCCGGTAGCCTGCGCCGGCGAATGATAACATTTTCCCCCAGCACTTGAGAGAGTATGCAACCCACCGTGTGTCGTCTGACTTGAGCGCTACAAATCCTGCTTTGTGGCAACAGACGCTGATTTGTTTTGTCCTAAGAATAAACAGGTCCGTTTTGACAACAAAACTTATCAAATTGTTGTGATTACATGTACTAACGAGTAGTAACGTCAAAACTTCAAGTTTCGATCGCAACTTTCTTCGAAAACAGTCAACACGATGCTGAAATTTTTATGGACGAATCCATTAATTTTGTAAGGGGTGATTTAGTCGCTGTTTTGAGTTTTACATCGTTTCTTGAATACACTGATTGTCGAATAAAGAAATGCTTCGAACTCCATATAAAGTATTTAGTTGTCTATTTTCTTTTTTTAAACAGCGGAAATATTGGTAATTATTGTTCCCAAGAAAGTACACCCCTTTATTACCACAAATGGTGTGGTCCATGGGGAATGCATGCAGCATGCATGCAGCGCTAGTATCACGCGTACGGCCGGTTGTCGATGTCGAAGAGACAGCTTTCACTAGCCGTACTTTTTACCGCTCGGTACCTTTTCGTGGGACGTGCTTTTTGGCTTGTTTATGACTTTGTTAATTGATGATTCATTTCAGCAACAGATCATACCAGTACATTAAATATACATTTGAATATCATTTTTATTCTTCAAGGCTCGGCGTATAAGCCGCCCTGTGTATAAGCCGCAGTAAACATTTTCATGGGCAAATTCACGCGGCTTATATTCTGAAAATTACGGTACAAATTTCAAGACAAATATTCAAACCCCAAATGCATAAAATAGAAAACAGAACGTCACATGTATGGTTTCACACCACTTCCAAAAAGTTTATACCTTTATCTTTAGACAAAAAAGCAAACTGTTTAATACATGGAACATATCACTTCTTTTTAACAGATTGTAACTGAACATAACTCCTCAGAGACAGGGCGGTCATGCAAATGTATGAACATTCACTGGAAAGCCATGTTTTTTAGGAGCATTTGTACCTCTCCTAGTTTCGTCTTCTCTATCCGTCCCTTGACAAGCCTGCCAAAGTCTGCATCATCATCAATGTCCAGTTGAGCTGTGATGATAGGTGTGCTGATGTTCTTGGAAGCATTAATAATCTCTTTAATGCGAGGCACACCCAGGGTGATATGTGAAAGTTGGGTCAAAGAAACTTTTGGTTTTGAACAGCGCAGCCTTAAATATGACTGAGGGAGGTCAGTAGCAAGCATATGTATAATGTGGCTATTGTCAGTATGTGACCAAAACGTTGTCAGTATGTGACAAAAACGTTGAACTTATCAAAGACTGAGACAGTAGCCTCAAACAAGACATTCAAGTATGGCCATAGAATCAGAGACCGAGACTTGTGTCTGGGACCAAGACTTCAACTTGTATGGAATTGGAATAACATGTTATCAGCAATAGACCATTATCATGTTGCGGCTGTCTTGATTTTTTTCCCATTCAAATCAACGTAACCAAAGCGAGGCTGGAACGAAAAATAGTCTGGCTCCCTTTGGAACAAAAAACAGTATCATTCAGTACTGTTATTAGATACAGGGAACATGACTGAAATGGTGGCAGCATGATAAAGGTCTATTATATTAACACCAAGGACTTGAGCCCATGTCCTCAGAAGAAACTTTTTGGGCACAAAGCTTATTGGACACGTTGACAAAATGTTTAGGTCACAATAGATCAATAGGAACTAAAGTAGGGATAAATAAGGGTCCTCAGTAGTAAAGTAAAACCAGACTCTGTGTGTCTGGGACCAAGACAGTAACACACTCTTCATAATTTGAAGTTTTTAAAGTGCAACACAACTGCCCTAAGAAATGTGCTCATTTATTTTTTCCATTGGAACTGGAACTGTAATGATAACAAAGCAGGGATTTGGATTTCTGTTCTCAGGAAAATAAAGTTGCAAACTTATGATTGTCCATGATTTCAAATATAAAGGATATTCATGGAGGCCACACCGGCAAAGTGGAAAGTCTTGAGGGTCATCTGGGTCCCAGGCTCCCCAATACTCTGTGCCCCTACTGCTCCCACCGCGGTACCAGGCTCAATGCGTGCCCTCATGTGCTTGGATCTGCACATGCTCAGAAACTCCTGTAGCTGAGTGGGAGTGATGCGTTCCAGTTGATAGAGGACTGAGGAGAAATTGATCAATAGAAGAAATGGAAAACTCTCTACTTGAGAGTTTTACTGAGATCAAAAGGACCCAACAGGCAAATACAAATTGGTTTAATTTGGGGTGAGCTTGAGTTATTAAACATACATACCCAAGACAGTCTACCCATTCCTGTTAGTCAAGAAAACGTCACTTGGGTGGTTTTAAACAGTTGATAGAACACCAACTGGTTTAAACACTTTATTCCTGCACCTGCACCACTGCGTTCTGTGCCACATCGCGCAGTACGCGCCGTGTGCAGGCGCACCAATCTCCATAAAAGGAGATTTTTAGCACTATGGACGTGAGGCACATACCATAGACATGGCAAGAGGGGTGTTTCACAAAACATGAGGTAAAATTGTTGAACACAATCGTGGAAGATTGTGAATTTTGGACTCAGTTGTTTTGACTTTTCGACCGAAAGGTACATGTATTTATGAATGGTATAAATATGTGCTTCGCCTTCAGCTCGGGCCACTATCAGTGTCCCGGCCAAGCACATTTGTTCTCTTAATAATAATTGAAGCCTTTCTACAACTTTGAAATACACATTAAAAAATAAAATTATGAAACAGAGTTTGTTTGGTCATTCTCAATTTGATTCTTTTTGAGGGTTGAACAAAGGAAATTGATTGGAATGGGATTCAAAATTGTGAACACTTGAATTGGTAGCTCAGTTGGTCAGTACTAAAGGAATACTCCAGTGACTACAAGGTTAAAATCCCACTTTATTCCTATTTTATTTCTATAAAATACATGCGTCCAAAATAGCCGCATTACTAGTTTTGGGTATTACATGTTGTTATCATTCATTTCATGAGGAGTATCGAAGGAGGTGAAGATGTGATTTAATTGTATGTATCATAAAGTAAAAAGGCATCTTATTTAAAACGTTATTTCCAAATGGAAAGAAATATTCTGTATGTTTAATAAGCCAAACCACATGTTTATAATGTTTGTTTCTTGACATGTTTGAAGCTGCCCATTTCGGCATGTCATACATGTTTGTCTGTTGAATTGATTTGACTCTGTAAGTTCTCCTTGTCCACCTTTGTAGCATACTGACCATTTCTCTCTTGTTGGACTTCACTCAGTCCACACTGGGCCCGGCATGTACGAATCTTCTCACACACACTGTCTATGTAGCACCTGCAAAACAGTTCAAAAATCTGTCATCAAACACACGAACACATTTGCAGTATCCTTTGTGTACAGCCTAGCTGGCAGTGCAAACCACCTCAAGCTGCTATGTAGAGCTATTTCACTCATTAGTCACTGGACTGCCCCAAACCACCCTGCCTATTACTCCCTGTAGCGTCTGAAACCACCAGAGCACTCTATGGTATTACGGATTCTTCTGGGGAAAAAAACACAATGTAATACAATGTAGAACAGGTTCTAATGCGTTATTCCATAACCATGGGCTAATGGATAACCACAGCATGTTTGATAAAGCCTGCACTCTGATAAACCAATTTTTCTCCATTTTTGTGATGAATACACAAACAGCCTATTCGTTCATAGCAAAAAAGAGAATTGATAACCATGATTTATCTACCTAAACCTCAATCATTGAGCATAAAGGCCGGGTCATACTTCACAAGTAAGTGAATGTGAAGCAACGTTTAGTTTCATTGATTCGTTGTGATGTTCGCCGTTACGCTAATGAATTCCCTTCACACTGAAATTCACATAAAGTATGAACCGGTTTCTGTAATGTGGAAATGCTACAGTCTTATGCCACCACAATGGAAGATTCTCGAGCAGTGAAATCTTCAACAAATGATCTAAAAGAGAATTATGTCACCTACTCAAAGTCTTCTGTTTAATCTCTAAATCTGTTTTATGTCCATTTCTTTTCTGCTTTGGGGCGTTTTAGTAAAAAATTGTTGTTTCGTGCTTGTGCAGATGCTTTCATACAAGCAGGGGATTTGTTTTGGCCGAAACAACATGGTGGTTATTTTGAAGTATTTTGCTACCCTATAGCTATGGCCATAAGGTAGTGTCCATTGCCATGAATGTGCATGGACCAAGAGCCTGTCTATATACACATAGCAGAGTTTTGTAGACATACTTGAGTTCTTGTCTGAAGTCTGGACTACACATCTTGAAATCACTGCCATCAATGACTCCATAAGCTTCTGAGTGCAGTGCCTGACTACTCATGGTGTACTCCTCACGACATGAAAATTTGCTCTGAATGTTAAAAATAGGACAGAAAGAGGGAAAACAGTAAGGGAGTATCACAACATGTTGAAAGCTTGTTTCATCCCTGATTGAAACTACTTTGTTGGTATACTTTAATCTGCGAAAGGCAATTCTTGATAATTTCATCTGCTCAACAAATCCATGTGCTCAGCAGGGATATAGTCGAGTCCTCACAAGTCCCTGCAAGTTCATCACAAGTCCTCACAAGTCCCTGCAAGTCCATCACAAGTCCCTGCAAGTCCATCACAAGTCCTCCAGACTCAATTGACCTATCGTCGTTTGCGAGTTAGTCACGCATCTTAGACACCCCTATGGAATTTTGTACGTTAACTTTTGTTTGTCTCAAATTTTGCGCGTTCTGCGTCCATTTGCATATCATGTAATTGGACAATATTTCACAAGCTACATGTATGTTGACGCGATTCTACCATGATGTTTAATTCAGATCACAAGCTATTCAAATGAGCTTTAACAAATGCATTCCTTTGTTATTGCTCATCCACTGTTTCTTGTGACTGAAATTGTGAATGGACTTTTGATGGACTTGACTGCATCACTGATGCACAGCAAGAATTGACAGGAACCAGCCATAACAAATACTTCCAGTGCCTAGCAAATGTGCACAAAGCCACGCTCCCATTTCCAATGTTACTTTGACTAATGAATGTTTGCTCCTAGGATTACACACGCCCATGGGCGTCGCCAGGATTTTTTCTAGAGGGGGAGAAAAAAGATTTTTGCCAAAAAAATGCTTGTATTTCTCAACACATTCTCGATTTATCAGTTTTAGAGGGGGGCAGGGACATTTTGCCCCCCCCCCCAACTCATTAAATTTACACCACTTTGTCTTTGCGCCTTTTTTTTTTTTTTTTTTTTTTGCTTTTCCAGGGGGGCAAGTGCCCCCCTCGCGATGCCCATGCACACGCCTGGCAACTGAATTATACCTACTGTGATTGAATGTTGCTTCACAAGATTACTTTGATTGGTTAATTCTCAACCCCTCTTACACAGATCCTTTTCCCTGCCCATTCCTCTCGCCCTACCATGAAAAGACAAGTTTTTTTTTTTTTTTATCTGCACCTGTTCAATAAAAGCTGTCCTTCCCATTCAAAAAAGGTTTTGTCCAATTTTGCAAGGGAGATTTCCAGTTATATTACCCCCTACATGGAACCAGGTACCTTCCATTTCAGTTGTATGGTATCTGTCAAAGCCTTAGATATAGCCAGCTCTCTGTTATCTATTCCCTTTAACTCCGACTTACAATCCCCCCCCCCCATGTTTCCCCTTTCCGCCCATCTCACCGTGATGTGATGCAGCACCCTGTCAAAGTCAGCTGGTTTGTCCTTAGCTTCCATCATGGCTGGGTCCAGACCGTCTGCTCCATACTCAAACTGGATGATGTCACTCATGGAGTTACGCACCGTGCCATCATAGTGAGAACACAAGTCCTCCAAGGACTGCAAGATTACACACCACATGCGTTTAACTGCCAATGAGCAGTTCCAGCGTTATGGAAGGCAGTGTAATGTCCGTAACAGAGCCAATTAACCATGATATCTAATTAATGATTCAGAGAAATGATCCCAAACTCCTAGTCTGTAATCTCCTTGACCATTATTAGACGATGGATGCATAAGATTTGATAAATACATTTTCAGTCTTAGTCATTAGGCCAAAAAAAAAAGTCTCCGGTTTCTGGTATGGAGCTTGCCCAAAAAGTGGTGCGGCGACGCGGCTTTTTTTTTTTTTTTTACCTGATTTTTTTGCTTCAAATGTCGGCTGATGACTGCAAATGGTGCCCGACTAAACTTAGTGCAAATATATGGGAGTTCAGAGAGGCCACATAAAGCTTATTCTAGACCATAACCCAATCTAAAAACACGTTAAAATTGTGCAGCAGCAGGATTCCAGTCAAACCAGTGAGTTTGGCGGTTTTGAGACATCATCTTTCATTCAAAAAAAACTTTTTCATTTTGCCGACGCGCATGGCTACGGCGACGCGCGCGCATACCAGAAACCGGAGACTTTTTTGGGGGGCCTTAAGCTCTTGAAAACTCTGTCACAAACATTACACAACTCTGGAATTGCCCTAATATTTAACCACTTCAGACTCCATGCACAAGGTTACCCTTTATTGTAAAATATAACAAGAGACTGTGGAATGGATGTTGACAAACACTCTAGTATCATTGTAAAACAGTAATATTAGGTTTTGCCCTTCACCGACGTATAAACACTGTTTACTCAGTGTGTTATCTCACGAGTAAAAGTTGGAAAACTTTCTGAGTATACAGTGTTTATACGTCGGTGAAGGGCGGAACCTAATATTGATTTACATCACCCCGACGCAAAATGCCATCTGATGAATCATTGTACAAGTCTTCCTACACTCAGGTGTGTTTGTCTCATGCACAGACAACAAGAGGTTTTTACATCATATTTGAAATTGACCGTGTACCTCCACACGTGTGCACACCAAGCATGAAAGCAAAGATAAGTGTGTGCATGTGATGCATCCTGCAAAGGCTCATGTAAGAGGTATGGACCTGGATGTACAATGTAGGTATACGGACCTGCATAAAACCTGGGGGTGTTTCACAAAACTTGACAGTTTTTTCCTCAAAATTGATCTGATCTCAAAAACAATTAATCCTAAACCATGAAATTGTAATACAATTGATCTAATCGGCTGCATGTATATCCTCGTAAGGTTGATCTGACAGTAAGTTGATTAATTAATTGTTTGACACAAGTGTGCAACACCACCCAGAACAGACATTGACAGATTGGGGAAAAAAACATTCCATTGAGATAGATCCGTTGATATAGAGGAGTGGCATGATTCTAGAGGTCATGGGTTCTATTCCCACTTGAGTCAATTAATTTGATTACTGATTTATGATTCATGACCAGATAATTCAGGGCTGTATTCATTATTAGAGTGTGTAAGGTTCATCTACCTTCCTTGTCCTGTCCCTCAGTGACTATAGTTCACATCCTTCCTGGGATGATTTGGGGTTTTCATAAGGTATTTCTTATAAATCTCAGTAGTTTTGCAAGCCTTCAATTTTAGTTAACTCAGAGAGGGCCCAATTGTATATCCTAGCCCAAACATAAATCCTTGGATGTTCATATCAATGGTGACACCATACCTTGACAAGTCGTCTCTGCATGTAGCCAGTCTCAGCAGTCTTGACAGCTGTGTCTACAAGACCTACAAAAGTAGACATTTTGAATAACGGTTAGAATAACGGAAAGATCAGATCATATCATTTCATTCCCCTACATGAAAATTAAGACAAACATCTCACCCTCTCTCCCGCCCATGGTATGGAAGAAGAACTCTGTCGGTGTCAGTCCAGTGTAGAAGCTATTTTTCACAAAGCCTTTGGCCGCTGGTACTTTAGCTGTGAAAACAAACAACAAAGTCATACAGATGAGATACATGTATGACAATTTGTGAAAGGAGTGACACCCATTCATCTTTTGATGGAATTTTTCGATATCTAATTTTTATCATAATCTTGATCTTGGTATCGGAGAAAGTCTAGGAAAAGAATAAAGACCACTTTACAATTTCAAAAAAGGTGTTTTTTTTTTAGAAGTGTTTATCAATACCTTTAAGTAAAATATAATATATCCTTCAACCTATTTTAATTTGTAAAGTCAAATGTTTTAATCATTTATGTTTTTTTTTCACTTTTTTTTTTCATTGCATTTCTTTATCTTGATATTTTCAATGGGAGTTTCAAGTAGCAGGGGATAGGCAATATTAACCAACACTAACAACCTAAAAAAAAAAACCAAGACAGAACAAGGAAAACAGAGAAATCTACGGCACAAAATTACCCATTCTGAACAAAAAAAAGAACGACTGCAATCCATGATGTCACAAAAGGAAAATATAATTTGAATGCTAAACATGTTTGAGGATGCTCAGGATAAATATTTTCAGCAGGTTAATGCCTGAATGTTATGTAACTCACAGTGGCGTTTGAAGTGTGGCAAGGCCCTGTCCTCAAACCCATTGGGTATACGATGGCCACTGATGGCCTGTTGGCCGACACACGCAATCATCTGGGAAATGTTGATGAACGAACCTGCATTGATGAACATGCAAAATGTTGCCACTTTATGTTGTCAACTTTCGCAAACTTGGTTTGGGAAGATTTGTAGAATTGAGGAAGATACAGCTTGGCTACTATTATTTTACATGTCCTGTGAAAGTAAGGCACACCTGAATTAAACCATTGCTATGACGTCACACTATTGTTAAAAGTGTGGATTCGGATCTACGTATCTCTTACACTGGTCACAAAGTGTGGATTCGGAACGAAGAATCTTTAGTAAAGTGTGGATTCGGAATTACGAATCCACAATTTGAAAACGTCGGACAATAGTTCTCCATAATGAGCATGAATAGGACCGTCTGCGTGAAAATTTGCTTTCCCGAAAATTACCAATGCATCTTCACTGTCAGCTTTTCCGCCGTCACTGCAAAATTTACTTTTAAATTAGTCAGAAAGAAATCGTCGTCTCAACTATCCATTTTGACGTATGTGGCGATAAACATGCTAAACACGCCAGGAAACAATGTTGCAACCTGACGCCACTTCCGCACTTGTGTACAACGTTTATGGAGAGTCATTTCAAGTATTTCCTAACAATTTTGGAAACATTTATCAGTCCCAGATTCATGTCTTATTATCAATTTTGCAACAAATGGCCTTCATTGAGATGATATATGAAGAAAAAAGTGGCGTCAGGTTGCAGCATTCTTTCTTATACTTCTGTTGACGCAATGGTTTAAGTCGAAGAATACACTCGCAAGTGTGGATTCTTAATTTACAAATTCACTCGGCGCTTCGCGCCTCGTGAATTCTTAAATTACGAATCCACACTTTCTCGTGTATTCTCCTTAACAGAATCTGTCAGCAAGTTCCTAGACAGTTAAGGCTTTTTATGTATACAAGAAGGTTCCTTTTAAAATGCCTCTGAAATTAGAGTTAACCTATGCAGTTATTGAAACCACTAGCTATAGTTTGTGCTTAACCTAGCAAAAGTAAAATTATCTGTATTGCCAATGATATCCTAGGTTTGGAATCTGACGATGTAGCACATAAATCAGGACATCGACACTAAACAGCTTAAAGGTGATGCAGAGTGTCTTTGTTTTTACCTTTGGATCCACACACTGCCATAGTCAGTGGACTGTTACTCTTGTGGAGTTCCTTTAAGCAGGCTTTCCCAGCATGGTCACGGATGACTGACAACTCTTTCAGTATCATTGCCTGTCAAAGGCCACAATTGACAAGTATGAGAGAACGTCACCAAAAGCTACATTTATAGTCTCAATGCTCACCCTCTTTATTTTGCTCAACACATTTTCAGAAGATTTAGTGCCATTTCATTTGGACCATTACAAACATTTTATTGATTCCTCACAAACAGAACATTCTCTTTGTAAAATTTATCGATCCATCATGTTGGATTATACAAAGGATGAGTACAATTCTATTTCTCTCACACCGGAACAAGCTCTGGCTCAACTCCACCAGGTTGAATTTACCAAGTCATTGACAACATCACCATCGCTATTGTCTTCATCAAATACAGCAAAAGACCTATATCATGCTTCCACCATTTTAGTCATGTTCCCTGTATCCAATAACAGTACAGAATGATAATGTTTTTGTGCAAACAGGAACCAGACTATTTTCCTCTCCAGCCTCGCTTTGGTTACATTGATTTGAATTTGAATGGGGAAAAATCAAATGGCTGCAACATGATAACGGTCTATTCTACGAAACCGGACATGCTGTCAAAAGATATATCTTTTTCAATTTAAGCTTCAAAACATAAATAACAAAGTTGTTCATTCGGTATGCATGCATGTGTGGGGCATGAAACAACATATTGAAATATTGTCTGGTTCAAGACGTTTGATGTCACAAATGGGCTTTTAGAAGGTACTCCCAATGGGTTTTGATTTTCTTCAGTTTTTAGCAGGGACAGTTTTTTAAATTTTTATTATTGTGTCTAAAGTTCCCTTGATTTAGTTTTTATTAACAGTTATTTTGAATACGTATAATCTTTAAAACTGCCATAATGAAGTGAGTGATCTTAAGGTCAGGCAGTCTGCTATAGTGTTGATTGTAACAACGTAAGTAGAGTAGCAGATCATTTTAGCTGGCCAGTCTGCTCCCAACCCCTCTAGTACTCACTGATATACATGTATTCATCTCATTTTCCATCCTTCTTATAAAATTACCTCTAGTGTTTCTTCTTCCGAGCAACCTGGCTGGGTTTGCAGTTTCCCTGTCTCCAAATCATTTATGTACTCATCACACTTGGTGTATCTAAGAAACAAAGCAAATCATCACAAAGTCTTTATTGACATAATTATCTCCTCCCCAACCACTCAATTTACTAATGACAACATTCCCTAAAGCTATGCAGGGGTGTGGCTGGACACCAACTGACTACTGGAGGCACTGTTCAAAGCACAAGTTAGTTCACACAGCAAACACCAGGTGGCACTCTTCGTTGTGTACTATTGGCCTTCAGAAACATGATTTTGCCGACAGGACAATTCTGTCGACAGAAAATGATAAATTGAGGGGTGTGACACCACCCACACCCCTCCTCTATCAGCGCCGGTGGGAAGAGCCCTTATTCTGTATTGATATTTGGTGGTTCATTTGCCAACTGAGCATTGAAACGCGCCTGAGAAAAATGATTAAAGGTGTCACGTCCCCCATACCCTCTCGTAGATTACACCCCTAGGGCTATCTGCTCCGCAAAGAAAGTACTGTTGGGGGTGACTGTACGACGCCATCTTGCCTGACTGCAATATTTTGCCGCGAAGCGCGGCCACTGTGCGTTCATAGTACAAATACCCTGGTGTACGTGCGTCACACACAAGGAACGGTGCACGCATCAACCAACGAAATGTATGTGTCCCTTTTGTTGGCGCATGGAGCCCATAGCCAATGCATTTGGATAGGTACCCTGCTGTAAGGAGATCCATCTTGGCAGATACCAGCCCTTCACCAGGAGTTACATCACCAATACCAATGGAAAATCCTCGATTACCTGCACAGTCGAACAAACAAAATCATCGAGGTTTGGGTTAATAAGGCCTTAAGCATAATGATCACTTTTATTTATGCCAAAAGAACTTTTCATACAGAACATTTATGATAAGAAAAAGTAACACAATGAAGCGAAATAAAATCTGTTTTGGTTGTGATGGTAAACAACCTTGGAATCCGTAATCCTAATGTTGAGACATTGTATTGCTGATCAACAGAAAAGTTTGGTCAATTTGCAAAAATAGAGTTAACTAGCCAACCTGTCTTATATGAAGAGTGTGTTTCTGGTCAACAACTAATTTTTTGTACATAAATTTGCTCGACACTATCCCCTGCTAGGGCTCTGAATGACTGTCTGGGAACTTGCTTGACCTTAGGATACTCACTGAGAAAGAATGGACAGAGACGTGCTAAGCGGCTCATGGCATCGGCTGCGTAGGATTCCCCGTAGTCTCGTAGCAAGATATAGAAGATGTTGTTCTTGGAGCCTGAGCCTAGGACACTCTTATCCATTGCACCACACATCAGCTGGCTATTGTGCACCACAACATCTGTGTTTAGAAAATAATTGCAATTCAAGAACACTGGTTATCTGTCAGTTCCATATACTCTAACAAAGTTGACAAGAACATATATGACACTTCGAGTACATGTACTTCGTCACATAACCTGGGAATCGTGGGAGTGGTAGCAAAAAGGAGGTGGACTTTTTGGAACTAAGTCATGATTACTTTACATTGTGACATGATGTCACAACTTTGTTCAACCAATGAGTCATTGGGACTACTTTAAAGAAGTGGATTTTTTTGGCTGCAGTTTTGGATGGTTTTTAGTAAATGGACCAGGGACTTTTAGAAAATATATACTTCACAAACGCAAAATAAGGAAAATGTCTTATGCTCAGTGGGAACTCTTTGTGTATGGAGAGCCAATGTGTTGGCTCAAAATGGCATTAGTTGGAGAAAACTTGCTGATATATCTACATTTGTGGATCCTTATTGTTTGAATTTGATCTAATTTATTCTCAGTTTTATCATGAAAATGTGTGGTTCCACTTGGAATATCTTTTGGATATCAAATGTTTTCAACTTTAAATTCAACTTGAGGTTTAGACTTCACAGATATTATTGTTAAGCACTGTTTAATCAAGAAAGCTTGCAAGAAAAAGTTACAAACTTGATGGGTGGGACTCAAGTCTACGACCTCCTGCTTCTAGCACAGGTGTCTGAACCACTTGGCCACCAAACTTACTGGGGTCGAGAACGGGTACCACAATCTTGTATGATTCTCAACCATGTTTTCAAGTCTGAATATTTGCTTTTGAGCATTTACATAAACCCAGGATCAGCTCATTCTACTGTGGAGCATCCTGGGAACACTGCTTGTTCCATCCAGGATGGTTCAAGAAGGTTATTCCCTTACATGAATCATTGAAGCACAGGTCCAGTCCCTTGCCACAGTAGTTCTTAGCCTTGGCGCGTAGGTTCATGATGATTCCGCATGTATCGTTGGGCTTGATGATTATCCCAAAGATCTGCTTGCCAGTCCACAGGCATCTTGGCTGAGTAGAGAAATGGGAAGGGAGGTCAATTGGGTTGAGTGGGAACGCAATTTGAGACAGCTTCAGGGTGGGTTCTCGCTTCAACTAGCGCTGTGATAGAGCACTGCCACAGTAATCTCAATGATTGAGGTTCGAATTCCATTTTGGCCCATCATCTTTATTCAACGTAAAATGCATCGCAGGTGCACCTTATCTTTCTTTGTATGCTTTATTTGAACACTTGATGATGCCTGGCAATGACAGTATCCAGAGTTCTTCAAAATGACTTTTACACAACTCCACTTTCTTGATCTGGGCAATTGACATGCAACGCATTTTTGCACATACAAACACACGTAAGTTTATCCAATAAACATAGCCAACCAATGTCAGATGGCATCCATCAAAATGGGACTTTTCAAAATGCTTTGAATTCTTCTGGCTACATATCTGGCATTTACATTTATTTTGTTTCTCCACTTTCAAAAGGGTCATCCTATAATTTGGGGTCCCCATTTTCCTGTCCGTTACATGACGTGCACGATTAGGTAATACTGGATGCACTCCTTAACCCTCCTGCCATATAAGCAGTCACAGACAGTCAAAATTCACTTCCACCTCTCCTGCTTGACTTTTAGCAAAGGCCAGTCACCAGCAGTCAGATTAGCATGTCAAGCAAGCACTGTGACTTGTCGAACCAGGTCAACAGACAAAGCAGGCAGGTTGTGGTCACAGCAGTTTTATCACTCACCCGGAGTCAAAGCATGGCTGTATCAAGTTACTTAATCAGTCCAAGGCAGTCAATCCCTTAATGTGGGCTGGGAATTCTTGAGGGTTGAAAACAGTCACTTGATTAATTTAACTGCAAGGACAACTTGGCACAGAATGTATGCACAGGAGGGTAAATGTACTCTTCCTCCTAGAGTGATTATGAGAAGCGACAGGGTATATATAACAGGGGCAGGAAATGTCACATTTTGGGGCCCACTTTTTAAGAACGACCCAATAACACTTTGCCGCTTGTCTTTATTGAATTTCTCTGTCAGTCACTCATACCTTTAGGATGGCCGGGGCAGGTAGCTTGACTTTCAAGTTCTCATCAGCCTGTGACAGCATGCTGGCTATTAGCTGACAGGCCTTGGCACGGTCAAAGAACACGTCTTTCTGAGTCAATAAATAGGATCCTAATACAAAAACAGAGATGTATTTGATCAATAGATCTTCCTAATGGCCAAGTCACACAAGACATGTTTTGATGGCAACTATGAGACAATCAAATGCACAGCAAGTTATAAAAAGAACCCTCATGAAAAAAAGAAGTAATTTCTCCCAAGTGCTTATAAACATTTCTATGGCCTTGAATCAGTTGCCTGTACATTGCCTCATGCGACACAGCCGTCGGAGTCTAATTACAGATAAACGTCTGTTTTAAATTTGTTGCATAATGATAGGATACAGCACAATTTACAAATGGGAGCTTGGACATTAATCCCTTAGAAGCTACAAGTGGACTACCTGCAGTGACGCTTTGACAATGAATGGTTTTGTGAGTTATATGAGTGTGGTTCTGAACACAAGCTGTGAAAACGCAATGCTTTGCATAGTATGCGCTGTAGCCATCAGGAGACAGCTACATGCCAACTAAATTTTAGGTTTAAGAAGCTTTCCAAATCTTCCAAAGTAAATCACTGTGTAGAGACTAAATGGCACATAAGGCAATGTATACCATCTGTAAACACTAAACAACGACACTACCAAAATATTATGAAAGATCTTAATTGATTGTAAGCAAATTAAAGGACCAAGCATCCTGTGAATCATTGCGCCTAGTATGCCATCACTTACAAGGAAAGAGGAATTGCACTTATTCCTCGTGATGGTTCAAGCCAAATCATCGCCAGGAAAAACAAATAAACAGCTTTTTCAGATACTGCCCCAATTGATCGAATTTAAATTAGTTTAATATCCATGAATGAGAACAATTTTTTTCTCATACTTGGGATCATAGCATAAAAGGATGTAAGTTGAAATGGGCAATTGCAAAATTAGACATGGCTGAAAAGTGGAAAATTAATGAAATCCTCAGGACCATAAGCATCACAACATAAATGTAGTATCAAATTATAGGGTATACAAGACCTTTCATTATAGCTTAAGCAACCTTCTAAGAAATAATGCACACAGAGTCTTTGTCTTGCAAGTGTGGCCCAGCTTTTGTTCCAGTAAAGCATTTTGGTTCAAAGAGCAAATGGGTACTTGTTTTGGCAATTTAAGGGAACAAAACAACTGTATTCTACAGTTCGTCATGTCAGTGCAACAAGGTGGTAACTCCATTCTGCAACAAAGTCGTATCTCGCGCGAATACACTCCGTGCAACACGGTCGTATCTCGACGTCCATTGACTTTGTGTGTACATCCGGGGTATTTTAGATGAGATACGACCTTTTAAAATTCTGAAACACGCGTTTCACGTATGGCCCATTTTAGGAGATACAACCTAGTTTCACGGACACGAGGAGTTATACCTGTGATGAAATCCTGTATTGCAGCAATCAGGGGTTCTCCATTCCGTGGGGTCACCAAGTTGGATTTGACCTGGAACAAATAAATATATTATCAATAATGAAAATGCAATGGTTTTATAGCTACCCTTTAGGGCTGTGCACTTTCAAGAATTTAGTATTCCAGTAATCTAACTTGGAATTGGTCCAGTATTAAAAATGGGCTGATCAAGTTTAACATGCTCCAGCCTGAACTGGCCGACGATTTGAATCTGCGATTGGAATTTGCAATTGACAACGTGCATATTAAAATAATAGAACAGAGAGTGTGATGGCTGATAATTGATTGAGTTTAAAAGACATTTGAGCTAATATTCCTCATGGAATCTCTCAAATCATGGCTTTTCAAAAAAGTATGGTATTTGCCAAACATGTGGTATTTGGCAACCAATACAATTACCCAACTTTTACAATTATAATAATATTGCACACATTTTTCTATTATTGCCTCAAAACCGCACACATTTTTTGAATATTTGTATAAAAAAAAATGATGTTCAGATATTTGGTGCATGATTGAATATTTGATGTGGTTGGCACCACCCTAACCCTCTTCAGCATTTAGGCTAGATGCTGTGCTCAATATAACAACATTAAACAGTTGTCAAAGCTGTAACAGCATCCATCAGGTTAACTATTCAAGGCCAAAAAGCCTCAGATTCTGAGCTTGCTAGCCCCCCCCTGCATCAAACAATGACACTGTTATTAAGAGAGTTGATAGTAACGATATGTAGACCCACCCCCATGAGTGTCAGGGCCTCTGCCTTGGCCTCTTCAGTCTGCGGAAGATGCAAGTTCATCTCATCTCCATCAAAGTCAGCGTTGTATGGGGTGCACACACACTCATTGAAGCGGAATGTCCGGTGTGGTTTCACACGAGCCTACAGCAACAGGGAATAATGCATCATCTATGCTGAGATGTGCTTGGATTTTGGTGTCTTATAAGATTATGGGATAATATCATGAAAGACATAACGGTAGCAACATTGCAAGCTATTTTATGCACACATATTTGGGAATTATGTTACTTCACTTGTTGCTGTAAAACTACAGAGTCAGGTTGGTGCAGTGGTCCTTTCCTCAGTTTCCATCTCTATGGTCAGGGTTCAATTCCTGCCCCAGTCCACATGTAGATTGGGTTTTTAATTCCTACATGATTCCATGGGTTTTCACCAGAGTTGCAGTGCTCAAAATTAGCAGTAGCCCGATAGCCAAATGCTAGTCAAAACAGCGGCGGGCTGGTCAAAATATTCCCTAAGTAGCCCGGCTGGCGAGTCAAAAAAATGTTAGGATACGGCAAAGATGAAAGGACAGGAAGAAATAAATCATTAAATTCAGAAAGCATACCTGTATCGATTTGTGTATAATTTTATCAACTTGTTTAAAGGGTTAAATTATTAGATCTGCTTATTCAAAACACTGACAAAATTGCCTCAGAATTGAGCCTGAAAATACGCCATTTTGTATTTTTTGAGCTAAAAAAATGCGGGCTAGTGAAAATGACCGCGGGCTAGTTAAGAGTCTGTTTCAGAAGCAAGGCTGGCTAGTCAAAAAAAAAAAGGTTTAGGTTGAACTTTGAGAGTAGTATGCTGGGGTTCCCCCCACCTCGAACTGTACTTTCTTCTCTTGTCTACACCCTATAGGTTTCTTCAGACTTTTGAGCTACAGTGCCTACGGAGCAGTTGAGGAATCCTTGGTTTCATTACCAGAAATATATACTAATAATTAGATCACAAGCTGTTGACGTATTTCTGATAAATGGGCATCTCTCATGCACCTGTAAAAGAGCTCAACCTGAATCATTCAATACAACCACAGGGTCTTTCATTTTACAGCAGTATAAATGTTTAAAATAAACATTGGACCAAGTACGTGCATTGTATTGTTTTCAATAGCATAAGGATAAAACGTGAACCTACAAAATGAGCCATGATGCTGAGTTTGTGCAGGGATGGCTGACGGTTGAACAAGACGATATCCCCATCCATCAGGTGTCGCTCAACGATGTCTCCATACTAGGTAGGCAAACAAAATAGGTTTATATTCAGGGAACATCTCAAACTTGAAACAAGAATATAAACATCACAACCCTCCTGTGCTCAGTGATAATCTGCAGAGCGTTGTCCTACATGTCAAAAACTATCCGGTGACAGATTTGACCAAATCTGCAAACTGCCCTCATATTGGTACAATTGACCATTTTAAAATGGCTGCTACACAAGCTGTACCTGTATTAGTGGTCATACTATCTGCAAACCACTTCAATAGGCTCTGACAGTTGCACAGTTGAATCCATAGGGATTTGTGGCAGTTGGAGAGCAGCCTGTACAAAAACTGTCCAGAGCGGTGGGGGCTAGAGTTTGTAACAATTTGTGATAGTTATATGTACAGTACTAATACTCTTCTAAGGCTGTTCCAGTAGGCTAAGGGTTCTGTGTGTGTTTTGGGGGTGTACGGTACATGGGAGCCACATTTATTGGAGGGGGCTTGGTCATCGTTTCTAACAAGATAAAGCTTGTTTTCTCCTTTTCCAAATTCTGAGTAGAGACATGATGACTGGGAACAGCACATAAACCCAATTAAAAGTTCCAATTCCCAGTGGAAATTCTGAGTGTTATGATGTTCACTAACAATGTATCTTTCCTATGACTGGACACAGCATGTGTGGTTTCCAATAATGACAAACTCATAAAAATCATGACCTGCATAGCGATATAATTGTCATAAGCAATGTATACTCAAGTGCGAGCCTCAAAGAAAAGTTCACTAGCTCGCTTGGGTGGGACTCGAACCCATGACCTCCTGCTCACTAGTGCAGTCACAATTGAACTATAGAGCTTGTCAGGGTCTCTATAGCTAGTTATCAAAAGGCTAAAATATACATGTACCTTTAATTCCTGTGCAGTCTTCTGACGATTGCCGTACTTCAGAAACCTGTAAAAACAGTTAAAAAACTTAGTGGCATCGTGGCTCAGAGGCAGACTTACATGTATATTGTGTGTCTTGCATGTAACATCTAACTTATTCACGCATACTGACACAAAAACGACATGCCAAAAAGATCACGGCAGAGTTGTAATGACTCGAGTCAATGACTCCACTTGAGTCAGACTCGAGTCACAATTTTTGGCAACTCGTCTTGACTCGAGTCCCAACGGGTAACTGACTCGACTTGACTCGAGTCACTGCAAGCAAAGACTCGACTCAACTCACTCATCAGAAGACTCGACTTACGACACAAAGTATGTTTGCGTACTTTGTGTTACCGTCAACTTGTCTCCACTTATCTCATACAAATGTACACTGTATCACAGAGTCCCACCTCATGGTTTTATAATGTAGCACACAAATTACTATCCCGGAACCAGACTTTCAAGTCATTTCCCAATTCTTGGTTTCATCATCGGCTTCAGGCGATTTTTTAAGCCCTTGATGGAACTCCAGCTAAATTTATGTCCTGCTTTCAAAAAATAGATATACTTCTACGTAAAATCAGAAACTGTTTCATATGTTGCTGATGTTGTCAGTGTAAAAATTGTCAAACAAGAGATAAAACTGAAGTTTCACTTCTTGTTAAGTGTTACATAGATCTTTGGTAGAAACATCGAGCAGAAGCTGTCTGTCTATTGGGCACCATGCAGCACATTTGAAGTCTTTTGATGTGTACAATAAACTGGTGCCTTGTGTTCATTCTTGTAATTTGTTAGATTGTGTTCAAATATCAATGACTCAAATTGACTTGCGTATAAATTTGACTTGACTTGACTCAATCACTCACTGTGACTCGACTCGACCTTCTTCACCTAATGACTCGAGTCACTTCCTTAAAATGACTTGACTCAACTTGGGTCACACAATTTAGTGACTCATTACAACTCTGCATCACGGCCCAGTGATACACAATTGACAAGTTATTTTGAGATGGGATTCTTCCTTTGGAAGCAATTGGACTGTTTTCGTTTACACATTTTATGGAAGAAGAGAGTCCATTTTCAAAATTTCCCTAAATGGATTCTGATAATAAAAGCTTTCACAAATTTAACCGTTTAATGATGACAGATGGAGAAGTCACATACCTTTTATTATTGGTGTGTCTCTGCTGAATAAAGTTAGCTCCAGGATGCAAATCACAGCCATTCACAACCAGCTTCCTCATCAAGCCAATGTTGGCTTTGGTCACCTTCACGGAAAGTAACATTAGGACAACTTTAACCTCATCACTTTTGAATCATGCATTAACAGGGAGTTAAATTGCGATCTAAAGTTGGACATGTGACAGCTCAAAATTGACTGTGGCTCTAGTGGTTTTGAACAATAAAATATGCCTTTCCTCTAACTTGATTTTTTTCCAGGGGGGAGGGTCGATGCTTTCCCCTTAGTTAAAAACTAGTCCAATTATGCGATAACAATATCTCTCTCCCTAAGATTAAAGCCCAGTCCTTAATACTGCGGACAGGGGTTGATGCCACTCAAAAGTTGAAGTGCAAATACATGTAATGTGCTATTGGTTTTATGCACAGTACAGTAGGGACTTCGTATGATTTGTAAGGTTTTCTAGCTAAAAATAATAAGGAATTTGGACTAAGAAATTACTGTGCAAAGCAAATTGACAGAGGATATGCTTCTGAACCAGCTTCAATAGACTGGCCAGCCTCTCTTGCTCAGAATGTGTACCAGTTGTTTTCTTGGAAGTTACTTGACCATCTCTCAGGCACTACAGGGTAGGAGGTATGAAACGGGTAGATGAAAGATGGGCTTGTAATAAAAATGCATTCCTTCACGCTATTTTCAAGTTTCTTCTCGAAAATAGATTCCTTTTCTAAATTTCTATTTTCCTAGCAATACATTTATGCGATGCACTTCTGAATGGGACATCAACCAAAAAATTGGCCTGTGGTTTGGTACTGAATTGTTACTTTATAATTTTGAATTATTGGATTCCTGATAATAATTCCATTCTCGCGGGGTAGGCTGGTTCCTGCCCCACAATTAGTATCTATAATGTACAAACCGGGAGCCAGCCTGTTCCCAAAATGGATCTGTTTGTTCTCAAAACAAAAAAACTTTTTTTTCAGAGGGTTACTGACATCAAAAAAAAAGGGGGAAAGGAGAAGAGGTTTTGGGGTCAAAATCAGTTGAACATTTACTCAACTTTAACAAAAATGCAAAACAAAAGTAGTTTGTCAACTGTAAGTCACAAATTACCTGTTGCTCGTCATCTTGAATGTGTAAATTTTTATTAGAAAACTTTGAAATAAAACCGGATTGAGATTGAATTTGAATCAGTGGCAGAACCTGGGGGTGGGGAGGGAGGTGGGGAGGGCGGTGGGGGAACAGATATCCATGCCCCCCCCCCTTTTTAAATCTTGAATTGAACAAAACCATACATCACTTGCTTTCAGCCCCCCTTGAAATATGTGTGCACCCCCAGTGCCCCCTCAGAACTTTAACCCTAGTTATCCCACTGATTTGAACACATCTAAAAGAAAAACAATCACCGAATGCAACATAAACAAACTTGCCTTTTCTGGGTAAGTCAGAGTTTTGGCAACGTGCACAGGTACTGCAACCTGCAAAAAAAAAAGACCAAAGATTAACGTTTTGTTTACTAAATACAATATTTCATGGTCAGTGAATCTATTCTTTACAATTCAATGTAACGTTTAAAACAATGTTAAATAAAATTTATGAATTATCATAGTATGTTTAAAATGTAAATTATGTAAAACATCATGTGAAATAATCTTTGCATGTTAAAAAGGCTGATCAGACATTTGAGAAGTACCGTATGTAAAATTAAGTATGTATGTGTAGGATAGAATAACAATGACCAGAAATATTTGTTGTCTTACATGTATTCATTTTCAAATACCCAGCTTTTGTCCCCATATAAATCATTTTTAAGATTAAGTTTTGTTTGTTTAATTTACTTGCATTTTTGTAGGGGGGTAAAGCTCTAAAATTGTGTTCTGAAATGTCAGTGGGAACCAAATTTATATATTTTTAACAATAAATCAAACAATAATATATATTGACAAAAAAATTGAGTAAACTCCGATCACAAAACCAGGCCCTCCTGCTACTAAGCTTGTATTTTATCCATCCAGCTGTGGCCAGCCACTTACATGTAGTTACAATTGTTCACATCTGTGGAACAAATTGGGTGCTCTCAAATATGTACATTAATAGTCTACAATCACTCTAAAGACATATTGGAATCAAAATCTGGATTTTATTAAAATTTGGTTAATTTTCACTATTCGGTTTGGATTGTAGAAACCGGATACTTGAAACCAACCTAAAAGAAAAATTAAGCCTGCCATTTGTTGTGACACAAGCTAAAGACAACAAGTGGAACATTCCCCATTTTGCTCCATGGTCTCTGATTGTAACCGCGATATCCCCCCCCAAGTCGACTGATCTGAGGGTACCACCATCACTTTCTCCATCGCTGAATATCCATTTTTCTTTAAAGAAACAGCTTAACTGGTGAAAGCCTCAAGTAATGTAAATATTGCAGGTAAAGTGGTCCATGTTGGAAAAACTAACTTTGTCAAAAAAACAAAAAAAAACAACAACAACCTAGAGCTGCATGTCTGTTTGCAAACAGAACACAGGGCTTTTTCGCATTTCACAAATGCTTATGTTTCGTTGGTCCTTTTGCAGTCACTTTTCAGAGTGCTTCATGCTTAAAGGTTGTTCAAAATGCTTAGAATAATTCCTAAAATATAATTTCATCACATGACGTCACATGCCCTGCAATGACGTCATCTTAAAAACCCTTCTCGATGCACATTTTGTCATTGTGGTCTTGGTTTGAACCAAGTTTAATGTCAATCCGATGAAAGTGTGCAATTTTGGAAGCAGAATAAAATTATAAATATTTAAAAAATCAAAAAAAAATCAAACGATGACGTCATCGTGACGTCACTTCGGACTTTGCATACTAGTACCATTATCTACCTACCCACCAAGTTTCATGACAATCAGACCTTTCCTTATATGTGTTTGAAAAATCACATTTTTGATGACGTCATGATGACGTCACACATTTTTCAAAATTGTGTGCAAATACCTATTACCTAATAGACCAAATACAAAAAGAATTTTGAATTTTGCATGTTGCGTTCATGAGCTATGGGATATGACTATGGTCCAAAAATTCAAATATTCATATAAAATCTCAGAATGACATCAGCATGACATCACCTTATTTTTTACCTATAACACATCCCAGTCTAGCCACATACATTGTATCAAGTTTCAACCCAATCGGACTTACAGTTCTGTAGATATAGGACTTCAAAATATGCACGTTTGTGATGACGTCACGTGACCCCTGATGACGTAATCATGACGTCAGTCTTCAGGACACAACTTTGCCATAACATGCATATAGGACAATGCATATGCTTAATTTGAATGATGTATGACAAAGTTCAATGCCAAAAGTGGCATGTAGAAAACCGTGTACAAAGTCTATAGGGTTTTCTTGATCTTTAATTGCTTGTAATTTGATACATGATGACGTCATCATGACGTTTTTCTTCGGGACACATCTTTGCTATAGGGACTATGCATATTAACTTTGAATGATATGTGACAAAGATTAATGCCAAAAGTGGGTGCCAGAAAAAAACGTGTACAAAGTCTATGGCGTTTGCAAAAAAGAAGAAGAAGAAGAAGAAGAGAAAGAAGAAGAAAGAAAAAAAAAAAAACGAGCACAAAAAGAAAGGCTTTTTCGCAAACTTGCGAAAACCCAAACAGTTTGTAAATAGATTTAATAGTATGGTGTATTTTACCAGCAGGTTTCTCAACCATGAGATGAGGTGTTATAAAATACAAAACTTGCTGATAAACCATGTCAAAAAAAAGATATTTTTAAAGTACTTAATCTTTTTAATGCATGAGTTTAGAATAAACATCACTATCCTCAGATATACATGTATGATGCCTATAATAACTGGATAGAATGTTCTCCTCTATAAGGTCCTTTTCCCCATGCTAGCCTCAGCCCTCAGCTTAAATTGTTGTCATTTCATTTAATGGTATTGTTTTTATTTGTCCCTCCCCCACCACACTCTACCTGCTGTCCTCCCATTCATTCTTTCTTGTTTACACGTTTCTTGCGTTGAAATGAAATTGAACGGTCCAGAAAGATTTTGCAATCTGCAATTAAATTGTGAGTGTTTCCTTGACTGCCATCCAGGTACAATAGAAGATAATAATGCACAGGCTTGCACTGCTTGCTGCAGGAAACCTTATTGTTGGGAAGTTAATGAAGAAATGGATAATAGGAAATTCCAAGGCTGAAAATTTTAATTGAAGTGGTCAGTTGGAAATGAAGGGACCGTGCTTCAACCCCATTGTCTCCATTTCTTATTCCAGTTCTTGATGAATTTTTTTCTCAAGTAGATGAGATGGGTGGAGATTGTTTATCATGGCTTGTGTCCATAGTCCGTGGGGGTCATCGGCAACGATTGCAGGGTGTTTAACCAAACAGAACTACTTGATACTGAATGCTCCTGTATGGCGTATGGATGCAGGCTTGCTGGAAACATTGCATGAATCACCAAACTGTCTGACTTATGACTTCATAGACAGTGTGATAAATCAGACACACCTAAAAACATCACTGATCTTTAGCCAACTTGGTGTGACTTATACACGTACTCTCTCTAAAAACAAATTTATCCACATTTTCCTTCTTCAGCATATCAAGTCAACTTCACGATGTTTATCATTCAGGCATTGGGAGTTTGCCTTCTAGTGAGTTCAGCAATCATTGTCTCATGGAGTTCTGATTCTTGTGTCTTGAATGCTGACATCTGTTCACAACCTTGGCAAAACTGGAATGGTTCCTGCTATCTCATCACTGACGGTCAAAGCTGGAATGACAGTCATCAAGTTTGCCGGGCCATGGGGGGTAAGATGGCCGCTCCTCGATCCCAAGAAGAGGCTCAATTCATGATCAATTCATACGGAGGCCACCTGTGGATTGCCTGCTATGACTCGGAACGGGATCTCATCCTGGAATGTGATACTGACGAGAAGGGCCGTGCCTTCATTAACAACATGAATCACTATGACTATGGAGACCACTGTATTGCTCTTACAGCAGTCAATCAATGGCATTATCACCCGTGCGCAAGCAATTTCCAAGCTGTTTGTGTCCAACCCTCACAACCTCCTTGCATCATGCAACACATCTACTCGACCAACTCGGGTGAGGGTGTTCCCAACCGGTGCCTCATCGGTCACATCATCAGAGAGTTCCCTATCAAGACGACACCCAGATGTGCTGCAGCCTGTAACAAGATGCCTACATGTCGCTCCTTCAACATCAAGACTACCGATCAAGGAAACAAACTGTGTCAGCTCAATGACGCTACCCATCTGGATGACCCGGCTACCTTCCAACTGACCAATGGTAACTGCATCTACTACTCTCAAATCAACAACTAGTCACATGCATGGACAAATCAGAACATCCACTGACAAAGTGAACTGAACTTGGGTTTCCCAGAATATGTAACAGAACAACCCCCTTTAACTATTGGCAACTACTGGACAATTCAACAAACAGTGAATAATAGCCAAAGACATTCAACTTGTGTAGACTATCAGTGATACAGTAAAGACACTAAAGCATGGTAGGAAGTCAAAGATGGAAAAAGCCTTGATTAAAAGGTAAGGAAAATAATCTATTTGATTTGTTATTATTGTGAAGTGCCGTGGCCTCGTGGTCTGGGGCATTGAATTGTGGTCTGCGGGTAATTCTGCAGGATATGGGTTCGAGTGCAACCTGTTGACTATGATGAGTGTGCCCTTGGGCAAGGTACTTTGTCACTCATTGTTTCTCTCCACCCAGGAGTAAATGGGTACCTGTGAAGGCAGAGATGGTTATTGTGGTTGATTTTAGCTGCTTTGTGCCGAAATGGCAGCATCCAGCTGTACACTCCCCAGGGAGCTGAGATGGTAATTGAAATGTTTCGTTGGCCCAATGAGCAGGGTAATAATGATGTAGCGCCTTGAGCACCAATAATGGTGGGTACATGCGCTTTATAACTACGCATTATTTATTTAACCATGGTTTAAACCATTAAATTAGTTATGACATTTGGAAATTGTTCCTTAAGGAGACTAGTCATGCTAGTCAGTGGGCTTGTGGAGGACCTATGCATTTTTGGGGAGAAATCTTTGAAACTCTCAGGATCACCTATGGATACCTCAACAAGTTCAAAACCACTTGATGCCATTTTTTTACTGACCCTTTTAAGGGTGGAACCATGATAATAAAAGGGGTGGGCTTTAGTGCGAAAAAAGGGAAACATTCGATAATTTTCCCTTCTACTTCATATTCGGACAGGTTACCACAGTGCTACATGTGTCATGAGAAAAAAAGTTCAAAATGTTTCCTCTTTTGGGGGTGGGGCCACATTTAAATAAACAATGGGGGCAAACAAAATTCCAATACAAATCAACAGGGATAGGCAGAATGATTTTAGGAATAAAACTGCAATTTCCAAAAGTGGGAGGGAAAAGAGTGATTTGACAAATAAGGTCAATT